TTTTAATTAATTAATATATATTATAATTAATATGTTTCAAAATTATTGCATATGTTATACATATATTTCAATGAAAAAACTGTATTGAATTGTTTTTATTAACGCTAAAGAGACTATAACGCATGGGTTTACTTAATACAGAAAATTTATAACCATCCTATTAATTATTTTGCACTTTAAATCTAAGCGACAATCTTTTATGTAAACATATGTAAATTAAAGCGACATTGAGTCAGCAAAAACATTTTTACAAATTTCAACAGAGGAGTCTGACATTTTAATGAATCGATCTAACGCACGCGTATCTAAATATACCGCTAATAGGAAAAGCTTAATCACTACGGGGCTGCTACGCCGTAGAACCTCGTGTAGACGTTTAAGGTTCCGCTAAGGTAATGAATGTCAGAATATTTTTATTAATTTAAAAATACTAAGCTCTTTTTATGCAATGTTTTACTTTTCTTTTTTCGTATTTTGTACTGAAGAAACTAATTCCTTATATTCCAGCTGATGTTAAATGATTGTGTAGCCGTGGTGGTTTAAAAACCACTAACCAAATAAATCACTATTAACTCTTTCTTAAAAAAAATCCATATAATTTACTGTATCTAATGTTAAATTAATTATTAAGATAATTAAGGTAAATGTTTTATCTGTAATAGAGTAATAATAGATTACGTAGAGCTTTTGCTGCATTGATAAACCAACTCACCTCCACCTGACCAGTCAGTCAGCTGCCTTTTTTCGCAACCGGTAGTAGTATTTTGACAATCAATAAATAATTATAATGCTTCTGTATTAAATAAAGATATTTGAATTTGAGCTTGACTAATAATTAGATTAAAATAAAAGAATCTCAGCTCAGGGCTCGCGGTCAACAAAACTTAAGATTTCAGTCGATTCAACGTAATATGACAATAATCTATGACTTATTTACTTCGGCTATTTAATTATAAGTTATTACTATATGACCACATTCGCCCGTAAATGTAAATGTGTAGTGTGTAAAAGATCGTAAATAAAAGAACAGAAAGAGATCTTGTAAATCCAGAATTTAGTCCCAAACATTTGAGTTGAAAGAGGTTAGAGAGTGTAAAGCTAGAGGAAAAACAAGAGAGGTTTGTATGGACTATGTGAAGAATGATGTGTCTGTGAAATATTAATATAATACTCACCGTATTGAGATAACGGCTGATGGAAGAGAATGGAAGGAAAGGACATGTTAACCTAACCTAACCCAACCCATTGTGAGAGAACTTGCTTTCTCTCACAATGGGTTGGGAGAGAGAAGCAGGAGAAAGAAGATTTCCACACCGTGAGGTTCCGTTGAGGTTTTTTATAAGTACTTAAAATGTAGAGACTGTTTGTATAGTCAAGTAATTTTTTAAGAATAATCTTAAAGATTTGCAGAACTGTACGGAATGAATAAAAACTGGCGCATGAAAAGGATTTAAAACGTCAAGTTGGTTTTCCGAGGAACAACTTTGTTTTTCAGATGGAGAAAGGAGTCGTATACAAGAGCAAAATTTTTTTCTGCGAGTTCGTATTACATAATGATGTCGATGTTTAGCTATTTCGACCGACGTGAAGTTAAAATTAAAAAAGTTTATCGTAGTTTCAAAGGTGAACTCAAATATTACATTGTTTGAATGATTAAATGTATCGATTGAGAGTTATCAAAAACAACTTCTTGTCGAAATATTAGCGTAGTTAATATTATATTGTTGTAAAAATAGTAGAGTACAATAAGGTTTTACACTAATTAATAAAACTTATTGTTAAGTGCATTAATATAATCATACAAAATGAATGCCATTCGTAAAAAAATCAGGACAAGTATACAAAGATGAAAGAAGTTTTAGCTTTTTATCCGCTAATCGTAAATTAGTTAATTATTATTTATTATTAAAATTAATTATAATTTAATCCTCTAATCCTCTATTTATTTAAATCTGGTGATATTACCCTCTCAGGCGAATATATGTATATACTTATATATAAACAGTTTTATTCTTCGAGGATCTTCTACAAGGTCATCATATTTCGTAAGTTTCCCCCATTCGAGCAACGGCAGAGGCCTTTGGGTGACTCTATCAAAAACACCAGTTGTTAGTTTCCTAAAATGCTGCTTTATTACATAAAATCCTCAATTTTATGTAATAAAGCAGCTAAAGCTAAATGATTTTTCCGCAACAAGCAATTCAATTTGCAAACACATTCAATCGCAACTATTCTATTGAAACTCATACTTTAATTTCAGAGGTCTTGCAAAATGATCATTATGATTTGTTACGAGATGCTTTTTCATGATATTTTACTTTTTTGGTAAATCTAAAATTTTAATATAGTATTTTACAAAAATGCGGTACAATTTAATTTTCTATGATTACTTGAAATTTTCGCAAACATGAAAGTTCAAATTTTTGATTCGAAGGCCATTGAAACTTTAAATCACTCTGGCTTAGAAACTTAAGTTGCAATCATGGCTTCGCTTAACTTAGAAATTGTAAGTTCACTTCAAACTGAATACGCTTGATTTTCCAACCGCCATCGTAACAGTTCTATAACTTAGTTGAAAGTTCCATGCATACACAGTTTATTAATTATGTTCCAAAATTTAAATATTAATTGTGCATCCAAATATTATACATATTTAGATCTCTTTGTCTATCGAAGTAAACTTCGCAGGTAATTTGGAGTAAAGCGGACAACCTTTTCGTGGTTATATAACAGCTACTTTTCAAATTTATTTCAAACGAGATGTCCCATCATAGATTTGTACAAATAAATAAATCTAAGTCATATTTTTGCCAATGTATTAACCGACTGATAAGTAGTGACTCATCAACATTTGCACATAGTAGAGTTCACTTGAATTTCGAATGGTAAACAACTTATTTGTAGTAATATTTATGGCGATATCAATGCAGTTAAACCGCACTAAAATATCACAGCATTGTGGTTTGATAATTTTAGAATTTAACCAATCTTTTGAATAACTGGTTACCAATATAAACTATTGCGTCGTCCAATACGGAATAGAAAGTAATGGTTAGTTTTAAATCACCTGAGCGTTTTATGTTCCAAAATATGATGCATCAGCGCTCATCATCAGGTAGAATTAGCCAATTCATATTAACAAATGACTTTCTCATAAATACGAGTCCCTTAGAAATTTCATTATCGTGCCCAAAACACCGAGGAGTAGTTGCATCAACATTCAACGGTGTAGGTGTTGACAATTTAATTTTTTTCTGCAGCATAAAAATTAACCCTGTGAAATGGAGTATATTACCTTAATCTACTTCAGTATAACAAAGCTTTTATCATATTTTGAAACTAAATGTGCAAGCTAGGAATTGTGTACAACAGTTACTATTAATCCGAGTAGATTGAAGTATAATGCTACATGGTGTTTTGTGCAGTAACTTTTCTGGAATTAAAAAAAATGTGACTCATTTCTAGGGCACAGTCGAAAGACAAAAGAAGTCTTTAGCTGCTTGCAAACATAAATTTTGAGCTGTTTTGTTCTTCCACGGAATACTAAACAGGCGGAAGCTGTGCTGTGTATTCACTGTTTCCTTATATCCACAAAATAGGACGTTTATACAAAAGTATCAAGAGAACATGTATTTGAATTAGCAAAAGACTGTTTTGCTTAATGCATACTCAATTAGAAAGTGTTGGATTTTTGCTGTTTTTATAGTGAAATAAGGGTACATGAGTCTTGTAAATAATCAAAAAAGTATTGTTATATTTAATAAAATAGATAGTTCATAAAACAATATTCATGTAACCAAAAATACTTGAGTATGTAACAGATTATACGGAACAGAATTATTCTCTTCTTGTCATTGAACAGCGACGTTTCTCATCGCCAATGTTCCGCCGAATTCACGTTTACGCTGAATAGACTCTCCCAAGGGACAAGGCCGCAAAATATTGGGTGTATTGGGTCAAGGACACCGCGGCTCACTTTCAATATACGGATGTAATAATTTCCCTCCTCGAACTTTAAGATTCAATGCCTCTGCAAACGTAATAATCATACCTCTCCCCATATCCATGTATAAGTTGCGAATTTTTCAAATATAGTTATTCAGATTTTGCATAACGATACACTTTTATGAATTATGAATTAAGTTTTAAAATTTTTATGTTATTATCGTTGCCCAATAACTAATAAGGTAACAGTTTAATGCACATAAATTTTGAGATGTTTAAAATTAAGTATTTATAATATAGTCATGGGCGTGGACCAGTATACAATCTCAAATATTAATTTATTTAACATTTTTACGTTTAAATGAATTCACCATTTACTTAATTTACTTACTTATTTACTTACTTTAATTATTTCGTAATACAATGGAGACGAAGAAGGTCAAATTCTCAATAACTATGTTAAAGCAGTCTAAAGACGAATAGGTTTGTTTTAAATCAGTGTATAATATTGTCTCATGAATATATAGATTTAAGAGAAAACCAAGTTACTATTACTCATACATCAAATACATATTGAACTTTTTCAGCCTTTTTTTTATGTGAAAAGTTGACAAGCGAGCAGACGGTTCACCTGATGTTAAGTGAATACCGCCGCCCATGGACATCTGCTACACCCGAGGGTCACAGATGCGTTGACGACCTTTTGAAAATTGGGCTCCGGCTACCTCACTCACCAGACGAAACGCGAAAGTATTTGTCATACTTCCACTTTACGCTGGTCTTCTGTGAGGTCGTGGTACTTACCCGGACGGGCTTGCCCATTCGTGCAACAATTGAGGCTGCTGCGTGGACCTACCACTGCAAAACTTAACTATTGTAGTTATAGTTTAAGTTGTGATATAACTAAATAATAATATTGTCCATTCGTCGTGAACGAATTTCGTACTGTAACAATAATTTGAATATTTTCAAGCCAAGATTTAACTGTCGGTTAAATCATCGAAAAAAGTAAACGTCATCTTGCCGACTGAAAGCTTGAAAAAATAAACACTTACCTTTTGTAAGAGCTTCGGCCTGTTGTCAAGCTGCTCCGTCTTTTCTTCGTCTTTGGAATGGTCGTCGTTTCTAGAGTGCCTGCAAAACAATCTCTCCAGTCAGTAAAGACGATGTGCAAAGGGTTTTCATGATGTATTGTTGGTGTTACACTAGCTTGCTCAACACTACTCCGAACAGGTGGCCGAAATGGAGACAATTAGGCATATTAATATTTATGACTATAAATACGACTCTAACAGTTGCATAGCATTTCCTTTAAATGTAGCCGTTCTTTGCGACTCGATCTATAAATAGTAAAGTAAATCACTTAAGACATACAATTATTGGAATAAAATAATCCCCATGTTTAACTGTGATACTAGAAGCTTTTAATTGCTGCAAAGATTTTTATAATTAGATCAGTTCTTTTGGATAGTACATATTAAAAAGAATAAATTACTTTCATATTGGTATATTGAATTACATATAACTGATACCATAATGTGTATTTATTAGAATCTTTCATGTATCTCAAAAACCATGTATCTAATGTAATGCGTAAAATGACAAATTTGAAAAAATGAATACACTTAGAAAAGCCTCCTTGTATAACAGCTATAATGCAGAGAGTATTTTAGTTAGTATATTGCGTGTTTGACACTAATTGACACCGTGTAGCGATACCGAAAGTCGCACCTGGCAAATAAGGATTTGTACTTTTTGTCATGTTTACAAATTAGTATTATATATTATGGCTACCTGTCTTTATGCTGTTATCTAGTATAGTACTATCTATATATTTAGTGAAAATGTACTAACAAAATATTATTTTTATCTTTAGTACAAATGTACTAAAGAAAGAAAATAATTGTATGATAAAGTGAAATCTTCATCTTCGATGCTTCATCAAATGATGTATTTTACTTTAAAATCGTACTGACATCTATTCTGTAATCAAAAGTTACTGTGTTTTTTCTTTGCACGATAAATGAGGAGAATTAGTTGCTCAAAATCTTTCAATATTCAATATAACATATTTCAATTAAGCTCGTATAAACGGTCAAGGAAAATAAAATATAAGAAATTCATGCTTTTCACGTCACATGTATTATACCCTTTTATTTTTTTAGTCTTCGAAATTATTTCATTTATCGAGGAATTTTTCGAGGTTTTTGCTTTCAAAATGCTTTATGTAGTTTATTATATGATTGAGTACGAGATAGTTTAAATCTATATTCAGTATTAAAAATATGAAACACACAATTTGTTATAAAAATTGCTGCACGTGTGATAACATTCAGTTAATGCCCATAAAATACAAAGTTTAAGTGGTCCATAAAAATTGGACGCGATCAGAATTCCCAATATTTAACGCTGAATAAAATATTCATTTGTTTATAAACTGTAGATTACATCGTCCATTTTCCATTTTTATGATGAAACTTAAGATTGTCACAAAAATTGATCGAAGTTTTAAAACTGCCCTGAAAATATTTATTCTTTTAATATATGAACAAAAAGATAATTTTTAAATTAATTTTATTCCATTGCAACGTGAAAGTGCCTTAATCAGAAGCAAGAACTACTTTTAACTGAAAATTAAATGGAACCAGATGAAACAATAACTAAAATATATTATTTAGAATTCATAAACGTTTGACACATTGTCTAGGCAATGGCATTCTCTATGGTTCCTTTCAGCTGAGTAAATAATCAAAATATATCCTAAACGCCCCTTTGACAGGTTTGTTATTGACAACTTACCACTGAACACGTCTTCAACGTTTCCTCCAATCTTATAGATTGGCCTTCTTGTCTAGACACAAGAATATATATTATTATGTCTATACGTAATATATTTGCTGACGAATCTAAATAAAATATTGTTACATACATAGTTATGAATTTTTTACTGACCCATCTTACTTTCAGCCAGTGATGTAAAATAGTTGTGTAATGTATAATAGTTACATATGAATATGAGTTGTATTTTAACTATAACTACTATTGGAGTTTCATTCCGTTATACATTAAATGCCCGCACCGCTCTAGGGCCTGGAATTTATGTGCTAACACTAACAAACACCCTGTAACCAATATATTCTGTACCAATAATTTACAGTCGACCTGTTTTAAACTTTTATAAACTTTTATAGCGTAAGTCGTTTATGGAGCTGAAACTTTCAGGGATTGGCAACGCGACCTCCCGCGCAAGTTTTCAACTCTTGAAGACCTCCTTCCCGTTTCGACATTGATTTATTTCTTACTTTAAATGCTAATTATATGGTCGGACGCCTTGGTTGCCAAATAAACGTGCAAAAGCTGTATGTAGTTCATACTTTTTATATTTGTACACATTTTGTTGAGTAAATTTAAGCATTGGAAACTTCTTGACGCTGATGTCAAAGTAAGTGGCAAATACGCCCATGAGAATAAGTTTATGTTCATGTTACTACATTTACATTTCGATTATATTACATACAGAATTTCCTTAAATTATTTTACCACTTACACTATATAAAATACTTTGACACAGAGTAGGTGGAAATAGTATTTCGAACAAAAGTTGCGGTTAATTGGGTAACTTTTATGTCAATTTCCATCTTTTTTTGTGTATTTATGCGTATCGTCCATCTATTTGATATTTGATCGTCCCCTACCAACTTTTCCACTCACTTTAGAATCATAAATTCACTTTAAATATAAATAATAAATTTTACACAGTCTTTTATAACTACTAAACTGTGGTAGGGCCACGCAACAGTTTTCGATGTTGCACGAATAGACAGGTCTCTCAAGGGAAGTAGGTACCACGACCGCATAGAAGACCGGCGTGAAGTGGAAGTGTTGCACTTTTGCGTTTCGCCTGGAGAGTGAGGTTGCCGGGGCCCACTATATTAAAAGGTGGCAACGCATCTGCAACCCTACCTACGGACGTTGCAGATGCCCACGGGCGGTGGTCATTAACACACAGGTGAACTTACAGCTCGCATGCTATCTTCTGAAAAAAAATTACTGTTTAAAGTAATTAAATTAAAAGGCAAACTAACATAAAGCAATTTTCAGTTAATTTATTTAAATTGGAATAGGTACTGAATGCGCAATGTTCTCCATTTAAGTCACTGCAGTATAAACGCATCGATTCTTCATTGGAGACATGTGATACCTATCCGTTCTCCGTATTGTCACATGTCGTCTTTATATTCGAGTAACTACTAGCGGACCAGATAGACGTTGTCTTGTACACACGCCTTAAATCCGAAAACAACATATAAATAAAAATTGTGAATCTAAACCATTCTCGAATCGACCTGAAGACACAGAAAAAAAAATTCATTAAATCTTCCCAGCCGTTTAGGATGAGTTCAGGGATATACACACATACAGAAGAATTATATATATATATAGATACAAAATTTGCATTTAAAAATTTTGCTGCAGACATTTTTAATTTGTACTTATTAATATAACACGTAGCTGTAATATGCTCATAGATTAACACAGATCATCGTAGATGTTAACTAATCAGCTGATAAAAAATGGCTTTTAAAATTTCATTTGAGTTGCCAAATGGATGGTTAAACTCTTTGAGTTGATCATTCCGATCATTAAGGATTCCATACATCAATAATCTCACAGAATTAATAAACTTAAAGCCTCATACTGTTTGTTTTTTTTTTTAATTAAATGACTCAAAAATTATATTGTTTTTCAATTTAGAAATAAAATCATTTCCTTTACATATATTACACAAATTTTGTTTGACCGAAAAAACACTAGCTTCGAAATATTAGTTGTTGGTGCTTTGACACTTTTGAGGTGTGTAGTTTGAAACAAACAATAAACGTCTTTCAAGACATGTGCCTCCTAAAAAATTGCAATCCTATATGCAATATATTTTTATTCATTTCCAATATCTCGGCTCCAATACTCGGGGTTATTTCTTTGCTCATTTAGTGAGCCAATTTCAATAAATTATTTTTTTTTTTTTTTTTTTCACTTTTCCCGATGTCGTATAGCTCTTTTTTTTTTAAAGGCAAAGGCCTGTTCCTGCGAGCTGTGCGTGTTCTACGGTAATCGACGGCACGCTACGCTCCAAGGTCTACATCGTAGACGAACAAAGCAACGTTGAATTTATTCCTCTATTTATAGAGCATAATAATTTTATCGTAGAGTTTAATACAATTTGTCGGATAATAAAAACCATTAACGTAGAACAATCTCGGTTGGATTTGTTACCACTTTGATAATTCGTTTTAGGAACTTGTAAAAGATTTATCGGTTATTATTATTAACGTGGTTTCTTGAACGGAGAACAGAGAATTTATGTATTATGAATTTACTTGTTTCTTTTCATGAATTTTGATAATAGCAAAATATTTCCATTTGATAATTGAAGTTATACTTCTTTTGGCGCGGAGGGAAAATTTGTGAGAGTAAATTTTTACGATGCGCACTCCGTCACAAAAAACCGAAACCCTAAAGTTAGACATCTACGTTTATTTTCGTGAGAACTGACGACTGTATTCACGATATTTATTTTGTGATATTTAAATAAACTTTATTTAACTAGATAATGCGTTATAATAAAACTTTCAATGTATTAAATACCTTTTTTCTATTGTTAGTGTCGTTTTTTATACAAACGTAGAATAAGAATAAACGTAGAATAAAGAATAATTTTTGAAAATATTTTTATCTTTTTAGGCCAAAGAAGTATAACTTCTAACGCGTGTACATAAGTACACACACACTATTTTTTTCATTTTTTCTGCTTTAACGGAATATAAACGTTTCTTGCGTTATATATACTTTGAAAGTAGATACACATCGATATCATCTGATTAGCTCGGTTGTTTCGAGCATCTGGGTGCGTCTCCCGGAAGCCGCTGGTTCGAAATCCGGAGCGCCGAAAATTTTTCGCCTTATCAACGAAAATAGCATGGAAAAATCAAATTAATTGGGAAAAGATTTGGGTGTGACTGCTTGTGTTATAGGTAATACCTACAAAACGATCTGAACTTTTTCCATCGTTGATTGCTTATATTGTACATACATACATCCAACCCACGTAGGGTTGGATGTACATATAAATTCATTTGGCGTTTACTAGGAGCAGCCTACGTCAAGCCTTGGACAAACGAAGACTAATGATGATGATCACGTGTATCAATCAACTACATTTAAACCAGATTCTCTTCTATAACTATACTTATGTGTTAAATCAAAAGGACATTATAACTGCTCTTTTAGCGTAAACTTTAATAAATATAATTATATTAAACTTCATAATTAAAAAAAATATTTATACTAAACCTTACTACGTAGTAAGCGTGCGTGTCCCGAAGCTATCGATGCAATGGTCGAGGTACACAAGGTCGAGGGACCCTAAACATACAAAGCAAGAACATTTGCTTTTCAAACAGCGTGATAATTTTAGCTTTATTATTTTATCGTCTACTAACTCAAACGTAATGACCCGTAAACGACTTATCTATGACAGAAATCTTTTTCGTCGTGATTAATTAAAGCGACTCCGAAATAATTACAGATTATATATTCGTGTTAGAGTGCTTGCTTTTTAATAAGTTAATGACATTGCAACTGGCCTTATGCAAAAAAAATCTATTGACATTACTTTCTAATTTTTCTGTTGTAGTCACAGACTTATAAAGAGAAGCAGACCTAACATATGACTAAAAAAGCGTGCCAAATACACCCACATGCTTATTTCACGCACACTGATAAAATTCAAAGGGCCGGATTCGGGGACTTTAATGGATAAATTATTGATATTTTATTTCTTTAACACTGCAAAAAATTCTAAATTATTTCTTTTTTTTTTCTAAAGTAATTACAATGTACAATTATCACTTCACTTTTTTATATAGTATTGTTACTTCTGATTACCAACTTACTATCGTAATTTGATTTATAAATAGTCATCAATCGCGCCGAATATTTGTCATGCGGACACAGAATTACGATAAACTACTCGCTATATAACCCTTGGTACTTATATTAAGACACAACCTCTATACTGATTGTATCTAATTAGAGACTACAAATTTGGTTGTGTTTATCGAAAATACTAGTTATCAAATTGCACGTAATTAATATTTACCAACCTACAAATGTAATTGGATGGAGTTGAATAAAAAACAGAAGTATTCAAGAATCATTTATTTTTAAACAAAATAATTTTTTTCAGATAATTCCGGTCAGAAAGATTGCTTTGTTTAGCATCATGCTTCATCCTTAAATCAATGTAATTCTTAACAATTACACTTACTAATAAATACAAGTGATTAAAATCATGTTCGTCATTCGTTTTTAAATCTGAATAGTAATTTGAGGAATCAGCTATATATGTAATCAGACTTGTGTAATTTATATTTCCCTTGAACATTTTTAAGAATTTTTCACACAATTGAACTATTTTTATAAGACCATTAGACGGATACGTTAAACCTCCCCTATCTTTTTTATTAATTAACGATCTAGAGAAATTTTCTTTTTCTCCTACCATTAACATTTGACATTTATAACAATTTATAACTTTAATTACTTTTCTAGCTATAAAACCAGATATGTAAATAGTCACATGGTGAGCATACACATCCAAGGGGTTTGAAACAATATTTTCAAGAAAACAATTGATGTGTTCTTCGTTTATATTGTGAAGTTGCATTAAATTTTTTTCGAAACTAGGTGTGGTATCGTTAACAATATCTACAACTTTTTTGCTAGAACTTGTTTTTAAAATTATATTTGGAATGGTGAAGCCATCTCCTTCCATTTTAAATTTTATTCGTATAATGTTTTTTTTATAAGCAGTTCTAAATTGAACAACGTTAGGGTTATCATTAAATCCACCCCTAGCCCTCATTTTTCCAAAGAACATTTCTAAGAAATCCTGACTTATTTTTATAAACTGGCAGAAATTTTAATTTTCCTTTGCACACTAAGTCCTCGTACAAATTAAGAGCACTACGTAAGCTCACAATAAAACCCACAAACCCCGTTTTGCGAGCCGAATTAACAATTAAATTTCTGTTCGGTAATTTTAAATTCATGATGTATTCCTGCCAAGTAGCAATTAGCCCTTTTGCCATTTCAATATTACCACTACACAAAGCTTTTTTGTGTCCCGGCGCAAGTGTGGACCGACTATTTAAAATATCGAAAGAGTCGTTTATGATATAAATAAATTTTATCGTTGCTTTAGCCCCTTTAAATTCGTCAAAATTATCTTCACAAAAAGAAAGTGCGTCGGCAACTGATCTACTGAATAACTGCAAACTGCAAAACAAACGCACTTTCATTTTTTGTTTTGCGAACAGAATATGAGCTTGTTTTAATTTATTGGCTAAATGCAATCCTCTTTCGGTTTGAAGTTCCATCAATTGACTGAGATATTTAAAATTTATCACGTCACCGTCTTGATCGATTAAACTAATTCGCCTAAGGTGTTTCGTATGAGTTTTATCATATGGCAAGGGTCATAAAAAACATGTATTCTTCTACCCTTAAACATAAAGAATGGATAGAAATGTTTTAAATTGAAATCACATCCTAAATGAGTCGCCATAGCGATATTGGACGCAGCACCATCAAACGTTAAGCCACATACAAAAATATTAATGTCAAATAACATTACAATTGCCATTTTGACTATATTTGAGCGTTGTTCGCCCGTCATAGAGTTTATAAAAAAATAGCCAATTGGAAGTATCCAATTAAAGTTTATTGCCGTCACTAATATTACTAACGCCTGAGTGGCTAAAGGCAAACTATCGTCGAAGACATTTGTGCCAGTATCGACATAGCCTTTAAACTTATTTTCAGTTCCGTCCCAGACTAATCCTTTCCTGATAGCCATTTCGTCCAAACTTAAATTTACAAACACTTCATGTTTGCTTTGTTTAGCTAATGCCTCTAAAGTTTCGAAGCTTTCGCCGGTAAAACCTGGTTCAGCGTCAACTTTTTTTGTACCAGCGTGACAATGTGGCTGGGTGAGGTAAAACTGTGTTGAAGGAAGTTCGAACAAAATTATACGCTCTGGGCGAGTAGAAATTTAATTGCAGAGCAAAAGCTCTCAATTCTGGTGAAAATACTTTACTCACAGTGGAACTTTTTTGCTTTTTTCAAATATCTAACAAGGAAATCTTTGTTTTTTATATTAATTCCCGAAATTATATGAAGTTCATCCTGATTTAATTTTTTCTTTCAGGCTGGATATTATTTCAGAGAACTTTGAGACTTTATTCTTAAGCCGTCTATTCTGTTGTCTCAGTGCTTTTATCTTTTTTATTTTTGAGGACGGCTTTATATTTCATTTTTCTTATTTCTTCTTCTTTTCTATGATTGTCTTCATCCTGAAAGTCAAGAAATAACTTACTACTTTTTTATCTTTAATGTTACATATAACCATGTTGTAATGAAAGAGACAAGTCTTTAAAGAATGGCTTCTCTCCACCTTACAGGACTTTACCATAAAATCGTGATGACTCTGTGACGCAGTTGCCAAGGTATTGGCTTCAGCTTCGGGGTCGTGGGTTCGATCCGATAATTGCTAGTTTGTGACCCAGGTTGTTGTTCCTATTGGGATAGAAATTGACATTGGTGACCATCTACTATCAGGTGGCACATCTACTCCTTTGTTTACTCTATCACTTTAAAAATGTATCAATTCAAAAAAGGTTAGGAAGTACATGAAGTATTTTTGAGATAAGTAAATTATCGTAGGTTCATTATACATTATGAATAATATTTCAGAGTGTGACATAATAATAATATAAATAGAAATTACTACAAAAAAAAACATCAGACATAAAGACTGCGAGAAATTTACTTACGTAATTCGGGACTGTACTAGACACACCATGCTGTATGTTTTGAATTTCTCGCAGAATCTGTCCTTCGTTTGTAATTGTTGAAGTAGGCATAATCTAAAAATGAAAAGGTTTCTAATTACTATATGCCGGCACCAATGAAATTTATAATTTCAAATGCTGAATTATCACGTGCTGAGTGGTAAAGGAAAACATCGTGAGGAAACCTGGATATTTTCAAAATAATAATAAAAAAAATCATAAAGCAGATATATTAATCTTAGCAAGGTGCAGTTCAATCAGCAACAATTTACTCATTTCATGATACCTGAGTAATTGGGAACTTGTTACAAAATAAACTTAATTAAAAGCTTTTTAGCTTACAAAATAAACCACATTTGTGAGGAAAGCATCTCTAACAAATTGTACTTTCATTCAGTGTATGTGTATTTAATTGTTATGCTCTGGCACTCTTTAAGTATTTTTAATAAACATTCAGCATTACTTTACCGAGTCCCACCAATATTAATGTTTCATATTTATTAGATTAAGACTATGGCCATGATATTCCAGAATTACTTAAGTATTTTATAAGTATCTAGGTAGTATCTAACCATTTATCAAATTTTTATTAAGTATCTAACTAATTCTGAAAATCAATATAATACTTATAAAATGCAGTAATTTTTAACCTCAATTAAAAACAATGAAAAATACTCACGTCTTGCACCAGATCAAAGATTGTTGGAATGGCTCCTGGAGCAAGCACCGTTCGAAATCCGCTTTTATCTATTAAGGATGCTTCAAAATGCTTGGAGCATAGCACACTAGCTGATGTGGGCTGCCAGTCTGGTCTCTTTATGTTGCTCAACCACGCAAGTTTTATATTTTCATCCTTTGGAAACCTGCGCAATAAATGTGATAAGCATACATCCGAGATCCCAGTCATAAATAACTAAATACATTATTAAAAATTATTGAAATAAAATTAAAAATTACTGAATGCGGCCCATCAAAACATGCAAGTAGATAAAACGTCAAACAGAGAGTCCCAGGTGTTAAATTAGTCAATTAAAGAATGTAAATCGAAAGAAAATCTCTATAGTAGTAGTTTACAGCGTGGCAATTACTAATAGCTTTAACCTATTTAGCCATTAACAAAAAAATATCTCTATGATCATACGGAAATTAATATAACGCACTAAATACTAACCGATGGAAAGAAATTTCAGCTGTTTTCTTATAAGTTGCGTTGCTGCACAAAGGAGCACTGCACTTCACCATCCTCTTTCACTTTTAAGACGTAAGAACAACAATTCGCAGAAAATAAACGCAAAAGAAAACACTTGCTATTTGTTTTCGACGCCATATGTCGCTTATTTGCAGCTTAACAAGATGGCGATTGCTTCATTACAATTTTATCTATGTTTGTGTTCATGTTTCCACAGCAGGAAGAAAGAGATAACATTATTGGACTTTTAATCAGAGTAAAAGGTGTGAAGATATTAAATTATTCCTAAACATGTGTTTGTGAGTTAGTGTTAAGTCTGCTTCTCTTTATAAGTCTGTGGTTGTAGTATATAATATGCAAGTCTAAAATCACAGATTTTAAAAGTTCATGGCTTAGTAGGAAATTAATAAAAAAGACAGTACTAACTTGTACTCATTATGAGACGCAGCGTTAATCAATATAACTGAGAATTATTTTTTTGTAATTCAATGGTCATATGTTTACAGTCTATATTTTACTTTGGACTACATAGCCCAAACTCAGCATAGTATTTTCCACTCTTCAATTTAGACCATGAATTGGGTTCGGCCCAGATGCGTAGGTTAAAACGATTAATCATTCTCTATTACCTCTTTTGTAATGTACGTAAAGATTAGCAGGTGACCTGTTTACGGTCTATTCAAGGAATTTTTTTTCGCTTCACTGTATGTTTTGTAGTGTTTTATTAAAAATACTAAATCTTAAGTTTTTAACCCCATAATTTAAATCTAGATCTTGGTGAAGGTTTGTTGCAATGAAATGTGGTCCTAGAAACATAGTAAAAAATATTTATAGATACCATCTTGAAGATGAAAAGAAATGAAGATAAAAGCCTCTCGGCGTAAAATTTATTTACATATTGATTTACGAAATTACTCGAAATTTTATCTCAACATTTTTTGTCATTTTTTCGAAATATTATCTCAAATAAATATAATAATTTTTTTTGTACTTTTTACATTTCCAAAAGGGTTTATAACATCTGACATATGTGTTCAATATCGTTCCAAGGTCAACACAATCTAAGTCTAGTTCTAGTTAGTTCCTAATAATCATGAACTGCAGTACCTGTCCTGGTGTAGCAGCGCAGGTGAGACCTTCTTCCGAAGGTTGGCTAACGCCGCCAGCTCTTCTCGCTTACGGGACGGTGGCGGCGCCCCGCACAGTGTCAACAGAGGCGTAGGTGCTGGCTGCGACGCGCGTAGAAGTCTACGGCAAAAATTCCATCATAAATAACTAAATATTAAATATTATATTAGTTATCTAGCCCCGAACAAAGCAAGGCTTGTACTATAGATAGTTGACTAGGTAACGCGTAAACACACTTTTCTTTTGTAAACAAATACGTTTTATATATCTCTAACTTATCACCGAAAATATCTTGGAAAAATCAAATTAATTAGGAAAAGATTTGGGTGTGAGAAAAATTTAAGTGTGACTGCTTGTGTTGTAGGTACCTACAAACCTTCTGGACATTTTCCAACGTTGATTGCTTATTAATACGTGGGTTTAAATACGTATATAAGTAGATATATAAACACCTAGACACTGAAAAAAGACTATGTTCATCATACAATATTTTTGTCCAATCAGGCGCAGGAGACAGGTCCACCACCTGCTACGCCAATCAGACAATACTCAGACATAAAAACTCTAATCATTTATTCTTTTTTTTTACTTTGTTAATTGTTTAATACAATAGAAGAATCGCTTTGCCAACCGTACTCACTCTACGAAAAAGCAAATCCCAATAATCCCATTGTGGTAACAAGAGTCCTCGGCGGCATTTTCGCCTTCACACGCAGACTTTTAGTACATTTGCACACTTATCTAGATAAAAATCTGAAACCCCGGATGAGGTTTTTATCTATTTTCAGTACATAAAAGAAATTGTCTTTCGGTAAAAGCAAAGTATAATAAATATCAAAGACAAGACGAGCTTATAATTATAATTATTCATGTGTTAGTAAATAGAAACGATGATTGATTTTTTTAAAAGTATTTATTGGCCAGTAGGCCAAACTTAACAGAAGTTTCACTACAAATCTAAGTAAGCGACACAATCGTTATTAATTCGGGTAGAGCTTCCGCACTCTACAACGGCTGATGAGAAAGTCCTTTGACAGGGCGAGCGCTGCTCCGTCTATACGTAGTCGCAGTGTGCTTCTACCCTCCTATCTTCTAAAACTTGAATGTTTCGTATACGGTGGGGCCTCGGAGCTACATCTGCTTTTGCAGGAATGGGCAGGTTCTTAGGAGAACTATAGCCTCACAGAGAACCGACGTAAAGGTGCATTTCCTGGCAATTGGCCAGTATCCTAGGTATCCATGGTCGATGGTATTGACTTAACATGAGGTAACTGTGATAGGGCACTCAGCAGTGTTCACTGTTGCACGAATGGGCAGGTCCGTTCGAGTAAATACGAGGACCTCACAGAAGACCGCCGTAAAGTAGAAGTGTTACACTTCTGTGTTTCATCTGGTGAGTGAGGTAGCCGGGGCCCACGTTATTTAAAGGTGGCAACGCATCTGCAACCTTACGTGTGTTGCAAATGTCCATGGGCGACGGTGATCGTTTAACATCAGGTGAACCGCTTGTTTGTCACCTGTCCACACCCAATTGACGGAAACCAAAAATCTGGATCAAAGAAGTTATCCTCGAGGCTCCAAAAAAGTTATCAATATTAGTGTCAAGTCAGTAGTTGTCAACAACTCGCTGTTTAGTTTTAAAGGCTATTCTTTAAACATTTATCGTTCGAAAAAACAACGCATAAAAAAATTATTACGTTGATTTTTGATAAGCCTTTTTCACAACACGAACCCTCGTTTGTGTCAAATTGTAACAACATTCTATTAATAGGTTGTCAGAGTTCTGTCAAAAGCATCTGCCCGGAAATTTCTAGTCGACCTTTCTCAAATGCAAAAACAGATAGGAATCGAAACTTCTCATCAGTGATCGTTTATACACTGCGGGACGTAGGCTTTACTATTATAGCTATCTGGATCGATGAAAAATTTCTTTCCATCGTTTTTCATTAACTATTAGGTACCTCTCATTTAAATTTTAACGAATAATATACACAAAATAATTTATTATTATGTCTACGGCTGCGTTTGTTATTCTAAATTATAAATGGAAATGCATAAATTATAGTTAAATTCATTTCCGTCTTTACCCAAAAGTACATTAGGCTCATGTCCAACGTTGACTCAGAATTATCAATCAAGTCAAGTCCCCCATGACTCAGAATTATCAATAACTCACTGCCTTTGATTTTCTTAAAATTATTATAGAATACTAGCTGCTGCCCGCGACTACGTCTGCGTAGAATAGGCTGAAGGCGTAACATTCAGACAGAAAAACAGATATACATAAAAATATGTGTATAATTTATAGCTTATGTGTTATTCTGATGTATAAGCTATATTATTGTAAAGTTTCATTAAAATTCATTCAGTAGTATTTGAGTGAAAGAGTAACAAACATCCACCCATACATACAAACTTTCGCGTTTATAATATTAGTGAGGATAGTAAGGATAAACTAAGTAAAGTTTTAATTGTGATTACCAAATCAAAATACACTACCCATAGTATTTTGTTCAACCTTTTTTACATATCAAAGGCCTTCCTAGTTCTCGTTGCCCATGGCCTCCTGATTGTAAAAGATATCTCTGAGAGAACCATATGTAGTAAATGTTTAAGCTTTTATTTCACTGTGAGTACGACGTTCATCAATACCGAGATATGGATATATGGATATAGTTTCATACGAACTCAATACAGCACGTGACATGTCACGCTGAAAATACTAATAGGACAAATATGATACACTCGGGGTAGGTATACGCTATTACAACATCACTATGAAGTAACGTTGTAGGTAATAATCGTGCAATTTTCATGATGAGTTAGAAAAGTTGCTGACATAATTACTCGCACTGATAGGTACATTAATCCTGGAATTTCAAAACACCTATATCTTCTTTCGTTATTAAAAGCTGATGAGGAAAATTGAAATATTCTAAACTAAATTAATTGTTGATTAATTTTCGTAAAATAAGGCGTGCTGTGATAGGCATCTTAAAAGTCTTAATCAGCAAATAAAAAAACAACTTGTGCATACATTTTTGCTGTGTAAAGTATATAAAACTAAAATAACAAAATCTCCTTCTACGCTTAGAATATTTTAGTTTTAAAGAAGTTGGAAATGTAAACAATAGAGTTGTAAATATTGCCTCCGAATATTTATGATACTTCTTATTTTTTTCATTATTTATTTTAGCTATAATATTTGCCGATGAATCCTTACATAAAACAGACCAAAACGGTATCTGCAAATGGCATAATTAATCTAAAATTTTGATTCAGTTTTCGACACCACAAAGGCACAAAGGAAGAGTTAGGAAAACCGCATCGGTGTCCTTTGTTTACGAGCAGGAATACTCGTCAGTTCAGGCGAGTCTACGTCATTTAAGCGATATAGAAAATATTTCACACCATGTCAAATGAAATAGATACTTAAAAACAAGTGCTTTCTGTTAGATAACCGAAATAAAAAGCTGTGCTAACCGTTTGGAGACCGGCGTTCGCTTCGAGAGCAGTGTGTACTCGTAGAGGTTGGAGCTTGAGGGATGCGGATGGAATGCTGGTGCCGGCGGATAATAGGCCTCATCCTCCTTGTAGTTGTTATTAACTAGGACCGATTTTAACGGCAGTAGCTCGACGTTGTCGTCGGCGTGTCGCTCGCGTGGCGAAGTCATAGCGCGGATGGCATCGTGCGCTGCCGCCGGCCGCTTGCAGCCTACTGAAAGATGCGCCCTTGAAAATGCTGCAGCGTAGTGTGGGACTGAGATGAAACGAAGCTGCTAGGCGTGCTCCTTCAAGTTTGACTATGTATAAATAATTCCCCCGTAACATTATATAAGTAATTTCAACAAACTTACAGTATTGGACGCAAAGCTTATTAAGCTTTGCGTACAGTACTGTAAGATTAATAAGCTTAGCTTATATGAGCTTAGCTTATATTAAGGCTTCACTACATTTTGTTTTTAAATAGATTCTGCACAAAAGTTGCAGTTGTTTAATCTTTTTTATTAACTTTTTAATAACTTTTATTAACTAATTTCTTTTTGAGGAGTTCCCTGGAGTGTCTCCGGATTCCAATACTAATTAATTTGATATGGGACTACATGGAAGTAAACCTAACCCAATACGAAAAATTAAATGGAAAATCGGTTCATAGTCGACGGAGTTCTGTGGTAAAACACATAAGAATATAATATAACAACCGAATTGTGAAACGTTTGAAGTCGGTTGAAAACGTGATTTTGTAGAATTTTCATTGGAATATTTAATTTTTTTTTTAAATCATACAAAGTATTAGTGGATGACGCAACGTCTTTTATTTCGAATGCTCCGCCACATCCCTATGCCTGCGCTACCAGGCAGCACACAAGCGAGGCTAAATTCGCATGCGCGGATGATTTTACCGTTCGTTTTTTCTTTATTTATCGCAAACATTCTAAAATTAAAAATTTTACAATAAAATCAACATTGGTAAGGTTATATATTCTTCATTCCTTCATAAATTTTATTTCGTACTAGCTTTTCGCCCGCGGCTTCGCTTGCGTTGAAGCCCTTAAATAAATATCTTTAAACCTTTTACACACTTCGTTAACTGGGGTAGGGCCACGCAGCAGCCTCGGCTGAACGAATAGGCAGGCTCATCCGGATAAGTACCACGACCTCACAGAAGACCGGCGTAAAGTATAAGTATAATACTTTCGCGTTTTGTCTGGTGAGTGAGGTAGCCGGAGCCCAATTTTCAAAATATTGGCAACGCATCTGCAACCCTCGGATGTAGCAGATGTCCATGGGCGGCGGTATTCACTTAACTTGGCAACATTTAACATAAAAAAACACTTTTCCAATTAAAAAATAGCCTATGTGCTTTTTCAGGCTCTAGACTATCTGTGAACCAAATTTCATTTAAATCGGTTCAGTAGTTTTGAAGTGACAGCGAGACAGACAGACCGAGTTACTTTCGCATCTATAATATTATATAGTATGGATTTCTTAAAATGAAAATTATTATTACTGAAAACTTATTAATTTACGATGGCTGGCTTTTTATGTGTTCAAACTCTTTAAAATTTTTTCAAATTATAATCAAGTCACTTAAAAAACCGTCATTTCAATTGTCTATAAACTTGTGACTAATTTTATTTTTAGTAATGGTCTCTGAACTCACGATGAAAATTAAAATGTAAAAACAAAGTAAAAAAAATAACTTTTTCCATACAAATTTTAGGCGCAGCAGAATTTTTTGACAATTTAAAAAAAAACATTTTGCATGCCCACAGTAATGCTGCGCATCAATATTATTTGAGCATTCAAGCATCATAAATTTGTTAAAAAAATGGCAGAATTAAATTTGTTAATAATCGACCAATTGGTACCTGTATGGTAAGCGGACGTTGGTAATCATAGCGTCTCTTTGCAACTTTTATCGTAAACTATTTAACCCAGCTTAAAGAGCTATGGCTTTAGGTGGTAATGAACGCTTAAAAAATAACGAGGGCATACTATTTTGTAGACATGTAAAAAAATGTGATATAAGTTACATCACAAAAAAGGATTACAGCGAAAGCTCAAATATTGTAATGTAGTAGTAGTAAAAAACGTAGATGACAAAAATAACTACAATTAAAACATGTCGTATTTAATTTTAATTAACTTAATAATACATACCCACTTTTGATTGAAGTCATTTAATTTCAAAAACCCTTTCTGGAAACTTTAATTCTTAAAAGGATATATATAATATGAGTACCATATTATATAGAGAAAATAACATTAATCATAGACTTCTGCTGAAAGGTCCGAGAGACATTTAATTCGAAAGCAAGTGGTGATGCGAATAATAAAACATTGCCAGTCGGTTCTGCGACTAATTCGTTTGGAAGTATGTTTTAAACATTGTTTTTTTTTTTGTGCTAGTACCTAATACATTATTTATATTCTTTTAATAATTTCCAACCAATAAAAACCTGGTCCACTTAAAATGGATGCAAAATACTTTAGTGACGGTTTACTGAAGAATTAGTAGAATTATGTCCAAAACTAGTTTCCATATTTCATACTTCACAACTGCGACTTAATTATTACCCTGACGAAGATAAATGGAACACCATTTTCCTTCTCGCATTTGAAGAATTAGAGTCATATGTAAGCGATTTGTGTAAAAGACAATGTGTAGAATAATAAAAGTTTTTAAGGGATTAGAGTCATATGTAAGCGATTTGTATAGTTTAAATGCAGAGTGTGGAATAATAAAGTATTTTAAGGGTAATAAATCTCAAGCTAATTTTGATTAATTCTATAAATGTTGCGACACATAATGATCTTTCAGAATATGACCTTTTGGGGAGCTCTTTCCAAAGCCTAAAACTTAGCTTTTTAAACTCCACCCCCACAAGTTTTAAGTAAACAGATTGATTGGACAATGATTCGTAATTCGTATACAGCTTGGCACTACTACCACGACCCTCAATCAACATAAAATTATAGAGGATAACTTTTTATAGAGAATATGTAAACATTTACTTTCTTTCAACATCTTATAAGGTTGCCTGGAAGAAATTGCTACTACTTTAGCAATAAGGCAGCCTGTATGTAAACTACGTTTCCTGTACCTGTATCTTCTTTCTTTGTATTTCCTTGTGTGCAATAAAGTATATTCGATTCTATTCCATTCTATCAACATTTACAGATTTATTAAATTTTCCAAAACAATAATTTTAGAAAATCTTTTAAATTCATTATTTGAGTGAATTTTGTTCTAGTTGTATAGGAGGATGTTAAAAATTTTGTTTTATTTAATTAGTTTTTTTTGATAATTATTTTATTAATTTTACAGTGGTACACAGCAGCCTCAGCTGTTGCACGAATGGGCAGGCTCGTCCGGGTAAGTACCACGACCTCACAGAAGACCGGCATAAAGTGAAAGTGTGACAAATACTTTCGCGTTTCGTCTGGTGAGTGAGGTGGCCGGAGCCCAATTTTCAAAAGGTTGTCGAAGCATCTGGAACCCTCGGGCGTCCATGGGTGGCGGTATTCACTTAACATCAGGTGAACCGTCTACTCGCTTGGCAACTTTTCACATTAAAAAAAAACAAAAAATAATTATGGATTTTTTAACGTTTATATTTTTTATGATTATTGGCGAGTAGCGAGTAATCATTTTAAACACTGGTGGTAGTCACTACTATTGACACTCAGATACACACACTGACTAATATTGACACTCAGATGTCCAAAGCCCCAATATGTACCGTAAGTACACACATCATAATAAGTAAATTATCTAATATTTGCATTATATATTTTCAAATATTTTATAGCATCTATAATATCGGGAAATGAAAATCAATTATACGGACAATACTGCGAGATGGACGATGGACAGTGATGGATTTTTATTTAATTGAATTTTGTGACTTTCTCAAGTGGAAACAAAATATTTACACATAAAAAAGGCGCTTGGGACGTATATTCAAGTACCATTCAGGTGCACAGCCTCACCGAGCACATATCCTAAAATCGTCACTCTAACGATTCCAAGAAGAGTCTCATGGGCTTACTCCAATTCGAACACATTCAGCGAGCGAAGTCTCCTTAGGAGACAATTATACGAACCTAGTTTTCGAACCATCAATTTCAATTTTGTGTGAACGGAATCTTTCCCACCGCCATCCTCGCCTGAGATTTGTGACTTTAAGTGCAGGTCAGATTGTGATTATTACTCGAATTCTCGAGAACATGATTATGATCGGGGATAGCGCTTAACATCTGGGCTCTTAGATTTTGTCGTCAAATACTTGTTTAACCTGTAGTACCTGGAGGACCGAGCTTTGCTCCGTTTTTTTTGATAAATCGTGTATTTTGGAAATAAAAAAAATAAAGAAAATTATCTGGTATAAAAAAAAAGTAAAAAAAATAAGTGTGTAAATGATCGTGATACGAACCGCGGCCGTCCGATTACCGACCGAGCTATTAATAACACTTTTTTGCGGCGAAATTTATCGTCATAATCGAATAATATTTTTCATTCTCTGAAAAGGACGTTTTCTAAAAATGAAACATAGGTAGATCGATTTTTCACCCCCGAATCTACGCACATACTAAATTTCATGAATGATGTTCTTTAAAAGTAACCGTTACAAATATCTGTTGCAAAATAACAGCCTGTTATTTCAGACTATGTTGTGGCCTGTATCTATAACTGTTACCATAGAGGAACCTGATATTTGTAACAGTTGTTGTCATTGGTTGTTACTCTTATCTTTCATGCTTTTACAGGCTTAGGACAAAACAGTAAACAAAAGCAACAACAACAATGTCAATATTGCGGTGAAGTTGCATGTGACGTGACGCCTGCGCCATTCAACTTCATAACATATTTTCATTTTGATTTCTTTAAATCAAAATTTTTATGTATGGTTTTCATATTACATGATAAATATTTATATGAAAATTAAATATCTGTTCACGGTTAATATACTCACATAGTAACTTTGTAAAAATGTGTGCACTACATATCTGATCGCAGTAACAGGAATAGAAAGTATCATTGCATGTCCGCACTCCGTACTTCTCTTTCTAACAAAGCTATATGACCCATATAAGAAAAAGAAAGAGCATATGACAGTGACAAAGTGTTCCGAAGTAACAACCTAACAAGCAAAAACTGTGACAGTGACAGGGTGTAGTGTAATGCAAAGGTGTAATATAGGTAACACTTAACAATCTGTTACGGAAACGGAACAATTTGTTTGGAACAGTGGTACTGTGGAACAGGAACCGTTATTTAAGTTTGTTCGTAACAGGTAGTCTGTTATCTCAAAATACCTGTTATATTCACCTGTTACCTATATATAAATACGTCTCACTCCTAAATCCCACTTGTATTGAATTTGATTTTGAACCTTTTGTTATTGCGTTGTACAGATACATAATATATTAATTTATTTATTTGTAATTTAAAAGATAAGAACTCAAGTACACTGTAAAACCTCAACAACTAATTTCATATCAAGGCTAATGAATTATTGGAATAATTCACAAGGTTTGTAATATCAGTTTCATTATTAGCTAGATGCCATAAAATATTTGTTCACCGACAAATTTTTAATATATATGTCAGTTGTGATATTTATTGTTATATTGTTCAAGTACCAAAATGGGAATTGCTATACATAATTATAAAAGTAATGTGTACTTAATTAATTAATCTTATATAATTTCTTAAATTATTCTTACTATTCACACATTAGAGTCTAAGTTAACAAAGCTATTGCTATTTCAGATGAACATAAGTGAAGTGTCACCGATACATAGATGTAAGACAGTAAACGCCCGAAGACTCTGTTTATATGATGTTGGTGTAAAGTTAAAAGCACCTGGTCAATATGATATAGGTGGTACATACATGAATGATCAGCCCGAACTTTGGTTTTTCTGTGATACATCTTTATGTCCAGGCTTCAAGTACCTACTAAATTTGTTTGTATGCTACAGAAAAGCAGGAATCTTATCCATAGGTGTTAGCACTGGAAATGAACTGATACATCAGAATAATGTTGGTGGTATATCATACTCACAGCTACCTGACAAAATCACATGGAAAATATTGAGAGCTGTGCAGCCAAATGAAAACTGTTTCATAAGAACATTTTGCTTCTCAGAAGTAGAAGTTACTAACATGAAAAATAACACATTGTATATACCTGTTATGCTAAATTGGGAACCAAATCGTTTATTGATGGATGAGACAGTAAATAGAGTTAAATTGCAACATGATTTTGGTGACTTACTTTTCAACAAAGATAAGACAGATTTTTTAATAAAAACCCCAAGTGGAAAACAACAATGTATACACAAAATTGTTCTAGCTGCTCATAGTCCAGTCTTGAGAACAATGATCAAAAACCAGAAAGATGATTCAATGTTCATTGATATATCTGATAATGATCTGGACCTACTTCTACAGTTCCTGTATACAGGAACGATAAAAGACCTTTTGAAACAAAACTGTCTTCAACTATTGGAAATAGCAGAGAGGTTTCAGTTGAAAAATCTATTCCTTTTAACCCAATATGCTATTAGTAAACAGGTGACAATTGACAATGCCATAGATATTGCTTTACTATCTGAAAAATATAAACTAGCAGAAATGCAGTCAAATATATTTGCCTTTATAAAAAAAAATCCAGAAGTCTTACAAACTGAAGGATGGAAAAAATTAAATGATGTCAGTTTAACAAAGAAACTTTTAGAACACATCTATAGAGACAACAACATAATTTTAGATGATAATATCTAATTAAGATTAAAAAGTAACAAATTATCTTAAGTATGTACTTTTTAATAGTAATTACTTTTATTTATGTATAAAGAAAATAATCAGGATTAGGACAGATCAAGTTTTGAAAACTAACATATAAGTTTTATTAAATCTGTTAAAAACATAATCAGTCTATTTGTTTGCATAAGAAAGAATGAATGCCTTATATCAAAATTAATTTCAATATTTTAAAACTTGACTACTTTATTATTAATCCACAATTTTTGGTACAGACAGTTTGTTGTGATTTTTTTCTTCATTTTTAGGGTTTTCTATATAGGTGCGAGCAGCTTCGCGTAAGTACAGTAAACTAGGCTGTTTAGTATAAAAAAAAATAAAAATCTATCCACTAAACTTTTAGCTTTACGAAAAGAAGCTATCAGTTTTGACGTTTATGTCTTTTTAACATTATATTTTGGCAAACACATAAATAATAATAATTCGCCAAGTCAATATTAATGTTACTAAATATCCAGATCTCCTTACAGAGGATGTCTGGAAAATAAGAAAAAATAACACTAACGCCCGGTTTCTGAAACACTGATCACTGTATAAATTAACTAATCACCTGGCAAATGGCTTTTCAAAAGTCATTTGAGTTGCCAAAAGGATGGTTAAACAATTTGAATTGTTTATTCAGATCATTAATTAAATTATGACTCCATGGCGTAGTTGCCAAGGTATCTGCTTCGGCGTCGGGGGTCTTGGGTTCGACTCCCACACGGGACAAGTATTTGTGCCACCCACAGATAGTTGCTTCGCATCTGGGTGTTTATCCATGTGATATTTATGTTTGTAAAACATCCTTTCAAAACTGGATAATGTTATCCTAAAGTGAAGGCAATGTTTTTTTTTAAGAATTAGCGTTTCAGAAACCGAGCATAAAAAGAAACAATAACCACCTATAATATTAACATGGTGTTGGATTGTACTTGATTAGACGCACGAAAGTGTGCATCGTATAAATGCACACAACCCTCTCACCTAATCTTTATCTGTTCATCTAATTAACAGCCGCCAATGAGTTTGGACTGACTCAATGATATTATTATATACAAAGTATTATTATACAATGATATGACACTAGCGCACCGAGGCACTCAAATTACACCACTTGGTGTAATTAGATTCAATTCTATATACTGCTATCTTTTTCGATAACATACGTCATATATCATCGGGGATGACACATTAAGATACAAGAAAATGTATAGAATAAAGACCTATTTTTTAGGGTGTGTGTGTGTGTGTGTGTGTGTGTGTGTGTGTGTGTGTGTGTGTGTGTGTGTGTGTGTGTGTGTGTGTGTAAGTGGTGGGGGTATCTTTTACGTCATGTCTAACTTGCTACTACAGATGTTGGCGGTAAAAAAAACTTCCGTTCCTATCTATCTAATATATTTAAACGAGACTACGAAGGGCAATTTCGCCATCATCTACAAGGTTATAATAGGTCAGGTGGAAAATGGGGCGGTTCTGAAATCAGAAGACCCCGGTTCGAGTCCAGATAATTTCATGTAACGTCATCCAGGTACTATCAATGATATTAAGAGATACGATCATTTATTTAAAAAAAAGAAGGTGCCTGCTATAACATTCTGATTAATCGAAAACAGCGTTTATTACATATTTACATTTGTACTCCGACTTTCTAGTGCTAAATTACCTTTGATACCTATAAATAAATGTATTTTAGGACACATTTTACACAACATTCTCTAATCACAAACTAAGCAACGCTTGTACTATGGGTTCTAGATAACTGATAAACATAATTTTCTTTTGTATGTAAATAAACACATTATAAATATATAAACAACCGGACACTGGAAAAACACTGTGTTCAACACATAATATTTGTCCAGTAGTTGGGCTCGAACCCACACCCTCTGACGCAGAGGCAGATTGTATAGTAATAACTATAGGTAGTAGGCAAATTAATTTCACTATAAAATAGAAAATATGTATTGTACATAGGCAAAATACCTTCTAGCTAATAAAGTTTTTTAATTATTGGCAGACATTATGCAATAAAGACTTAAAATACACTCTCATTTATATATTTATCGTGTTTAAAAAGCGACGGCGAGGCGCATTATCTAAATATTCGCCGCCGTTGTTTTATAAAGGTACTCATAACTTAACGCATGATTAGAATATATCATAGAGGTGGAGTAGTGTACACTTTCCTGCTTCTAGTACCTATTCATGTAAGGCAGTCGTGCAGTGTCGGATTAACCACGAAGCAGGAGTAGCAATTGCTACTAGCCCAACGCCAATGGTGCCCCGCATATTTAAACCCACTTGGCTCTGCCTGATGGTTAATTTTTTGAGGGTAATTTATTAAAAAAGTTTTGAATTATTTTTTACCACTATAAACTTAAGAACACATTGCAGATTAAGGGCTGTTTGAAATAATTTGCTACGGGCTCCGCGCTTGCTTAATCTATCCGGCACTGCAGTCGTCCCAATATGAATTGGAGAGTTCCCCAGTTAAAGGAATTCATGTCGAGACCACATTGCCTTCTAATGTTTCAGTTCCTGTGCTGTTTATTTATATTTATAATCCACTAGCGACCCGCCACGGCTGCGCACGGGTAGCATTATCTTTTTCACCCGTTCGCTAGTCATTTGCCTGAAAAAATATCAAAACCTGTCCAGTGGCTTTGTAGTGCGAACATATATTCACACTTAGAATTATACACATATATCGATTAATAAATATAAATAAATTCACTTTGAGGCTTCATAAAATTATGAAATGTTTTTAAAATGCAACCTCTTCAAGTTGTTCATAGAGATGACTTCAAAATTCATTTCACTAACAATTCCGTTCATGACATCAGCCTCGTTTTCGCTATACTCGTACAAGTCCAAGTAATCGCACGATCTTCAAATCGTTTTGTCTGAAGAGTTATACGCCGGACCATATTTTGCCATAACCCATTGGTGGATTTAGGTTCGGCCTGGGCCGTATTTATCAGATTGACACAAAGCTATAATTTATAGAGATACCAGCGACCGGCCCCGGCTTCGCACGGATGCAATAAAAGATAAAAATGAATATACATTAGACATATATAGTTTGCAATGTAAGCGGCCAAAACATGTTTGTTACCTACGACATCACATTCCAAATCTTGGAATTTATCAGCTTTTCTCTACTATAATATGCATGTTTACTAAATAAAAACCAGCCAAAAACGAGTTGTATGGGAGCCCCACTTAAATATTTTTTTTCTCTTTTTTAAAGTGAGTTGTTATAGCGGCCAGGGCCGAATTTAGGGGAGGGCAACCGGGGCAACAGCCCGGGGGCCTCCATAAATGAGATTTCGGAAAAAAAATTCAAATTCAGACTGGTAAACAATTTTTCCTTTTATATTTTTTTCGCGTTTTACTTCTTTTACCTGTAATACTTTGTACAAACATGATAACAGTAAATATTAACAGAAATCAGTAGAAAATAATTCGTGGCCAAGGGGCCTCCACTCCTTTGTTGCCCCGATGCCTCCAGACCTCTAAATCTGGCCTTGATAGCGGCAACAGATATACATCATCTGTGAAAATTTGTCTATCACGGTTCATGAGATATAGCCTGGTGACAGACGGACAGACAGACAGAAAGTGGAGTCTTAGAAATGGGATCCCGTTTTAGCCTTTGGTAAAAACCTTCCTCCTGAATAACTCTATCTTCGCTCTCTATCGACCCGAATGGCGTCGTAGGAATTGTACCTGCCTTCTGCGCCAAAGGGTGTGGGTTCGATCCCCACTACTGGAAAAATATTGTGTGATGAATATAGTGTTTTTCTAGTGTCTGGGTGTTTATATATGTATAATATGTATTTATTTACAAAAGAAAAGCATGTTTACGTATGTTTATCAGTTATCAAGTACCCATAGTACAATCGTTGGCGTTGCTTAGTTTGGGACTAGAGAACGTCGTGTAAAAATGTGTCCTAAAAATATTTATTTATTATTATTGATTTATCTATTACTGAAAACTGCATTAAAACAGTTGCGTGGTTACGCAGTCATAACTCCTGCCGGGTTGCTAGTTTGATTATTATTTAAAAAAAAAAGCTTAATAAAACTTTCAACCACATTTTTATTGAATCAATAGAAAACTACAACACTAAACTAGGTACTTGACAAAATGATTATCGGAAGTTAGGCCAAGCTATTTATTCTTGCAGACACCAAGTGTGTTTTTTAGTTTTCTAAACTAATTGTTTGCCACTTGCCAATTCTCTAGTATTATTCAGAAAATAGTGACATCCAGGTATTATATCCCATACCTTTTGAAGATTATGCTTTTTAACAAAATGTGTTGCCCAACTGTCTTCGAGAAAGTGTAGCAATTTAAGTAAAACTTACTATTAAACCTAATATTTCACATCTCCCTCTTCTTCGATTACACGTCGATACAAGATCGTTCGCTACGTGTCGCCTGTCGGTCGCATTGCTTCATTGCAAGTCTAATAAGAAGGGTTACAGGGTTGTAATAGAGTTGATATTCCAATCCAGGCGGCGATCAATATTTAACTGACTCTCTGAAGAAAATAAAACTGCGTCCAACGTATGTAGGCTCGAATCGTTGACAACCATAATATCTTCTGCAATCGCCACAACCCTTTCACATTGCGAAAACATATTGCATTTCTGCATTTTATAACACGCTCATCACGGGGAGTGATCTGAAAAATGGTTCAGATTTATGCCTGCCGCTAAATTTCACCACCGTACTAATGACAAACCATTACGTTCAGTACTGTAGGTTTCTCAAACAATTTTCTACTAAGCACATACATTTTTTGGATTCAATTGTCTCATAATCTTACCTCAAAGGTTAGTAACACATTTGTAACTCCTTGGTCACTTACCATCCGGTGACTCGATTACTCATCATTTCGCTATAGTTAAGATAAATCATTTCTTAACCCTATATTCCCCGACATTCGAGCCAAGGACTAGTACTAAATTACAGCCTCCGTGATTATTTTCCCCCTATTTTAGCAACGGTGCCACCGAATCATAAAAATATAAAATTACATATACTAATCGCTGTACACTTATCAAGAAAAATACAAAAATATTTGCTTTTTCTTGACCATGCTAAAACCCCTTTTATATTACAAAATTAAATTTTAGTGTATATAATAAAATTTATAATTATATTTAGATATAAAAACATAATAGAAATATTACTTTTTATAGAGAGTAGTAAACAGATTGACCATAGACAAGTTACACCTACACGCGCAGCAAATTGAAATTGTCCCTCATCCCGAGGTGTAGGTACCGTCCCGTCAAGCGTGGCTAATCAAGGCACCAAAAGGTGAGGTTTCTAATCGTTAAATTATCATTTTTTGTTCTGTACTGCTAACATCCTTATTACCTCAAAGTGAGCTACAGTGACAAAAGCTTCATAATAAAGTGTATAAACCCTAAAATATACATTTGAAAACGAAAGAACTGGTTACAATATAGTGCATCAGTGTTGATTGCAAAGCGTTAAATTTTTCTACATAAAATTTGACAGTATTTACTTGTTTAGCTGATAAAGAGAGTTATTTTAGGAAAATGAGCAGCTCGGAGGAGGTATCATGGATTTCATGGTTCTGCGGGCTGCGAGGTAACGAGTTCTTTTGTGAGGTGAGTATCACGATTTGTAATTATTGTTTGTCTTATGTACATTTATTAATCTAATTTTTTAATTTTTAAGGTCGATGAGGACTATATCAATGATAAATTCAACTTGACGGGGCTCAACGAGCAAGTACCACATTACAGACAGGCCCTGGATATGATTCTAGATTTAGAGCCTGGTGAGTGTGTACCATAGATAATACCAGTGTCAAATTTGTTCACTAGTTCATATAAAATCAAATTAAATTATTGTATTGCTAAAACATAACTAAGTTCATGCTATTTCTAGAACTATAACAATATGCATATATATTTAAATAATGTTTGTATTATAAACTATTGTTTTAAATTAAAAATATAATAAAAGAAATATATATATATATATATATATATATGTAATAGTATATAATATATTGTTTGAGTTGACTGTAATTTCATCCAACAAATTACATCTTTTAATGTGAATTTCGTGGTATTCTTTTGTAGGTAAGTAAGTAAATTGGTACCAAGATATTAAATAAATTTTTTCCACATATGAATTACTTTTAATGTTAAGCGTCATTTTACCTACATATGAATAACTTTTAATATTAAGCCTTAAAACTTGAATTGACTTACTTTTAAAATAATTTTATAGTGATCTAACATAACGGGTGCTTATGACACAAGTAAAATGTGGGTTAAGTTTTTTTGTTGAAGATCCTGTCCAAATATAAAGACAAAACTTCATCAGTGTGTTGAAGTGTTTTTATGTGATATTAGAAGTTTTATCTATTTTTCTATTTTAGATGATGACCTGGATGACAACCCGAATCAGTCAGACTTAGTGGAACAAGCATCTGAAATACTGTATGGGTTGATACATGCTCGCTATATACTTACAAATAGGTATGACTTATAAAATTCTTGTACAAAAAATTTTAAGCGCATTGAATTAGTCCATAATATAGTACTGTATAAAAATATTCTGTGAAGTAGCCAACTGATAAAATTTAAAGCCTATATATGTGTAACCATTAAATAAAATTTAAACTATATATGTGTAAAAAAAAAACATGTACGTTTTTTTTTTTTTTTTTTTTTGAAAAGTACTCAAGCAAGCAGTTGGTTCACGTGAAGTTATGTGGTTATTGCCACCCATGGACATCTACACCGCCTGAGGGCATTTAATAATCTTTAAAAAAGTGGTTCCTGCTTAACCTTACTCACCAGAAGAAGCTTAAAAGTAAAAAACTTCCACTTCACTCTGGTCTTCTATGAGGCTGTCAACTGTGTACTGCCCCAGATGAGTTTACCACAGCAAATATTCAAATTGGATTTACATGGGTTTGGTGCACTTATGGATAATTGTTGCAGGTTTTTACAAGTTTGCTTGTAAAGACTATAACTCTCAACTTGACAAAGAAATGCTAGCTATAAGTGCTACTTGCCATCTGAGTGCCGCCATTAGTCTTTCCCCTTTTACCAACTGACACTTCACAATTTAGCAGTAAAGTAAAGTAATAGTATATATAATTTTGTGGTGATGTTACAGTATAAAATAGTTCTTTTGCTGTATTTAAAAAGTAATCATCTAAATTGATGTTTTTACTAAATATTTGATAATTTTGGAACCAAGCAGTTTAGTGAATAATCATAAAAGAATTAGAGTGCCAATTATATTTCCTGGCAACCTTGGGTTAGGTTAGGGATTAATTTTCCCATATTATGCCTATGAAAAATCATGAAGTGTCATGTAAAACATAATATTAATATTAACATAATATTTATATTATTCCAGATTTTAACAGCCTTATTTGTCTATTTGTTATTGAAACAAATATATTTTTGTAGATATATGTTAACACGGTTTGTGTTATTTATGTAGTTCTATCAGATTCTAACTACATGTTTATCTGCCAAATAGGGGGATTGGACAAATGCTAGAGAAATTTCAAGCAGGAGACTTTGGTCACTGTCCAAGGGTCTACTGTGAATGCCAACCAATGCTTCCACTTGGTAAGTAAAAAAATAAGTACAGTGTTTCTGTATAGTTAAAAAAGCAAAGAAAAAGGTATTGTATTAATACAGTGTCAAAAAATCAGTTTTAATTAAAAAAAATTACTGAAAATCAGGAAATTAAATGGGTAGACCATTGCATATGGGTATGGTATCTGTACATTAGAATGACAATATAATGTAATATATATTGTATATATACATAGGACTCTCGGATGTTCCTGGAGAGGCTATGGTGAAGCTCTACTGTCCCCGTTGCATGGATGTGTACACGCCGAAGTCCTCGCGACACCACCACACTGATGGCGCGTACTTTGGAACCGGCTTCCCACACATGGTTTTCATGGTGCACCCAGAGTACCGACCCAAGCGTCCTGCATCACAGTTTGTACCTAGGTTGGTATTCTGTTTTATTTAATTCCTGTTCAAATTGCTTCTTGCTTATGTGATTACAGACTTTAGGATGATTCTTTTTTCACTTCACCTTATTTCAAAGGAAAAAGAATTTTTTATAGAAATTAATTTGGTTAGATGAGTAGAGAATCCCTTGCATGTTTTTAATACAAGTTTACCACATCTTATATCTATATGTCAGATACAGTCTTATTAACATTCTTCCTATTTCCCCTAGATTGTATGGATTCAAGATCCATCCGCTCGCGTACCAGATTCAACAGCAAGCTGCGGCTAACTTCAAGGCTCCGCTCCGGAATCTCTCGTATAACAATGGTAAACGCTAGGGCAGCTTCAAAGCGCGCCACCACGCGCCCAAAGCTGCAAGTTGATACAGATGCTCCATGTACATATATTTTATCAATGGAGTGGACAGTCATTACATAGCCAAGGTTTGCATTGGAAAATTTGGAAAAAATTGGAAAATTTGTAAAGTTTTTTATTACATTTTAAATACATTTTGAATATGCAAACCATGGCCATGTTAGATAACATGAATATAATTCAAAATGATAAAAGACTGCCGCCTAAAACCCTGTCCACTCATTATTGTCATAATGCTTTATAATTATTTTTTTCACAATTAACGTAAATCATAAAAAGAATTTTGTGTTTCTTCTAGTACACTAATTTTCACTCTTTGTAGTACCATTTTTGGGTAACATTCGTATCAAGTTGTCATTTGTGATATACTTTCAATTAAAAATGGCCACATGTTATGTAGGGAGAATCTGTATCAAACAAAATTAATTGTAAGAGTAGTATACCGATAGTCTATGGTGAGACAACTAACGTTGGAAAGGATATGAACTTTTTGCTGATATTCATCACGTTAAGTTGTTAGAAGGTCATCAATCGCGAAAATGGCCAAAGTGTTTGAACATTTATCAAGTAGTAAAAATAGCCAAGTATGATTCAGTTAATTCATCACCCATTGCTACCTTGTATAGTAATTACTCATGAAATTGCTATCCAATATTCATTATCACAGAATTGATACATACATTTGTTATAATATTATTATATTTTCATGTTTTTACATTATCATAGTCTTTCAATATATAAATATGTTTACTCCACCTACATAGAAATTCATTTAAAAACTTTTGTTTTTGTTAAAAATACTATTAAATGGGGCAGTGGCGATATCTAATAGCCATTATACTTGTAGTTTATATATTTATAAAATTGCAACTAAGATAGGGTCTTGTAAGTTTTTATTTTTATATCCAATAACCATTTAGGATATAAATGGTTGTTTAACATTTGCGCGTTTGTGTCTTGAAGACTTTTTTCGTTATTGTATCGGTTCCAGTAATTATAAATAAATATTATGACAACTATTGGCCTTTTTTTCTTGCTTATCCTGCATGTTAAACATGTGTTTTCCTTTAGCCGAAAGCCAAAATAACAAAACAAATGGGTTGTTGCAGGGGTCGATGTTTATTAATAAAGTAAGAAATTCAGATGGATGCCTAAGCTTTATTGATTAGTTTAAATTGAATAAACATAGATTATTATCACAAATAATTAGCTAGAAGCTATTGTATTCTTTAGTCTAAGTAATTATAATCCAGAGTAATATATAAACAATACAATATAAAAAACATCATAGCAGGTACACAAGTAAATTTTAAAATGTTTATTTATAAAACAACTAAGTATACACCGAAAGACTTGGTATTATGATGCTATAAAAGTTTACAACCATTAATTAGAATAAGTAATACACATAATATCAAATGGATTATCAATAAAGCTTAAATACTAGAACAAAAAAAAAAATTTGCTATTCCTTAAATAACTAATGGAGTTCCCACATTTTAATGGAGGAATGTTTGTTTGTCGCAGAGACGAAGACCTCAAGTAACATTCCAAAATGATCATATGCCAGCGGTGCGCCGCGATCAGGGTCGCGGATTCGAGCGCGCCAAGCCAGGGGGCTTGCCTCCTGCAAGCCACTCAACTGACCAGTAACTTTAACTAATTATAATATTTATTGAAACAACTATTTTACTCCTTATTTAACTTAACAGTTGTGTTTTCAATTCAAATAAAGTTTATTTTTACGTTTTCTGTATTCAAATATTTTTTATTACTTAACACCTATTGTAATATACAATAAAATGTTTAACCAAGTTTTCAGTCTCTGATATTTACATAGCAATGTATCTACATAACTCTCTCACCAAATCTGCATTATTTATTTCATCAAACACACTGTTGTTCAAACATGAAGCATATTTCTTAATGAATTTGAGAGCAGCTGTCTTAAGATTATTTGCATTATACATATCAGCCAGAACAAGAATTTCCAAAGCACTGTCAATATTTAGTTGATAATGAAGAACATGCTGAGTAAGAATTTTTAAACCATTTAGATTGTACCTATCCGCCAACATGAGCAGGTTGTAACAGTTGCTGGATTCTAATTCACGTACACTGCCAGTGTAAATAAATTCCAATAAGCATTTTAAATCTTCTTTACAAACATCAATCAACACCACATAACTACTTTGACTCTCAGCTGTCTCCTCTTTCAACATTGCCTTAAATACTTCACTCTGAGTACTTAAAAGTACTTTATGCACTTGAAATTTTTCCCCATCTGAAGATTCTATAGTGAAGTCTGCTCCTATTGGATCGTCTAACAAAGCACCAAAGTCATGATGGCATTTAATGATATCAATCATGCTCTTATCAAAATCTGAATGTTGGGGATGTCTAAAAGACACTCCTATATATAATTTTTTGTTTTTAAGTAATTCAACATCAAGACTACTAAAACTATATGTTGTTAAGTAATTTACAGCTACATCACGTTCTGTTTTTACTGGATAGTCTTTGAGGAAGTCATCAAGGTATACTATGTTACTTTTCTTATTAGATGTTAACTCACTGGTACTGCTGACAGCAACAATGAATGACTCTTCTTGGTGACTTGAAATAAATAGTTCTAAAAGAAATATATCAGCAACAGCTTTTGTTATGTACATGAACCAATAATCCGCAACATCTCCGACGTTAGTGCCGCCTATGTCGTACGCGTTAGGTCGATGGAATTTTTGATATATATCTTCAAGACATAACCATTTTGCATCGCTAGTTTTGACTACACGGTGCCCACATACCACGCCTTCGTTTTCCTGTGCGACGAACAATAAAAATATTACTAGCTAGTGGATTCGATTGCGGAAATCAATCACATTAATGAGAGCAAAATAATGAAAATAATATAGTATTCAGCGTTTTAAACAAGTTCTAAGTATGAATATCACGAAAATCTAATTTTAAATATATTCTAACCTGTTGTTTATTTTCACTACTCATTTTAAAGATTCGCCAAACAAAACAAATAATGACAACATCAACATTAAGGGAAAAAAATAATTGTCAAATGTAATGGGCCTCAAAAAAAATTTAAAGTGGTTAATTTATTTTAATATGATGTCACATTTACACACAGGTTATTAATACATTTTACTTATTATACATTTTTCTATGTTAAAAGTAAAGGAAATTACAATTATTTAAAGATGGCGAAAAAGTATCGACATATCGACATTTTTGATTCTATACATATATTTTCAGTCAATATATTTGGATCCAATGGCAAATATTCAGTATCGAAAATTGTCCAATCCGCTAGTCTTAGGTGCCGTCATTGTCACCTACAGACCCACGCCGCTAGGTACGTTCCGCCGCAATGACTATAGACCGCAACACGTTCTCGACTTCCCTGACGATGTGACGACTATCGCCATCGAAAGGATTAAAAAACTACGCAAGCACACCAACACACACCGCACTCGTTGGCGAGTGCGTCAAACATAATAATACGCCGAGGTTAAGGCTACGCGCCCCGTGTAAGGCCACCTCAAGTCCGGTGAAACTGTAAAGGCCCCTAAGACCAACATTGGAAGGCTCATGAAGCCTAAAAAAAGTCTTTTTTGGGTCAAGGTTTTTAAGAACATATCTGATATCTTTATATTTCTTTATAATATCATAATTTTATTCAAAATATATACAATTTATATATACAAAAATATTATAATTGTCATATATATCGATATATTTGTTCACTTTCTACATCTTCTCCTTTCGCCTGCCCTTATCCCACACTAGGTGGGGTCGACGCAACATTTCATTTTCCTTTCTTTCCCCTTTCCTCTATCAGCCGTCATCAGCTCTCCTCTCTCATACATCTTTCAATTAAGTAAAGTAACAGCCGTTACATGTCCCACTGCTGGGCAACGGCCTCCTCTATACAGAGGGTATCAGGACATAGTCCACCACGCGGCTCCACTGCGAATTGGCAGACTATTATCTTTCAATTATCTTTCCCCAAATCTTTATACTTTTCATTCTTCTTTATTCCCCTGGAACTATTGCAGTTCTTTAGATCATTCCTTGTTTTTATAAATGGGCACCAGTCAAATGTTGCACCATTCCTATGGGATCGCCTCACTGTACAATAATTTATTGGAAAATAAGGTCCTCCACTTCTATCCATCAGCTTTTAAACACTTCAATGCTTCAACAGGTATACCATCCGGCCATCGCTATGTTTACCAGTGTATTTTCTAAAATTCTGCTCCAATCATTTTCCTCATTCATCAATCTTTCAAAGTATGTTGTCCACTGTTCCCTTATTTCATTATCATTTACTAATATTCTTCCTTGGCTATGTTTCATACATTTTTTATGCGTATTATCCCCAGTATTCTTTTCTCTCGCCTTTGCCAAACGGTACAGGTCGCTTTGTGCTTGAGGGCTCTCTAGCTATTTGTACAATTACCTTGCACCCTCCGTATCTATAATATTTTGTCTATCTATAGTATTTTGTTGTGTATTGTCGCATATACTATATTTTGAATAATGCACATGTATATGTTTGGATTTTAGAATTTATAAGGATTAAATTTTCTAGCGTCCTCATTTTTCAATCAATAGAAGAAGAACAACTTGTGCCATCAGCTAAAAAGAACTACATTTATTTAAAAAATAACAGGTTCATTGCGTTTATTTAATTTCTTTTTCCATCATAAACATCACAACTAAGAACGAGTTCCAATTTTGTGTTGCTACACTCGTAAATATTTTTTTTTGTAAATTACAGTTAGTTTTGCATTTTTTTGGCATAATGTTTTTGTAGTGTTAACTTTATTATTAAGTCACCACTTCAGTTGACATTGACAACAAATTCCCCATTTGCCCAATGAGAAATTGTTATATGACAATTTTTATGAAATTGAAATGTCAATTCTATAATTTTGACTGCCTGTGCATGGATTTCTATTGTTTTTAGAATTTTTTAACAATCATTAGGTTTTTATACTTTGAAACTTTTCCTAATGCAATGACAAATATTGAGGCTTTAAGCCTCTATCAAAATGGTTTTAAATGCCGCTGTACAAATGTTGAGGTGCGTAAAAAATATATAAAAGATATTTACATCATCACCATAACCCTATTTTTAATGATTTTTCTTTATTACCATTTTGTGTCAAGGAAATATTAAATTTCTCAAACAATTGTCGATATATTAAATTATTTTTAGATTAATTAATGTAATAGTTTTTTTCTTTTTTTAAATTATTGAGATTGATTGTTAACTACTTATTAATTTATTGCAGGGAGGCAGATGAATTAAAACAGAAGATTTTAAATTTTAACAGTGGAACATCAATGCTTCAAGACCGTAGCTTATGGACTACACAACAAAAATTACAAAATGTTTGTCTTTTAGTTTTCATGATAACATGCAGATAAAAGATTAATAAATAAATAAAAAAATAATTTCATTAAATTAAATTAATTAAATGGTTTAATCTCTTATTTTAGGTTTACCAAAAAATACTAATGCTGGACCTGGATTATGCTTTAGAGAAGAAAGTTGAACAAGATCTCTGGAATGTTGGCTTCAAACAGCAGATTGAAGCATTACAAGCTATTTCCAAAGATAGGAAGGCAAGTATTAAATGATTTGTAGATTATGATGAAATTACAAAATAGGTTTTGTATGTCATATAAAAGTAGTTTATGAAAACTTAAAAAAATTTAATAATCGAAAATTATTAATATTTTTATCTAAAACAATTAACATTTGCTAGGAAAACTGTGGTTATAATATCTTTATTTAAGTGTGTGTGCATTTTTAATTGTGATTACTCTTTCTGCTTAAATAAGTTAATACCATATAGCTGTGATGACAACTTTATTCTTTTTCAGAGCCCTCTCCGCTGCGAAGGTCAAGCAATGTTGTCATGGGTTTTACAAGCGGCTGCTGGCTTTTACCTTTGCCTTCTTCATCAGATTTGCGCTACATTCAAACTGGATTTACCGTTCAGGTGAAAATTATGTAAAATTGTGGGGAAACTATTTATTACATGTCCTGAAAACACTGAATCTTGTGTATTATATGTAATTCATTATTCACAAGGGCTTCTTTGACAAATCGGTACCCCCAAACGGATTCCTACAGCAATGCGTAAGCTTTTATTGTCAAATAATTTTGTCAAAATTACTTCCAGGCAATAACTCAATTCTTTACTAGAAACACCTAGAAAACGGGCATGGTCTAAATCTCTATTTAAAGATTGAACAGCTTTTACTGTATGTACAGCCACACAACAGTCTGGCCGTACCTACTGTAAAAGCTGGCAGTGGTTATTACTTAACATCATGTGGTAGCTTGTGTAAAAAAAAGGTTTTTGTTCTCTCTGAACTAAAGGATTATCACACTGTTTTTGTTGGTTTACTTCATGTGGAAAAATTTGTTGGAACAGATAAACAAACAAGACATCCTAGCCTCTTCTTCATAGGAAAGATCCGAATTGTGATGAAGGATATTATTACACACCAATACCCCCAAAACGTATTGGTAACGCAGCTAGAATCCAGATTAATTAAATAAGAGATAAATTTATAATAATTTTAGAGTTGTTTTATGATGATAATCAATTTTAGACTTGCACCCTTTTTGGTTTTAAGTGGTATTTAAAAAAAAATCTGTGACGTCTTTCTTGATGTTACATTTCTTCTTTCAAAATACGCGAAATCGTTGATTCACTAACATCAACTTAATGATGCTAGATGGCGTATTCATGTAGAGCCATTTAGCATTAGTACGTTTATCCGCTTGATATTTCATTCGATGGTACACTTTCTCTAAAATGTTAAAATTTGCTCGTGCGTGTATGTAGGCATTCGTGGGGCGCGTTATTTCAGTTTAGTCTTAGTAAGCTGGTAATGGGCCGGCCATTTAGCTCGACGAACCGATAACCGATGGAAGAGAAAGGTTCTCGAGTGGCAGCCAGTATTGGCAATCGTAGTGTAGAACGACCCCCCACTAGATGAAGCCACCCGTGCAAAAGTTAACGGGAACTCGGATGCAGCTGGCTCATTTTCGTGCTTCGTGGTGGTTTGTGGAGGGAGTAGTGGAGTCAAAAGGGCCACGTAGTGTGTACACAAAGTGTAGACGATGAATAATGTTGCAGACGCAGGGCATCTCTGTTGGGGTCAGTGGAGGCCTGGGGGCCGGGTGCCTCCGCCGCTCCGGCGGCCGCCCGCTACGCCAGCCAGCATTGCCTCGTCCACCTGGGCGATCTGGCCCGCTACCGGCAGCAGCTGCGCGTCGCGCACACGTTCTACCGCCACGCGCTGGCGGTGTCGCCCCACTCGGGCCAGCCCTACAACCAGCTCGCTCTGGTCGCCTGGCGTCGCGGCAGGCGCCTGGCGGCCATCTACTGGCACGTGCGCTCGCTACTGGTGCGCGCGCCCTTCCCGCCCGCGCCCGCCAACCTTTCGCGGACCCTCTCCGCGGCTAGGTAAGCACTTTCCTATTCCATTTCTAGAAAAATATTTACTAAAACACTCACGCATTGGCTAGTCGAGCTGTTGAGGTCCGTTTTGCTCACATCTTTGCACAAGTCTATGAAATCTTAATGTATCGTTAGTTATAAGTCTTTCAAAAACTTTACATAAGTATAAGATCATGTGATATACCATAAGGGGGAGACATTTCCAATTTATACAGTTTTCACTTCTGATGTACTTTTTTTATACAATACTTTACATTTATAGAAATGAACCGTTTTATTAGTACTTAAAAATTGCCAGTTTTCATTTAATTAATTACTGTCATTCTATTACATAAATATAGATTTTAACTGTATCTACCCTTGAATATTATTATGATTGAATATAAATTATTTTATCCCTTTAAAACATATATTTTATTGAAGCCGAGATGTCAAGGAGACGCCACCCATGCCAGTTCTGCCAGGATTGACTAACAGCATCACAACACACACGGCATCAGCAACAGCAGTGAAGACTGAACGTTTAGACGCACATTCCTACGTAACCGAGCTCATTCGAGCCATTAACTACATTCATACTGTGGAACAGTGAGTCACTTTTTTTTTTCTAAACCCACTCAAATTTTCCTGCACTATGTTATTGAAATTACTCTTGAATAACTCTTTCTGATAACGTTTTGTTATATAAGTAGTAAACTCTTGAACATAAATCTGCTATATTTATATTGTAGAACATATAATTTTTGTAAAAGAAAATGTGTCCCATTCGTGTTTAATGCAATAATTGATGCATCATAAATTTTAACAAACTTGTTTATTTTCAGATTGGACACAGCAACAGCTTTAGTAAACACATTGAACACCTCACTTACACCTTTAGTTGCGACCGACGGCTTTGAATCAATGACACTAATAAAGGTATATTTTTATTAGGCTTTTTTTGGCAAAAGTGTCACTATCATTTCCCATATTAAAGTGCGTTTGAATGCATTATTAGATATTGTACTAAAACACTTCATTGTTTTGCCTCTAGTTTACTGTATATTATAATAAATTGCGGCATATGACCTAAATAAAAAATATGGGTATCTTTTATTATTATTACTATCAGCTATTTATGATAAAGAATAATTTTGTAGGATGTTGAAATAATTGAACAAAGTCTCAATGCAAATTATTATTTCTCTGTAATTTCTTTGTATAGTTTGGTATTAGCTGTTTTTATCGTAATAGAACTACGTATACCTACGTCTTCTCAAATCCAACGGGAAAGCTTCTCTGGAACAGTACTATGGCCGTACCGGAACACCAGTACAGAGCAATTAATAACTATCCTTAGACCATCCTGTAACCCTGCTATTGCTGTATGCACCCATTGTACTACTGTTTTATCTGTGTAAAGTTGGCAACGCAACTGTACACCCACAGGTTTTCTGCGTGCGGCTCTTGTTGTAACCTCTCGTGCAATAAAACTGTGTCCCCGTTCCAGATGTCGTGCGTGCTGATATGGCTGGTGCAGAGCTCGAGCGAGGAGTTGAGCAGCGAGGCGGCCCTGAGCGCCGACGAGGCGGAGGCGTCGCGGCTGGCGGCGTCCCTGGCGGCCAGCACGCTGCTCGCGCTGCTGCTGCCCGCCTACGCGGCGCCCGAGCCGCCCCGGAAGGCGCTGCCCTCGCGTTAGTCTTGCCATTACCAAGTGAACAGCCCAACAAGGCCCTACCCGCTCGTTAATTTTGCCATTTAGAAGTTAATAATCTAAGAAGGCCCTGCTCTTGCGTTAGTGTTGCCATTACCAAGTGAACAGTCCAACAAGGCCCTACCCGCTCGTTAATGTTGCCATTTAGAAGTCAATCGGCCCAAGAAGACCCTGCTCTTGCATTAGTGTTGCTATTTAGAAGTGTTTGAAGTTAGTGTTGTCATTTCCAAGTGAACATCTGTCAAGTGCCCAGGTTTATACTTTTTTGTATGTAATCGATTGTAACACTATTCAATTTATTGATATTTTGCTATGCTTGTCCGTCATCACCTATTTTTCTAAATAAAAAAAAACACAACAATTTTTGTATAAGTTTTCAAATAATGTTTAGATATATGTTAATATAAATTTGTTAAAGGTCAAAATCTACAAAAAGTAACATTTTGGCATAATTCTATTTATATACACTTCACTCTGTTTCTACCGCTATCTCGCGTGATGAAATATTGTTTAAAATAGTACTTATTTTTCAGATTTGATTGGCATGCACAATTTTTTCGGTGTCCGCAGTGAAGGTGTGGCTGCAGTGGCTGGTGGCGAAGCCCCGAGCCCTGCAGGCGGCGGCGTGGCGCGCCAGGCCCCAGCTCTGGCCCGCCCTGGCGCATTGCCTGGCTGCCCTAGGGCCCAAAGCGGCCCTCCTGCCCGCCGGCATATGTGAGTTTCATCCATATGCAACTTTTTCTTATCACATTCACATGCATAGTAAATGATTTAGCCAGCCACAGCAAGCAGCCCAGTTATCTTTTTCTTTTCTTTTAAACAGGATAACATTATCCTGTGTTTTAAGGACGTTTTACAAACTTAAATTTCACGCGGACAAACACCCAGATGCGAAACAACTATCTGGCGGTCACACAAATAGTTTTCCCGTGTGGGAATCGAACCCACGACCCCCGACGCCAAAGCCAATACCTTGACCACTGCGCCACGGAGTCATACACTTAGTATATCGTTTACAATTTTTACCAACTCAATTCAATTTTGTTTTGTATGAGTAGATGGAAAGTAAGCTAGTAGTTCCTAAGTTTACCTTGTGTTAAGTGACAACCGCCAAGTATTGGTATTTGCAACACCCGTAGGGTCGGAGATGCGTCGGGACCAAGGACCTGCCCATTCGTGCAACAGCTGCGACTGCTGCGTTTTTAATGTTGATGATCCGATTGCTTTGCAGACGCCACGGTGCCGCTGCCCGAGGACGAGGAGCTGCACGGCTTCCTCCCTCTAGAGGACGCCTTCAACGGTCTGAAGTTCTCCTACCACAGCACTTGGGACACGTACGGCGGCCGGCTGCCAGAGCTGGAGGCCGGCAACGACGGCGACACCGGGTCGGTGGTGCCACGTTTTCTCGCCGTCTCTTTTACTCTCTCCGTCGCATAGAAGTCTGATTATGTGACAGAAGGAGATAGTTGATACTGTCAACTTTTTGTCCCCCATTTTCCATTTTCGTGGCTCTATACAAATGTTATGTTTTCTACCCAGTTCTTTTGTTTTTTTTTTAAACGAGATGTGGGAGCATAGAAGCGAATAATTTCCGTAATAACAGAAATCCGTTATAATGAATTTCTTTCTATTGTATTTTAATAACTATATTGCTTCTACTTTAGAGCAGTGTTCTATTACAGGCCGTGGGTTCGATTCCCAAACGGAACAAGTATTTGTGTGACCCACAGATAACTGTTGCGGATCTGGGTGTTTGTTTCCAATGAGGGTTGGCGGTCGTATAAAACCTGACCAAAACCAATTACAGCTTATTTACATGTTTTGCCGACCCCACCTAGCTGAGATAGGTCAGGAAAATGATGATGATGATAGAAGAGAGTATATACGGGTTCGTTGCAAATGTTCGAAGGCCGTCTGGAGTGGCGGTCTCTCGCTTCAGCGGTGAGCCCGAGCTGGAGGAGAGGCTCCGTGCGCATCGTCTTCTCCACCTCGGGAAGCAGCTCGCCGACCAGAATCCAGAGCATCTCTCCTACACAACGTGAGTAACATGGAACGCCTTCTCTGTCGTAGAAACTCTACTCTAGAGTAGATTCTACCCGGAAGCAAATTCGTAAATTGGTTGTCATAATTTTTATATGCATACTAGCGGACCGGACCGACGTTGTCCCGTACACACGCCTTAAATTCGATAACTTAGAAATTAAAAAAAATAATTGTAGTGGACCGAATTGTGAATCTAAACCATTCTCGAATCGACCTGAAGACGCACAAAAATTTCATTAAAATAGATCCAGCGGTTTAGGAGGAGTTCAGTGACACGTTCACCTACACACGTACAGAAGAATTATATATACAGTCGTGACAATAACTGAACACACGTCTAACGCTACTTGCCAATAATCATAAAAAAATATAAATGTTGAAAAAAAGCCATAATTAAAAAAAACATTTTTCAAACACACAAACTAATTAAATAAAAAAGAAACAAAATTTGTAACATCCTATACAACTACAACTGGCTGATTCATACATTGAGAGACTTTTTCATTCGTTGCCACAGCGTCGCATTACAAATCTCTCCCTTTAACCGTATGTTTTATCTCTTTTTAATTCATTCAACCCAATCATATGCTTTGTGACCTTTACAATTGAACTTTACGTTACAGTTTTATTCGTAAGGGTGTTCTAAAATACTTTTTTTGGAAAATTTTTTAACTCTGTAAATATTGATGTTTAAAAAATGTAAACGCTTAATACAATTTTAAAAAGTTATCCCCTATATGTGTGTTCATTTATTGTCGCGATTGTAAAGACACACCGTATAAAGACGGGCGGACCCGACAGACGTTGTCCTGTAAACACGACTGAAATCCGAAAACAACTTATGAATAAAAAATTTAAAAAAATTCGTCCATTCTCGAATCGACCTGAAGGCACACATAAAATTTCAATAAAATCGGCCCAGTCGTGTAGGAGTTCAGTGACACACACATACAGAAGATTATATAGATAAATATTAAATGATTCAATTCACATTATATATGATTGTATAATTACTTTCAAAGCAAGTTTTCTGATGATGTGGTCTATGAATATTGAGGCTCCCAACAATAATATCGCAAAATTATAATGAATACTAAAACATTGATATAACGTAGTTAACTATGAAAATGAAAAAGAAGTGCTTCAAAAGAACCAGCGCGAGTGAATGAATGGACGATTTGGCAAAAGAACCAGTGTTAGTGAATGACTGAAGGATTGTGCAGGTCCGAGGACGGCGGCGTGTCGTTCGCGGCGTCGTCGGCGGGCGGGGAGCAGCTGACGCTGGCGCTGGCGGAGCTGTCGTCGGTGGCCGAGCGCGGGGGCGGAGCGCCCGCGCGGGATGCGGAGCCCGAGGGGGACAGCGAGGACGAGCCGCCGCCGCCCCCGCCGCCCGTCGTCATTTCGGAGGCCGACTTCCGCGAGAAAGGTGCGGAGCCCCCGCCGCGATTGTCGCATACGCTCCACTCGCATCTTTACGATTATAGTGGCCAAAATAAAGCTTTGAACACTCATGAACAAACGCGGTGATTGGAGCGGAGTGAGAGAGACCGAAGTATACGTTATGCAGCTTTCTAAAATCGGCCTTTGTTTTAATAAGAGTCGAAAAATAGTCATTTTAGGTTGTTTCCTGACATAAAGTCAAAATCATGATATTCTTAAATGTTTCCCTTTGATTCTAAAGGTGTCTGCTCACCATACCATCACCGTATGAACGTATCAGCATCGGAAAGCAACACAACAAGAGAACGGAGAGAAGTTGTGGCTTTTGACTGATGGCAAACAGTCATCATGATAAACTGGTGTACTCCTGAACCGTCAGCTCTAATCAGTTTGTTTGCAGTGCGCGAGAAACGCGTCGGCATCTTGAAGCCGCAGGGGTCGCTGGAGAGGGCAAGAGAGGAAAGGGCACTCGCGCACACACAAGACCAACAGGTGCACCACTCATGGAATACTTACTTCTCAGTTTTTATTCTTATACTTATCGCTTAACGGCTGGATGATGTGATGTAGAAGAAATGATTAATACTAGAATATTTACTTAATTATATACATATTGAATTGTATGTAATGTATTGAGAATCAACTGGATAGCGGGAAATTGGGATATTCTCGTTATGCAAAACGATTCAATGTAGTATGTAGTAAATAGGTGACAATATGTTTTTCACCTTTTAGATATTTATAATAGAATAAATAAGTATATAATATAAGATATATATTGTAGGTGAGCTTGGTACACTTAGAATGGTGAATATCTTTGTACAGTATTATAGACAAGAGTACATTTCTTCTTTTAATTTATAGCCTATAATTATTATCAAGAAAATTGTAAATAACAACTAAAATTTCATTTCATCAGGAAATAGAAGAAGACGGGGCCAAAGGGGAAGAAAAGAAGGAGGCGCGGAAACCGCGGGTGAACATCGCCATGGCGGCCATCATGCGCAAACAGGAAGAGACCAATAAGCAGGTGGGGAAATAAATAACTTTCCTTCTAACGACCAATAGCATAAATTTGCATATATTATTATATAATTTCAAACCTAACAATAAAATAAACTATACTAACATTTTAAAGGGACTTCCACAAGTTGTTACTTTTTTAAAAGGTGGCAACTCATCCGCGATCCTACACTTTATCTTATTATATGACTTTTACATCTCTTATTATGTGTTGCATGCATATAAAAATCAAAAATAATGACTCAATGTCCTGTCCTGTCATGTACATAACGATTTCAGGTGAAGTTCGCATCGCCGCCGCCGACTCCGGAATCGTTGGCGGACGCCAACGAGCTGGACTCCAAGGAGTCGCTGGAGGAGAGACCGAAAGTGATCCAGCCGAAAGCGATCAAATCCCTGAGCAGCCTGCCCGTTGGACGGAAGACCGGCGGCATCCTCTCGCTCAAGGACAAGTCGGCCGGCTACCCGCACCTGGTGAACACCGAACCGGAGCCGGTGAAGAAGTGCGACAAAGAGGAGAAGAAGGAAACGAAGCCGAGCCAGAGCGGCCAGGGCTGCCAGCAGGGCTACCCCAATTGGCAGGAGCAGCCGCCGCAGGCGAACTGGCCCGCCCCGCCGCCGCAGCCCTACGGCACGAGGGGCTACGGCGTCCAGAGCGCGGGCCCGAGCTACGGCCCCGGCCAGCCCTTCGGCCAGGGCATCCGGCTGCCCGTCGTGAGCCCCAAGGAGATCGACGTGCGGACGGCGGCGCTGCAGAGGCAGAGCTCGCGGCCGGAGCCGTTCCACGAGGGGCCCAAGCTGCCCCCGCACGGCCACCAGCTCTCGGGCGACAAGAAGAGCTTCCTGAACGACCTGCCGCCGCGCTTCGCCAACCAGTACCGCTACTGGCACAACGCGCAGGAGGCGCAGCAGAACGAGAACAAGTTCAGGGATGACAGCTTCAAGGTTGGTGGCTCCGGGGGCAACTTTTAAATGATATCGTATACCATTTTTGTATAATTTTGCATAATTATTATTTTTTCATCGATAGCCCTAGAATAGATAAATAAACAGCGCTGCTTGCCTTGACTATTGCGTGGCCTTACCAATGGTAAGGCCACGCAATAGTCTTCGTCGTTGCACGAATGGGCAAGTCCGTCCAGGTAAGTACCACGACCTAACTGAAGACCCGGAAGTGCAAGTGTGTTCTGCGTTTAAATTTAATTAAATAAAATAAAACAAAATAGATGTTTATTCAGCTTGCTTACTTCCTCTCACATATATACAAATGTTTTATAGTAAATTAATATACATATATGTTCCCTTGTTAGGCAAAAGCCTCTTTTGTGGTATTGGATCTAACTGCATATTGGCCTTCTTGTTTTCCCTCTCAGCTGAGCCCTTTTTATGATTTACCAATCGACACTACCCAATGTTTTGCCGCTTGGCGAATGCCCGATTAATGTTCTACAGCGGCTTTCGCACACGAGTCGGTATATATACGTCAAGCAGTAGCGCGTCAAGCAGTAGCGATTGACGGATCGTTTCGAAATTTCCAGCAGAGCTTCGAGCAGCCGCAGCCGCCGCGGAACTGGGCGAACACGCAGCCGGTCGGCTGGTGGAAGCCGGACAATCAGGCCGGCTTCAACGGCAGCTTCGCGCCGCCGGCGGGCCAGCCCAGCTACTTCGCGCACCTAACCAACGCCCAGAGCCCGTACGTGGGCCTGCCCTACGGCCAAGGCCAGCCCAAGCCGGAGGCGCCGAGCTGGCAGCCGGCCGTGGGCCAGCCCCAGATGCCGTCGCTGCAGAGCCTGGTCACCCTGGCCAACTTCGGCGGCTCCTACTCGCCGAGTGTCGGCTACGACTCCTCGATGTACCCGCAGTTCGGCAACAAACTCGGCTACCAGCCCGTCCAGATGAACCAGATGAACATTCCCGAAAAGCCCTACCAGCCGAAGGAGCTCGAGGATCGCCTGAACTTCGCCACGGGCATGGAGCAGATGAATTTGGGATTCGGCGGCGTCGGTCACGACGTGGGCGGCGCAAATCCCTTGGAGCAGGTGTGCATCTTCAATGGACTGGTTTAGAATAATAGATGAACGGGCACCGCCGAGTAGACAAGTTGGTGATTGCTCGGGAAAAATAACTAGCTCTTTGTTTAAGCTTTATTAACTTTTTAAAAGACGATGATATTTGACATGGTCACCGATCTGATCGCTTTTCTTTTAAATATAGGTCGGCGATAGTGCCACGGGGGGCAACACCTACTCGCTCTTCAGTGCCGCCCCAGAGCCAGCCGCCTGGCAGCAGCGCCGACAGCATCAGGTACCACGCATTTATACAACATCTACTACTGTTGCACGAACGGTCAGCCTCACTGGGGAAAGTACCACGGCTTAACAGAAGTCTGTCGCGAAGTGGAAGCATCTCTACGGTTTTTTTCGTAAGCGCACGATATTTGTTGAACTAATTTGTCCCTGAACTTGTATATTAAATCAGAAAAGAATTTAATAGTTCCGGAGTAAACGGTAAACGGTTTATGCCCGCAATTAGGATGAAACACAGCGGCGATCTTATGGCGTAGGATGTCTACTCCAATCGCGATTTTAAATTTGTGTTAATCGATAGAACATTGAAACCGGTCGCTATATTCATTAAAGTTTGTCCATTGTACATTTCAGTCATTGTGGTCTGGTCCCGGACCATCTCCGCTGGAGAGGCTGTTGGAACAGCAGAAACAGATGCAGCCGCCGCCCGCCCCGCACTGACAGCCAAAGAACATGGATCAATAAAGTATTGACTCAAAATCCACAATAGGTCTCCGACGAAAACTGGCCACTTAGGTTATTAAAAAAAAAAAGGTTATACAAAATACGCTACTATAGTTGGCCTTATTCGTATCGGTGTATATATGTATACAGGGCATATTAAAAAAATATAATAATTTATGAACAACTGCAATGTTACCAAACAACGGCATTTGTTTGGTAAACATACTAAAATTTATTTAATTGTCGTACTCTCATAATAAATGTTCCTAAATGGAATTGTCAAATTTGTTATAAATGACTTGTAAAATACCCTATTGGTAACTTTTAAAATTTCAAATTTTTGTATACTTAAACTTGTAGTATCTGTCATATATTTAAAAATTTACCTATTTTTATTACTATCCCTATCTTTTTGTAGATTGCATGATTTAACTGCCCTCGTAAATATCGAAGATAACGTGTTCTTGCTCAATTACTGTACGATGTCCACTAGTTTTTTACAATATGACCCATGGAAAAATACAAAAAGAATACATTTTGATGAGTCACATTATAATCATCAAATGTTCATTATTATTAACAATATAGGTACGATATTTTGTTTGTTTTAATATGTAAAGACTTACTTCGCAAAGGTGAGTTTGTATTTAAATTAACATTAGCATATAAATCAACATTTTTTAAAATTGTGTTAAAATATTTTTTTATTAATAAACCTGGCTGTAATGTTCGGTATTTACGAGTGGTGTAAAAGTTGTTTGTTATAAGTGTTTTTTTATTATAAGTGGAAGTAAATTAAAGGAAATAGTGAGTATGGACTTTATAACGAAATAAATGTTGGATGTTGAATTTCTTCCGGTTTTTCTCTATAGTTTTGATGTTATATGTATGCTTCATAGAGTAAGCTTCTGGTCTGGAAATGGATAATTTGTACTCAAATGTTGAAAAAGATTAATGTTTTTCGAGCAAGATTAATGTTTTTCAAGCTTATGTAAGCGGTTTCGTATATAACCCTATACAAAGAAAAATGATTAATAATTATTTATTGCACAAAATATTAAAATTTTGAAAATGTGTATGAAATGTGGGTCTCAATGAAAAATCATATGAATAATTTAAATTTAATTTCTCGTCATGTTCTAAACAATAATAATTATGATATACGTATCTATTATGTAAAAAGCGTAATTTCTAATGAACTTATTGCATTACAGAAATCATTAACGTTTACAAAATTTCAAGGAGACATTTTTCGTAACATAACACAAACGCAAATGCATTTCATGTTAGATAAATGTTATAAATTAGCTATTTAACAAATGAAATAATTCTAATGTTAATCGACAAACTCTATTTGTGGTCATATCATATTCCTGTGGTGTTTAAAAAAATATGTCTAATAATAGGTATAACTAACATAAATTAACAAGGCAACATTCACTAAGGTTGTGTTTGTTCCAACAACCACTGCAACATAGAGAATTCTATTATTAGTCTTTCCTTCGAAAACATTACACCCTTACTGTTTTTATACAGAAATTCCATATGGACAAACACCCATATCTGAAACAGTTTTATGTGGTACAAATAGTTGTCTGGTGTGGGACTCGAAACCACGACAACGGCAACTGCGCCATGGAGTCATCATAATAAAATGGTTACAACTTGATACAACTTTTATTTTATACATAAATGACATAATTATGTGTTCAAGAAAAGACTTGTGCGTCTGAACATATAATACATAATAGCTTGTATATTAATATTTCTAATTATGGATACCGAAAATGAGTTCATAATGCCAAAATCTCATTAATTTGCTTGATAACTTTCCATTTAGTAAAAAGAAAGGCTGCGCCATATAACACTAAAATATCTAATCACATCTCGCAAATTCAAATTCATGCAATGAAAATGTATACAATTTGAGCTAAGTACAATGTAAAGTTAATTAACATAAATAAAAATTGAGCTAAATTTAGAATAATTCAGCTTGTGGTGAAGTTTTAAAAATAGTAAGTCTCATTTCTGAAATTTAAATGGTATTCATGAAATATTGATCTTTCGACTAGTAAATTTGGCGAGCAAAAATTGCAGTTAATAATATTAAAAAAAGCTTGTACTGATATTGGCACACTCAACTCTAAAACTATCTATATATTAATTGTGTATATGTTAAAAATGGAAAATTAAAACTAATTGACGTATTTAGTTGGCAGCCCTTTGCAGAATTTCATATTCAGAGTAAACAATACATTGAACAGATTTGCCTGCTAATCAATTTAATTTAATCAGTATATGGTATCAGTCCTTAATTTCTTAAAAATGTCAAAAGGAACCACTACAATAACTAAAGTGTTACAAGTAGTGTACTAAAATTAAAGTTTTAATAGAACTTTTCAAATAACTTATTTCTATAGAATTTTTAATCTATGTTATATTCACAATTACCATGAATTTGATAATTTATTTAATTGGATTTACAAATAAATATTACGAGTCATATACTTTTATCCAAAATCCCCAAAAGTTTATAACCCTCATCAATTATTTAAAACATTCTTGGTTTTGCATTTTTTTCCGCTTACGCTGTTATAAGAAATCATTATACCAAGCTTATACATTAAAAGAAATATTTATAAATTGGTCGGTTGAGTATAGTTTGACGAATTATTTAAAAGTGTTTTAAATAGTCAAAGGGCAAATTTAAATGAAAAAAAAAATGCAAGAAATGCACATGAAAAAGAAACAGTAAACATAAATTTATTCACATTTTTTCCCTCTTCGCAGATCTTTTTCAATACTTATCATACATATGTGTAATGTAAAATAACTTATTTGTTATTTTTTATATGCGGCAAATCACATCATTAAAGTCGTACGCTTTATCCAATAATTCGTCAATCAGTCTAATTAACACGTCCGACGTGCCCTTGGTAGCAATCCACTAAATGTAGTGTTTTATGCCAAAGCGATATGTCATCAATTGTTTTCCTTACCAATTCGTCTATAAAACGAATATATGGTCATATAATATGAGAAACCATGCTATATTCCTTCCTTTGCACCACCATAATGTTATACCACCACTTCTTTTTTATATTTTGCTTTGCCATCCCAAACGTATATATTTTTATATATACATATTTCATAGCTACGAGATGGAGTGTTCACATAAAGTACAAGATGTTCACGAATAATGTATGAACACTTAAAAGTATCTACGACTTTTTTAAATATTTCGAATAAAAGAAATAAGTTTATATTTCGGTTTAAGTTCTTGATATTATAAACTGAATTATTTTATGTTATATATGTATTATGCACCTAGAATTGTCTACCTGCGTATTTATGTAGTCTAGTTGACTAAATTTATTATTGTATAGCAGATTCTGGTCATACAACTTTTTACTAAAACATGATGTCAGCTTCTCCACGCATTGTAAAAATAATACTATTACGATATTATTATTAGCACCTCGACATTGCCCTATACTATTTAGCGAGTCATTTTTAGATAATTGTGAAAATCGCCAGCAGATCCAAGAAAATTGACTTATTTAATTCACATGTTTAACTTTTGGGTTTAGTTAGGATGACAGAAGATCATAAGTTTTAATATATTAAGATTTATTTAGCCGGCATTCTGGATAAACTGCCTAACTTAGCTTCCTGACTTATCGAAACTAACAGATAATTGTAAACTGTTACAGTAAATCTCTTTTCAAGTACTAATCAACATTTCCTAGTTTATAGAATCATTGTAATTACACCCTAGTTAGTATTTTATTTATGATAATTTATATATTAGTAATTTTCTATATTAAAAGAGCTTCTAAACGACAACTTCGATATCATAAAAAAATTTACAAAAAGTATATAGATACAGTCGTACAGGTAAGATCCAATTGAATTTAGACACCAATTTTTAAACCTATAAGTACGTTTTTGAAAATATGGTCACAACAATTATACTCACTCAATTATAACGGTACAAAATCACCTATTCACTCGAATAACACCTTCGTCGTAGAACTTCTACTGGGTGGCAACATTACATACACAACCAACTATATAACAGTTCATAAAAAACTTACTCGATACTTATTGCATTGATAGTTAGAAAAAGAAATAAAAATAATCCAAGTTTAACAAGTGAGTCTATCGCAGACAATAAACTTACTTCGTAGAAACCACATTCCTCATACCTACCTAATAAATACCTTTAATTCAAATGGCAACACTATTGTACACTTTCTTCCATCGTCAACAATTTTCCGTTTGTTGTCTTTTCTCTCGGAGCGAAGGCAAAGGTGTAAACACCTTACGGCCACAAAGCCAAACACGGCGAGTTCTTCGAACTACTGACATTTGCACATTCACTTGTTCCTTTCAAAGTTTTTTTTTTAAGTAAAAAAAAATGGAACATTTTTTTAAGCCTCAGATGGGCAAAGCGGCCTTCGCCTTTGGATATTTTGATTTGATATATTTCACGTCTGTCGCTCCAGCGCAAAGCTGTATGTGTAGTCACGGTCAAGGTCGAAGCGGGACCGCTTCTTTACGACCGGCAGTTGGGTCTGAAACGAAAAGAGACATCGATTCAAATAGAGCGATTGCAACAGCCGAGTCGATTTATACACGGATGCGTCTTTGCATACAAACAACGATAGAGATTAAGTCCAAAATTAAGTTCATTTTGGACTGCCACTAGTGTTAGGGCCACGCAGCAGCCTCGGCTGTTGCACGAATGGGCAGGCTCGTCCGGGTAAGTACCACGACCTCAGAGAAGACCGGCGTAAAGTGGAAGTAATACTTTCGCGTTTCGTCTGGTGAGTGAGGTGGCCGGAGCCCAATTTTCAAAAGGTTGTCAACGCATCTGCAACTCTCGGTTGTAGCAGACGTCTATGGGCGGCGGTTTTCACCTAACACCAGGTGAACCTCGCTTGGCAACGTTTCACATAAAAAAAAAAGAAAAATTTATGGACATACGATAATGTACGTTTGTTATTTTTATTTTATATAAACATCTAGTGTAAAAAATGTTGATGAACATCATAAAATAAATAAAATGAAAATAAAAACGGAGTATCTTCTATAATAACAGAGTTCATTGTGCTCGTATCACAGAAAAGTAATTGGATAGATTTCAAAAGTTTATTTCTTAAAAACTTGGCCTTTCATTTAGTGTAAAGTTATTAAAGTTTTAAAGTAAATCACTGATGTTTGTTTCACCACAAAGCACAGAGCAGACGAAGTTTTGTTTATCAGCTACTACACATAATGAATATGTTCAAATAAAAATTATAAAATGACATAAAAAAAAAACAATTCACTTTAGCAATTAAACAAAATATATTCAAATGAAGCGTGATCTAAATTTTTTCAAAGCAAACCAATTTTAGAAACGTCATTGGAAATTGGAAACCACGAAAACAGGAAACTCAAACAAACGGTCGGTTTGGCGACCCGAATAGCGTGGTGGGTAGTATGCGCCTCCTGTGTCAGAGGGTGTGGGTTCGATCCCCACTACTGGAAAAATATTGTGTGATGGACATAGTGTTTTTCCAGTGTCTGGGTGTTTATATACATATATTATGTATTTATTTACAAAAGAAAAGTATGGTTAAGCATGTTTATCAGTTGTCTAGTACCCATAGTACAAGTGTTGCTTAGTTTGAGACTCAAGAACGTTATGTAAAAATGTGTCACAAGTAATAATTTTTTACCAAAAAAAAAACCGACTTCAATCCAGAGACTAAAAAAACATTATCAAAACCTACAACGATTGCCCTCGATTTCTCTGGGATGCCATCATCAGATCCGGGTTCCCTTATCATGGTACCACCCTTGGGATATCTCTTTTCCAAAAAAAAAAAGGAATCATCAAAATCGATTCATAAACGACGAAGTTATCCGCGAGCACACATAAAAAATATATACACGGTCGAACTGAGAAACCCGCTTCTTTTTCGAAGTCGGTTAAAAAGTAAAAAGGAAATCGCTCACCAGCGCGTCGCTGGGCAGCCCCCTCAGCTTCGGGTTGAGCACGAACGGCACCCCCTCCATGCCGTTGTAGCCGCCCAGGGTCTGGTAGTTGCACGGCTTCGGGGGGGGCGCGGGGCCCCTGCGGCGGCCGGGGCTCAGCGGCGGCGACTTCGCCCTCGCGGGGGGCTGCGCCGGCGCCGCCCTGCCGGGCTTCACGTTGTACGACGGGCTGAGCGCCTCGTACTCGTGGTCGACGGCGGCCTTGGGCTCGTCGCGTGGGGCGCCGGGCGATTTGATGCCGAGGCCGCTCAGCTCGCTGATGAGCGGCGACAGCTTCGGCGGCCGCTCCGGTGCCGGCCGCAACCTTATCGGGATCATTGAACTCATTTTGGCGCGTTTGGAGAAGGCTACATGCGTTGACATACTTGCTCTATTATATTGTAAACTAATCGTTTTAAAAAAGAGCAACTGTTGAGTTTCTTGCCGGTTTCTTCTCGACAGAAACTGCTTTCCGAACCGGTGGTAACTTACGAACGTATTAATTTTTATGTCAAATTTTTGACATTTCATAAGGACGCGCAAGCGTCTATGTGAATAAATATATTTTTGATTTTTTGATTTTGTTACCGATTTCCCCCCACGCATCCGTTCGACTGGCAGTGGATGCTACTAGGCATTTGTAACCACGCCCTTTGTTACCTCCTCTTTTAACGTGTTTCAATAAATAAATAAATTATATAATGTTTAAAATTTTTAACGATGCGCGAACACACCGACCCCTCAAAAGCGACATGCTTTGCCAGTTGCAAAAACTTCGGACACTTGGTCGTAATAACAACTTTTCGATATTCACCTTTAATTCCGAGTTCATCAGTTTTTTTTACAAACAAAGACAGTTGATAAAACTCCACAAGCCGGCTGGCGGTTCGCCTGATGCTATGTGATGTCCGCCGCCCATGGACATTTACAAGACCCATATGCATATGCGTTGCCATCTTTTAATAAAGTGGGCCCCGGTCCCCCGGACGAGATGCAAATATATGAAACTTCACGTCCGTCCTCTGTGGGTACTTCCCCGGGCGGACCTGCCCATTCGTGCAACAGCAAAGTCCGTTGCGTGGCTGTACCACAGTTGAAAACTGGCAAAAGAGGTCGGCTAGTAACGGATTTCGATGCAGGTTGTCCGATTGACTCTCAAAGCACCGACAGCCCAATGGTTCAGGTGGACCTTGATGCCGTTGCGTATTGTTGCGGTTGGAAAGCTTTCCATAAGTAGAAAAGAATGTAGAAAATAAATCAACAAAATAAACAATTTAATTATTTATAAACCCCTATTTTTCTCAAGGCAAACACACACGCAAACGTAAATGTCTACACACACACAGGCACGAACGCATGCACGAAAAGAAGCACGCACGCCGGCGCAACAAATCAAGTGCGTTGTTACTAACTAAGAAATGTCCAATAAACGGACCAAGTTCTGAAAACCGTGCATCGTTCAAACAGCCACTGGATGAGGTAGAAATAAATACCCCGTGCATCCGTCCCACCGAAGTCTCAGCTCGTGGTACAGTTTTACCGATACAGAACTGAAAAATAGGTACTATCGATCAATTAACTCCGATTTAACAAAGACATTGAAAGCAAAACGCAATAAGACTGAACCAAGAAACAACGGAAGCTTAACAATTATAGGAACAAAATTGAACACGATAAAATTCGTAAGACTGTATTCTTTATCAATAGGGTATTTACAAACACCCATGCGAAATGACTATCTGTGTGTCGCACAAATAGTTGTCCCTTGTGGGGATCGAACCCACGCCGAAGCCAATACCTTGACAACTGCGCCACGGAGTCATCAAAATAAAAAAAAAAACAAAAACAAAAAACTACATAACATATACTTAGGTCTCCTACACGCCCGAATCACCGAGTTTGTTCATAAGTGCACAAACTTTTATTTTACGTTTCCCAAAAATTAATATTTTTTAAATAGCATTCCCTATAATAGTTCCAAGGTTACGATTTGAACGAACTTGAATCTATCATTAGGTATTGTTGGCACGGTGGCTACCCACCTCCTATTTGCCTCCGGCGTGATGTTGGTGACCACGTTTTCGTAGTCGTTGGGCCCTCCGGTTGGCGATGCGTCCTCGCTGCCACCGCTGACCTTGTAGCAGACCATCTTGCCGTTGATCTCTCTGAACCAAAGAAATCGCGTGCTTCTTATAGCGGGTCATAGCTGCGGATGGTGTCAAGTTATGTTGGACGAACGCTTACTTAAAGGGTAGGGACTGAATAATGTGTGTAATTGGACGTGTCAAGTGTGAACGGTGTCCAGAATAGACTTTAAACCATATTACTAGTGTTAATGTCTGCTTGAATAGGTATGTTCGTCCGGGGAAGAACTTGTTGTTATTGTTCTTATTTTTAACATTGCCCTCACTTTAGGATAACATTATCCTATGTTGTACGGACGATTTACAAACATAAATTCCACACGACAAACACCCAGATACGAGACAACTCTCTGTGGGACGCACAAATACTTGTCCCGTGTGGGAATCGGGCCCACGACCCGGACGCCGAGGCCAATACCTTGGTAACTGCCCCACGAAGTGTTATCCTATCACGATTCCGTGAGTTAACCTGGGCCCACTTTATTATCAGTTCGCAACATCAACCTATCAAGTGTTGTACATGTCCATTGGCAGCATTAATCACTTAACATCAGGTGAACCGCCTGCTCGCCTGCGAACTCTTCGCATAATAAAAAAAACAATTAACTGAGCAGAACAATCGTTAAATCTAAATTCTTTGTGAACTATAATTTAAGGACGAGTGCATACTACGAGGTTGTCCTCTCGCGTGACTCTGCCCATGCAGCTATTAATAAAAGTGTGAAACAACAATCCGCATACGATTGAGCAACACGGATCTCGAGTTGTTGGCTTATTCAAGAATCTTGGAACGCATGTAATCGAGCAGAATTATCGCAGGCTCCGGTTACCACATAACGAATAAAGAAACGTATTTATTGATACAAATAATATTGATTTCGACGGTAGATCAGTCTTTAAATCGTTGATGGACGCAAAACTTATCATTAGACACCACGGGGAGATTCACTCTGATCATTAAGATCATTCTGATCAATTCAGACAGTTTAACAATCCTTTTGGCAACTGCAATGACATTAGAAAAGCCATTTGACAGCTGATTAGATGACTTCTACGATGATCAGTGTTTCAGAAACCGGGCCTGAGACATTAGGACGGAAAAGTAGAATGCTGATCTTAGGATAATTTATATTTCTCAGGATATTACACGTGTACATTTTACTACGCGATAAAGATTAGTCTTGAAGCTGCTGTACGAGATCGGGAGAACAATCGTACTAGCTTGAAACATAATAACGTGATATGGATACATCAATGATGTTTTACCAAAGATGATGCATGTCCATACTGCGCGGCGTTGATAAATTATTCCGCTTTACATTATATGACAAAGTTAATGTGACAGATGATATAGACATGATACGGAAAGAGATAGCAGTCTTATAGAATTGCAAACTAATTACACAAATTGGCGTAATTTGAGTACCTCAGTCTCGGTGCGCTAATGTCATATCTAGTCTCTCGTATTTGTATGTAATAGCATACATATTATACATTAGTTAAAAATGGGTATGCATATTATGACATTAGGTATACATACATATTATTACATTAGTCAAAATTTTAAGGGCATCAAGGTTATCGGTGGAAGATTCTGGGGGTAGAGCGAAAAATTTGCTGCAGCGGCGACATACGGCGTAGACGGTAAATGTGCGTCATCTACGGACCGTTAACGGTAAATGTGCGTCATCTACGGACCCGAATCGGCGTCGTCTACAGACCGTTATCGGCGTCGTCTACGGACCGCAGTCGGCGTCGTCTACGGACCGCAATCGGCGTCGTCTACGGACCGCAGTCGGCGTCGTCTACGGACCGCAGTCGGCGTCGTCTACGGACCGCAATCGGCGTCGTCTACGAACCGCAACGGCGTCTTCTACGGACCGTTATCGGCGTCGTCTACGGACCGCAGTCGGCGTCGTCTACGGACCGCAATCGGCGTCGTCTACGGACCGCAGTCGGCGTCGTCTACGGACCGCAATCGGCGTCGTCTACGGACCGCAATCGGCGTCGTCTACGGACCGTAATCGGCGTCGTCTACGGACCGCAATCGGCGTCGTCTACGGACTGGAGAAGAGCTAGGAAATCGGCGTCGGCCGCGGCACTCACCCGGCTAGCAGGAATCCGCGCGGCGCCTGGCGCATCTTCGAGCACACGATGACGTCGGTGACGGGGAGGGCGGGCTTGGCGGCGGCGGTGCGCGACACGCGCGTGCAGAGGCGCCTCTTGCCCGCGCGCCCCGCCACGCTGTAGCCCGCCGGCGCCGCCTCGCGCTCGCCCACCACCGTCACGCCGTCCATCACGTAGCCCGGGACGCCTGGCGTGACAAAGTGCTGGCTCTTCACTATCTATCTATCGAGTAGTGACCCAGCCGCTACTACCGCATGTACCGACACAGTCCGATAAAAGGAAAAGTAAAGGAACAGCCTATACATGTCCCACTGCTGGGCAAAGGCCTCCTCTATAGAGAGGGTATCAGGGCATAGTCCACCACGCGGCCCAACTGCGGGTTGGCGGACTTCACATATCTTCGAAATATATATTTTTTTTGTTATTATTTCGAAAATATGCAGGTTTCCTCACGATGTTTTCCTTCACCGCGGAACACGTGATAAGTCAGCACTTAAAGTTAAAAACTTCATTGGTGCCGGCACCGGGGATCGAACTCAGGTTGCTCGAGTATATTGAATTAAAGGCGAGCGCCCGGACACTGAGCTATCACGGCTTTCGATAGATAGTCCGATAGCTTGATATTAATTTTTTTACGAGCAAGATCCGAAGAATTCTTGTTTCAACAAAATTTTATGACCCGAGCAGGGTCTTCGCCCAATTATTTGTTGGATGTGTTTATATACGTTAATTTTATAATAGGAAACTTGAAAATTTTCGACAAAAAAATGACAACTCTCAAAATAAATAGGTACTTTTCAGTGTACCATTTTGAAGTATATAATATTTTTAGATTGAATTCATTTTTTATGTGAGAAGGTGGCATGCGAGCTGGCGGTTCACCTGATGTTAAGTGATACCCGCCGAACATGGACATTTGCAACACCTGCCTTTTAATAAAGGGGGCCTCCTACCTCACTCACCAGACGAAACGCTGAAGTGTAACCCGTCCACTTCAGGCCGAACTTCTGCGAGGTCGTGGTATTTTCCCGGACGGACCTGCCCATTCGTGCAACTGCCGAAGCTGTTGCGTGGCTCTAAATCGAATAATTTGAATCGCTATGTAGCATTTAAAAGAAATCCATTGTATTATATATAATGTTGGCAGACTGGCAATGAAACGCGATAAAATTTATTATTAATTGTATCTCTGTCAATACAATAAATATTTATATGTATGAACCAATAAAACATATAACACGCTGAGTATGTCAACCGTTGACTTGTCACGGTGACAGCCTTGCACATGAATGGTTTTATTGTACGTGTGAACGGACACTAGACGCTTTGGAGGGAGGATAGATAGATAGATAGTCGGCAATAATTGAATTATTGAAGCGCCTTCCGCGCAATTGAGACCTAACCAAGGATTGGTTCAACCGCAGACGAGTGCATTATGTACCACGGCAAGCCTTTGTTAATGTAAAGAGAGCCTGTAAATTTTTTTTTTCTATTTATACGTTATATTAGTTATGTTTTTTGTTTTTATTTTATTATTTTATTGTAGTGCTAATTTTTTAGGTTACTGTTCTCCTTAAAGAATTATTTTATTCGATGTTGTGTTTACCTTTAATTTAAATGCATATGTACAATGTTATATTTAATTTAACAATGTTAACCTCAACGACTTTCCGACTAGATACTTCTCTCAAATGTAAACTACAGATGTTTAAATATTTTTTCGCAGGCTCACGTTTAGTTTTATGGGAAGTAAAATAGTTAAAGATATATAAAGCCCTACAGCTAAGGAATGGAACAACCTGCCGGCGTCCGTCTTTCCGTCCGATTACAACGGAGGCGTTTTTGACGAGCTGGCGCACTTACCATCGACGGCTGCATCACCACTTACCATCAGGTGGAATGACAGTCAAGTGCTGGCCAGTTTTGAATTTAAAAAAAAATATAAGGAAAAGCAGTATTAAACTCGGCGAACACACGCCGAGTCTTGTAGTAATTACTAATAGCAATAGCAATTCAATGGGCAGCGCACCTTGTCCCCTGCTAAAACTAATGTCCTCGCCTCAATTGGAAAGTAAATTATGGCCATGACATCGAATATCTATTCGCAATGTGTTTTTTCTAATGATAATAATCAGCGTTTGATACAGAGAAACATTAAGATAAAGTGGGTAAGATGGCAAGGAACACAATAATTGTTATAATATTTGTAATCAATAATATTTATGAAAATAATTTATTTCTTATCTTTCAAACTTTTTTTTATTAGTCAATAAGTGAGTCATGTATTCTAAAATTGATAGACAGTTGAACAGAAGGCATGGGGGATTGAGTGTTTAAGCGAATTTGTGGTAATAGATTTTAAGTCGAAGAACTGGCCAGTAGGGAATTTCGAAACGTGTACTATTTTTTAAGATTCGGCCGTGTTTTATAATCTGTACAGCCATTACCTTCAGTTCAGACGCACAGTGTAGGTATATCGCGTATTGTGCTTCAACGGAAACTGAGAGTTTATTCAATTTGTGCGGCCGAAGTCAGCGCCCTCATCCTTAATCACCAAGTCGCTAATTGCGAGATCACTGCGGTGGATAAACCAAATATTGAATGTCGCGCGGCTACGTCAAGTATACTAAATAACCATTTTGTTAGTAACGAAAAACAAGACTAAATAACTCGCTCTGTAGTTCTCTAAGTATCTCCGGAACCCAAGATCCAATACCAATGAAATTTATGTAGTTTAGGTTAGTATTGGACAACAGCTTTTAAATAAAAAAAAGAATCATCAAAATCGGCTCCCTCAGTCAAAAGTTCTGAGGTAACAGACAAATAAAAAAAAAACAGTCGAATTTAGTCGTTTAAAAAATCCATTCATTATTTTCGACAACGTTATACGTATCCTAAAACAAGTTCTAAATTCAAATAAATCTGACATTCAAGCTTTTTAAAAAAATCCAAGCAAAGCATTACACGAGGCAGCAAGGTTGCGTTTTAAAATGCCGCTGGCTGGAAATTAACATCTTTTTTTATAAAAAAAAAAAAACACTGGCGGACTATGAGTTAAGAGATAGTAGCGCACGTAAGAAATCGAAACACCGAACAAGTCACGGAATACCGTTACTTTGTTCGACGTTCTCCAAAATAGAGGAATGAAAATATCACCAAATGTAGTTCATTGCACTCACACAGGTGCCGTATCATAAAGCGTGATTCATATATTTGGCTGTATATGTATAGTTGGGTTAAGTCTGGCGAGAGTAAAACAGTCTCGTTTATTAATTAAAATCAATGAAAGCACTGGGTATGCAAGGGCTGCATTCTTGCGTTCGTTGAGACGGTAAAGAGAGAAGACAAATGATAAGATCGCATATATTTGATTTAATTTAAAGGTGTAAAGGTAACTAAAAAAATAAGATGCCATATCTTGCAAGCTATGAGTAAAGGTATGGGCCGCAAATGATTTCAAATTCATATTAATACGAGGTTTTGTTAAAAACTTTTATTTTTTGGAATTCAAATAATGCTTGTCGATCTTCTGATTTTGGCACAAGTGATGCGGACAGCTAACTATTTATTGAGAAAGTATATCTAATAATAAGTGACTTTTAGATATCACTAAATATTAAATAAATAAACAAAAAAAGTGTATGTATGTACTTATGTACGCACGTAAAAAGTTAAATACTTTTTAAGCGTAACCAAAGAAAAATAACTAAAAACTTATAATCCCATGTGCCAATACTCTTTGATAAGGTTTTAATTAATGATCAACGCGATAAGCCTATCGTCAATAAGGAATACTGAATTTTGCTAAAAACTAGGTAATCAAAATAGGTACCTACCACTTTTTATATGTCTAAGTAAAAGTCTTGTCGGCAAAATTTTACAGTATAAAATAACTGCTCGATAACTGGCCAGACCTGCGTTTTCTTAAGATCATCTGAACAGACAACAAAGGGAAGAGCAACGAACTTATTCCGTTCAATATGTTATTGCTGTTCAATTCGGTGCGTTTAATTTTTAGGATTCCGTTCACAAATGGTAAAACGTGACCCTATTACTGAGACTCCGCTGTCTGTATGTCTGTCTATCCGTATATCACCACGTTGTATCTTATGAACCGTGATAGTAAGCCAATTGAAATTTTCACAGATGGATGTATTTCTGATGCCGCTACAGCAACAAATATTAAGAAACAGAATAAAAATATATTAAATTGGGGCTCCCATAAAAAGAGACACGATTTATTTGCCGTTTTTATACATAATGAACGGAACTCACGTGCGCGAGTCCGACTCGCACTTGGCCGGTTTTTTACACTTATACTAAATTTGTGTTATTGCCCCCGACTATTCAAATTATAATTTTACTACAGTTACTATTCTATTCAGTGGCTTGGATAAGTTTCCTATAATACTATTTCATCTCACTCACGTGCCCATTTTTCTGGATTCTTTTTTTCGATATTCTTTGCATGTTGATAAATGACATAATTATATGGTTTTTATCGCGCCCAATATACAACATTAAATTGAATTCTCATTTTTTTCCTTTTTTACGGAAAAAGGAAGCAAACGAACAAGCGGGTGACGGAATGGTAAGCGATAACCGCCGCTCTCTCCCTTGAATTTTCACAAATCGGTGAAAATACGCGATACATTTTCCCCCTTACCGTTTAATTTTTATTTATTTATCGAAAATCATGATCGAAAGCCAATCGAAATACAGAAGGACAATCAAAACGGAAAACCCATTCACGAAACATGTTTAATTTATTATAAAACCTAACTCTTAGGAAATTCGACAACCCTAAATTTCGTGTTTTAGTGGCGACCCAAATGTTACCGTGTCCGTTGAATCGTTTCATTTATACGCGCGTGTAAAAAATTATCACTTTCGGTACGAGAAATGCGTCAGACGATAAAAGTAGGCGAGGAAGGATGGCTTGAAAGCTTTTGCTATAGACATACTTTAATAGAATGAAGATAACAACGAAATCATATTAAAACAAGTACAATATAGCGGATTTCGGCTTAAAACTGAATCATAATCAAAGTCGTTTGGTTCGTTCGGTAGTCTGTATAATAACATTATAGTAATAGTATTAAAAGTAAAGTAATGGTACTTATACATCACCTATTACTATTTACTACATCGTAGTGGTCGCCCAATGGTCAAAATCTTGTATCTTGTATTAACTGATGTTTTTGCTTTCAGTCCCGAGACTATTAAAGCTTCATCTGACGGAGAACCGGTGGGCTAGCCAGAACCCACGGGTTTGGGCCCTCCGCTGTGGGTAGGGCCACTAACTATGGTACGTCATCTAAGGGCCATCGAGGTCGTGGTTCGGACCGAAACCCCGATGGCCGTCGACTGTGCAATTAGCTAATCGGTGGCTGGGGGCGGTGAGAACCGCCCCGGAACGCGGGTGTACCTTGTGTACGCGTTGTGTTGGTCTCGCCGTGCTCGGAGGCGAGGGCAAACTAGTGTGTTTGTTGTTGCACTAACTGTAGGTGTAGTGTTGTCCGGCGGGACCCCCGGCAGTGGGTCCGGCGTGTCTAACTCCCCTTCCTCGACCGCTTCGATTAGGACGTTTCGCGGGCGACGCTTGTTGACGTTCGCGTTTTGGTCGGGTTGGTAATTTGCTGCGCTTACCACCAGAGGGTTGGGATGATGTTCGGCTCTATCGAAGAACCGTTTGGTCAGGTCTTTAAAATATTCGCGAATCGTCGGGAGTCTGCAATCGCTGTGCAAGTCGACGTTGCGTTGATACCACTGCGCACCGGTTGCGCGGCGGATGAACTTATTTTGTACTATTTGCAACTTGTACAAGCAAGTAGCGTGCGTGTGGGCGAAGGTCATGCATGCGTAAGACATAATAGGTCGTACGCAGGTCTTATATAATAATAATTTGTGCCTTAAGGGCATTTTACTTTTAGCGTTAGTTAAATTGTGTAGCCGGCCGGAGACGAACGCGGCTCTATCGCGAACGTTATTAATGTGCGTAGTAAATGACATACGCGAGTCGAAAGTGACTCCTAAGTATTTGAACTTTTTCTCCCAGGGGAGCGGTTGGCCATAAAGGGATATTTGCTCCAACTTTCTGCATTGACGAGGGCCATTATAAAGATGTGACGGGTAAGTACTTCGTGTGAAGTGAATCGCCACACTCTTTTCGGGATTTATTTCTATTCTCCATTTGCGGAACCAATCGCCGAGGCGGTCGGCAGCGCTTTGGAGTCGAGCGGTTAGTTGTCTAAGGTTGCGGTCTGAATAAAAGAGCGTCGTGTCATCCGCGAAAAGCGCGAGATTGACGTGGGGGTCTTTAGGTATATCGCTCGTGTAGAGCGTAAAGAGCAAATGTGAGAGGCAGGAGCCTTGTGGTACGCCGGCCGTGAGGCGGCGGCTTGTGGAGAGGGTGCTTTCAACTCGATATCGAAAAGAGTTCGACAGGAAGGCCTGGATGGTGTGTACGAGCCTATCTGGCACTTTGAGTGTGTACAGCTTGTAAAGCAAGCCGTTGTGCCAGACCTTGTCGAATGCTTTTACGACATCGAAGAAAAGAGCCCCTGTACTAAGTGGTCAAATTACGACTATAATTAATCATTTACGATATATTAATCATTTACGTGATAAAAAGAATCATCAAAATCGGTTCACTAAATCGAAAGCTATGTGTGTATGTTACAGTCGAATTTAGAACCTCCTCCGTTTTCGAACTCATTGAAAAAAAAAAAAAAAAAAAAAACTGGGTCGACAATCAGCCGCGGCGTACCTTCGGACTTGGACAGGCAAATGTAGTGGCTGGGCTTCTTGCCGAAGAGTCCATTTTGGCGCAGCAGGCCGGCGTCGGCGTCCTCGTCGTACGTGCGGCTGACGGGCCAGTAGCCGGCCGGGCACTTGGCCACGCTCTCTACGATCTGCAGCGAGAGCAGCGGCCGCTCGTCAGGCAACGCGCCACCAAGCGCTGACAGCACCTTCGACATCTCTCACGGCATGCTTCCAGTGTCACGATCGATCAACGCCCTATCAGTCTCTCGAGTAGCACCTGCAAAGAAGCCTAAGCATACTCCATTTGCAAAGTAACAGCCTATAGATGTCCCACTGCTGGGCAAAGGCCTCCTCCGTACAGAGGGTATCAGGGCATAGTCCATCGGATCCGTGCGGATTGGCGGACTTCACAATATTTTTTTTGTTATTTTTTCGAAAATATGCAGGTGTTCTCACAATGCATTCTGCCACCGCTGAGCACGTGGTAAGTCTTAAAATTAAAGCACTTAAAATTTCTATAGTAGCATGCAATATTTGCTCACGACTTTGTCCATTTGGAATTTAAAATAAATACAATTTCTAAAATAAAAGTAGCCTAAGTTACTCCTTATTGCATCTGCAATTTGCCAGTGAAAGTCCCGTCAGAATGGGTCCATCCTTTTTAGCCAGAACAGACAGACAAAAATTGTGAAAAAAATATCTTGGTATATTTTCTGTGTATAAATCCATATGCTTTTAGTAAAAAGCAGTTATCTTAATATTACAAACAGACACTCCAATTATATTAGTCTGTATTGATATTATATTATTTCATAGACATTTATTTTAATACAAGTAATAACTCAAATGAATTGATTTTTTGCATGTAATAAAACGAATTACCTGAAGTATGATATTTTTAGTATTTTGCAAAATAATTTTATTGAATCCCAACTTATTAAGTAATTATTACATATTATCAGTGATACCTCACATGAGTTGGAACCCAGGGCCTGCACTAATAACATTGATTAAAAATTCTTGAAAATATTTAATCTAGTAAAATCCTTTTCAATTTATCATAACCTTTTCAATGTGTATTCAATATTCAAGCAGTGAAGATAATAAATATGCATGATGTATATTATTAAACTGAAGCTGATTTGTGATATTCAGTACATTGAAATCTTATGTAAAAAAAGGGAACAAGGAAATACAATCCCATTTAATGATAGAAGGGTCAAATGAACAGGATTAAATTATACTAAGTGCTTAGTTAGGGTTGCTCCCTAAAAGAATATAACATTGTTTTGTCATGTAAGGTTTCCTTTAAAAAAGATTAGACAGGTCTAATCTTACCAATTCCGCATGTAAGTATTATATGGAATTGACAAGTTTTCCTGTGAGGTGAACAAAATTTCCATAAGCAAAAAGGTCTGCTCTTTAAAGACACTAACAGGGCATAGTTTCCCATAATCACTAAGTACAGGAAATAATTTTGGAAAGTAACACTTAAAGAAACGAAAATGTAAGATATTACAGTTATCTTCATTTTTCATAAAATAAAAAAAACATTTTCCATGACATTTTTAAGTTATTGTTACTGCTAATTTAACTACATTTGATGGTTTCAGCCAATACTTTGGGGCTCAGAAGCTTAATGAGAAAGAAATATGCAAATTAGTCTATGGTTGGTTAGGAGACTTCTCGCTCTACCCACGATGCTTAATTTGTCATGCTTTTGTGTGGAAGGGGTTGGGTAGTCACAACAAACGCTAGAACCTAGCTGTTAGTTAAGCTAGGTTCTAGCGTTTGTTGTGACTACCCTAATAATTGTGTGGAAGTCTGGGATAGTTTTGTTTCCCAATGAAGCCAGGATATTTTTGTATGGTGAAAATGGACATTAGCAAGAGATACTAAGATTTACTCCTCATACTGCTCCCAAAATGTCCAGACGAAGCCAAGATTTCAGCCAAAGGGGGTCAAATGCCAGACTAATATCCTCTTAGTGTTTTAAGAAAAAAAAACATTAGACAATAATGGTTTGAAACATGATTTTTTTTATTAATATAATCAAAATGTTTTATATAAATAAATTTAAACAAAGCAGAATAACAATGTTTTTACAAGAGTTCATAATATTGTTTTCATTAAGTTATTTGTCATTATAAATTATGCTAATAACAAGCAAACACTTATTATATTTTTTCAATGAGTCATTATTTTAAATTGATATTAACATCAATTATTAAAATTATTATTGATAAGATTAACTTTGCAATGTATGCTCAAAATACCAATTAAATACAGGTATATTATCAAAGGTTTATCACAATTATAACTAAAAAAAGCTTTGCAAATTCTTCACTAATGGAAGAATTTGCGTGAATGTGGTTATTCTGTAAATTTATTCAACAATACTTTGGATTATATAAGGAAGAGTTTGTGATGGCTTAGTAATTATTTTAAGCACAATTTTAAAATAAAGAAACTAAACATATAAAATCCAAACTTACCAAAAGAAAATTGGGTAGTTATCAAACACTTGAAGGTCAGTAACATTAACGACGATCGAATGTTAAATGAACAAGTATAATCACAAATTGCCTAAAATCTGCACATATATTCAGATCACTCACTAACATCCCAAACTGATATGACTCGTAATATTGCGCCACCAGCGACCGACTTGGCAAAATTCCATGTAATAAGTTCTGTGAGCATACAGATTCAGAACTAGTCGCGTGTAGGGCTGTCCGTGGACGGGCAATACACTAATTAAAACAATTGCTCTTCTCGGTCCCTCCCACCCAATGTCTACCGTGAACAATGACCCCAACAGATGATATCTTAAATTACTGCCACTATAAAAATTATCTTACCGTTGTCATGACATCACGCGACGAAACAAACGTTACTTCATTACTTGCGGCGATGCTAAAACCATTTAACATTTCCCAAGATCCAAACAAAGTGCAGACACTTTTTAATCATTAGTACATAAATACACAAAACATAAATTGAATTATTCTGTTTTTCAAATGCAATATGGGTTTTTGTTTATCTTTTGTCATTAGAAGAACAAGAACAATTAGAATCTTTGTCAACTAACATCTTTCCATTCAGATATTTGATAACAAATCCAAATTCCAAATCCAATCGTATGTAGTCAAGTAAACAGTGTTGCCAGGTCTTATTTGCCATCCATTGCCAAACCCAGTAGATAAAGTATTGTTTTCATTTCGTGTAGAATTATTTATTTTTTCAGTCAATAATTTAGCTTAGTCATTTATTATATTGTTATTGCAGCATTTTCCCTCAAGTGTCAAGCCAACTCGAACAGTCATAATTGCAGATACAGTTATAAATTTCTATTTATTGCACCTAATCTCAAGACAATTCACTGTATATTGTAAAAAACTATTGAAAAATAAAATGGTTAGATAAAATTGTAAATTGTAGATAAAACAAATAACACTTGGCGCTGCGGGACTCGTACCTGCATCCTATGGTTTGGCGCCCCGACGCTTTATCAACTAAGGTAAGTGACCGATGATTTCACGACATGAAAATCTTTCCATCTATCAACTTTTGTTCATTTATTTACATAAATTTACAATTTAAAGTTTCATCTTCAGAGCTGGGACAAGCACTAAAATAAAAGTTAATCTTCAAAAAGTTGTTATTATTATCATTAATCATCAATCAATTACATTTATTTATTTTTATTGTCATGAAGTATTACGAAGGGTGAAGGTCAGCACTGAAAATCAGCGCTGTGTTGGGGCCTTGACTTCTGGCATAGCATAATGCTGAGCTGCTGACCTGATTTACCGAAGTACGACCTTTTTCGTTTGTTTAAGTTATTTTTCGTTTGTTATATATTTTAATTATTTATATGTGTTGTATTGTTTTACTGTATTATTTATAACAACTTTTTTTTATTTATTTTAGTTTTGTTTTTCTTTAATTTTTTTCTTTATTCATTTATTATTATTATGGTATATTTACTTATTATCTCATCTGGTTGGATCTATAAATAAAAATAAACCCATAAATATATATTTTATATAATATATAAATAAAATTATTATAAGTAAATAAATACGACCCAACCAGACGGAAGCCCTCGGCAGATGAGATGAAACGTTCGAGGATTAGGGCGAAACGGAGAGAAACCGCCGGACGATGCGGGCAGTATCGAGGAGCAACGCCTTCTGCATTTGAGCTTGGAGAGATCCGTCCCCGAGTCCCAGTTGCCACAAATGTTAATCACCGTCTACCTCAGACGGTGATTAACCCATTGGCAGTAACGACTTTCAAGATAATATCGGTCGGCACACCACCCTAGATGTCGGTAACCACGTGAGTCAGTTCCAGATACTACGTCTTTTCATCTGTTTAGGCTTTCACGAGGTTTTTGTCATATGGAATAGGAATTTCGACCAAAAATATCCACGACTGTGACCGGTCCATCCGCACAATATCAGGTTTATTTGCGAGAATCGTCCTGTCCGTGATGATCCCAATAGAGCCTGGCGCAGTCATTTTCGAGCACGGCCTGTGGATAGTACTTACAGTTTGGAGATGAGTTTGAGTCCACTGGAGTATGCCAAAGGTAATATACATGAGGACTGGCATGACCCAGCCGTTAAATGCGCGCGCTTTGTTAATGCCTGACAAATGGCTATTAAATACTTTTGTCTGACGTGTTTAATGTTATTACTTTTAGCGTCATTCAGTTTCTTTATTTGGTCTTTACAATTTCGCCATTAAATGGGCCTCATGAAGCCACCATTTTTAATAGAAAATCCACCAAGTTGGCAGCACTGCAAGTAGCAGAAAGGAAATGTGGTACTAGTTCATAATATTGAAACAAATGTGTTATTCTGCGATGACAATATAATTTCAGCATAGGATGATTGTTATCGCTTTCGAATCAGAAAAAACGATATATGGTACACCAAGAAGTATGCAGTATGCGAAATATCTGTTTATAGATATGTTTATAAGCAGAAGTGAATATTTGTTAAAATTTGTAGGAAATGGTTATAATTGATTGATAGCCTCCCTTAGATTTAAATTATACCCATAGATATTTATATACTGGATCACACCAACGAAAAATATTTAATTATTCAAACACTGAAAACCGTGATTGTAGTTACAAACAACGTAAAAACCAGCTACAAAATACTTTCAGAAAAGATCTCTGTACGCTTAAATATTTATACAATAAGCTAGCGAACCCGACAGACGTTGTCCTGTACACACAACATAAATCCGACAACTTATAAATAAATAAAAATATAGTGGGCCGAATTGTGAATATAAACCTTTCTCCAATCGACCTAAAGACACACACAAAATCGGTCCAGCCGTTAAGGAGTTCATTGAAATACACAGACTCAGAAGAATCTTAATTCTTACATAAATACTGTATTTTAATATATAGTATATATATATATATATATATATATATATATATAATATATGTATAGCGTAGTATATATGTAAAAATTTAAACCGCTTCAAAATCATTTCTCTATCCACCTTCTCTAATTGAGCGTTGATGGTCGTGGGTTCGATTCCCATACGGTATAACTATTTTTCTGACCCACAGATAGTTGTTTCGGATCTGGGTTTTTTTCAATATGAAATTATGTTTGTAAAACGTTCTTACAAGACAGGATAATGTTTTAAAGAAAAATAGCCATAAACAAGTAGTCATAAAAGTCCGTTGGGAAAAGCTTTTGGTATCTATCACTCTTCCTATCGGACCGTGCATCCCAGACGGCAACGTCTTAAATATGTCTTAGACGTTCCCGACGACCCTGCATTCGCTTTCAGACATGCACCTGATATAGAATAGAGCTAAACTCGCAAGTTTAGGCTGAATGTGGGCTATAGGAAGAATGTTTCAAAATTTCAAAGCCCACTCTTGTCTTTTGCACTTGATGAATTTTCCTTTCACCCCTTTGGTCAATTTTCTCAGCATTTTTCCATCACATCATCACGGTAGTTCAGTTGATGGTGCGCCCTTATTTGTGCCATTGCACGGACTCATGCTTTGACTCAGACTTAAAATGATGTACCTAGTATGCCCAATTCCGTGAATTTTTCGACACACCCTTGTACATCTAGCATACAAATTAAATCAATCTGCGATCATTATCGACCATCATTTCAGTAAGTCATTGCATTGCCATTACTATTTCTATAACCTGTTTTCACCTTTGAATATAAAGGTTCTGATTGTTGCATTTATTCTTTGACCTGTGTAGGCTCAAAGTTACCCTGCCTGTTTATCCAAAAAGTGCGCCAGAGTTCGGATTAAAAATTAATTATAAAAATGATAACAAACCAAGTGGAGCACGTATAAGGAGCGACGAAAATATTCGCTTAACGCACTAGCTGGATGGTTCGCCCTACATTATAGGCGGCTCGTTGTCTTTGGAAGACGCAGCTTCAGGTTCAAAGGCTCAAAAATTTCATTAGATGATTTTGATAACTCCTCAGCCAACTATCCGGCGGAACGCCTGTTCTGTAACTGGAGTTGTAATGGTTTGTGTGCTCTAAACATTTTTGGTTTTTGTGGAATGGTGGCGATGCAGTCATAAAATAACTAAACGGACTGTCTTAGTCCATATTGTATTTTGAATGGTAAAGTTAATGCTGTCAGATTGTTCAATATGAAAGAATGAAAGCCCACAGCAAGCAGATTGAGGTAGAGATGACAACAAAACGATAGGGGCTCTACATGTCTAGACTACAACAGGTAATCGAAAGGGTACACTAGGCAGAGGTAATTGGTGTCACTACAACACACATTCTTAATACGGACTGCAGAAAGCCGAGTGCCAAGTAGCGATAGAAATTTCCACAAACATGAGGAGCTTCTCATTGTATTGTGAAAAAATACTCTAATGATATTACTATTAGCAACTCAAGTTTGTTCTGTACTATTTAGCAAGCCAGATGGAGCAACTGCAAGCAACGTTTTCGGGTATAGCTAAATATTAATAAAAGAAGAAACAAAATTATTATATTGTAATACATAACAACTACATAACCTACAAGATGTTAACAACTGACAGCATGTATACAAAAAAAGTTACATGGTGGAAACTAATAGTCAGAAACTAAGACAACAATCTTAAAACACAAATAAAATCACAAGCAATTCATAATTTAATTATTTATAACTGCTCTTAGGGCACACATTGTGTTGATATATCAACCTACCTAAGGTAACTGCCAATAAATAATTAAAACAATTAAATGGATTGATGTATGCCCCTACAGTTATTTAAGAATTTATTTCATTTGTTTTAATAATTATAAAATACTATTTAACATATCACATCACAAGCAAATTGTTTGTAGTTATAATTATTCTAGAACTTTAAATGGTAGCGCCGTAGTATCTGCCGTTCCTGATGAGGAACTGAAATACGGTGACACGTCAGACAGATAGTTCCTAGGAATAAGTCCAATCAGTAGAGCAATTTTTGCGGCTATTGGCGCCTTTTCTTCGTCATCAACAATAGTGTCCTGGTCTGGCATTACCTGCAACATTAAAAATATCTTTTAATTTTTCATTTCTTTATTTCAATTTCATGAATATTAGAAGCTGTAGAATGATAATAACAAATAGGCTCTCAGTAGTTGCCATCCCGCTTATTTTGTTGAAAATACATATTATTATTTATCTGGCAGCAGAATAAGTAATGACTTAGATACAATTTATTTATTCTTGTTTAGAAAATTTATTAAAAATTGATAACTCCTTTACCTTATCAGCTATATGTTTCTGAATCAAACCATCACCTCCGACATAAAATGTGGAAAATCCGTCATACCACCTGCAGGGGCGTAAAACGTTTATTGTAATTTAATGTAAACTATAACTCATTTTATTATAAAAAGTGAACATTTATTTAATTTATAAAAAAGTTACATATAAAAAAGTATATTTCAACTATTTATAGCATATATTGATTCTTACAAGTATGAATATGTGTAAATATGCATTCCAAAAACTAGCTCCAAGAGTATTTTGAAGTATGCATTGTGTCATCAAAGTAGGTACTTTCTAGTTAGCTAATGACAACCATAATTTTCATCTTTCTTTCTTTATTTACATACTGTTAATGTTTATTACTTTAAAATTTTTATTGGCACAAAATATACAACAACTATTGTCTATATCAGGCAATCTCCTGTTGTTGCATAAAATAAAGTATTTATAAAAAAATTGATTATTAAAGCAATACTACTATCTAAGTTATTTCACAGCTGATAAGTTAACTTCTACAATGATTAGTGTTTCAGAAATCGGGCATTAGTCAGGACTAATTATTAAAAAAAACTCTGTTTCACTCAATACATCTCAGGAGACATATTAAGTGAAACAGAGTGTCAAACTTGTTTTAATATATACGCCTCACTTTTAATAGAGAGGTGAAGGTAAATATTTTACACTTACAATTCTTGATCTTTAAAAGCTTGTTCCATATCCCACAATTTATATCTCCAAAACATGAAAAACACTTTAAAACCAGATATGCCACGGATTCGCCATCTCATTCTGAAACAATTGCCAATGTTATAATGGTGGTAGGGCCACGCAGCAGCCTCGGCTGTTGCACGAATAGGCAGGCCCGTCCGGGTAAGTACCACAACCTCACAGAAGACCAGCGTAAAGTGGAAGTATGACAAATACTTTCGCGTTTCGTCTGGTGAGTGAGGTGGCCGGAGCCCAATTTACAAAAGGTCATGTACATGTCCATGGGCGGCGATATTCACTTAACATCAGGTGAACTGTTTGCTCGTTTGGCAACTTTTCACATAAAATAAAATAAATATATAAATTTTAGCTTTAAAAATGTCCACTCCATGGCCAGTCAAACAATGTAAAAACGTTTACTTTCTCCAAATAATGGAATACATTATATATGTAAATAACTTCTAGATTACAAATATACTTCCAAAAATAGGCCTTTTCAGATTACAACTTACTTTACAGTTGAGTCTTCTGGATTTGGAGTTATTTTTAACACTTCTAACTTAACATAAGCAAACTTTAAATGGCCCACAGTACGCAGAAGAGCTACTTGCCTAACATACGGGAACAGGCCTCTGAAAAACCAAAAGAATAATATTGAGTATTGAAGAAGTATTTCATGAATCACTACATTGTATAAAACAAAGTCATCCCACTGTCTGTCTGTCCCTATATATGCTTAGATCTTTAAAATTTATTTTGTGTTATAAATTGTCCTATTAGTGTAATTTTCACAATTTTTTTTTCATATAATGAAGAAGGAAAACAGTGATTCATCAATTTAATTTAATATAAGAAAGACTCACGTAATGTAAAACTTAAATAATGGAATTTACTGATGTAAAGTTTATTATAGAATAAATATCAATCTCTATAGAGAGATTACAATGAATTTATCTATTTCAATGCAATAAAATTAAAGAGAATACTTGATAAATTAAGGATAAGAGTGTTGGTAGAGATGAATAAGAAAGAGTGAGCCTCCTGCTCTTTTGCCACTTTTTTCCCATTAAAAAAATAAGAAAGAGCAGTATAACATAAAATAGAATTATTTTCATACTTACACTGTAGTAATGCCTCGGATGTTGTTAACAAAAATCATGTTTGGATGATATATTGAGTAGTCTAAAGGCTTAACAAATAGGTTAGGCATCTGAAAGGAATAAAAGTAAGTATTGCTGTTAAAAAATTTGCAATTCAACAAATTTTATTGATATTATCAAAAGCAAGAATGTTCTATTAATGCAGATCAATTTGTTGGATGACTATTAAATAATGAAGAAATTGTGTAATGTAAAAAACAATGCCAATGTTTTGGTATGGATTATAACCAATTTATATTTGTAGATTGACATATTAGTGAAACTAATCCACCCAATCTTATAATTTTACAAAATAAAAAATTTGGGTACATAAAACTTCAAAAACTTCAATAATAGGCTTAAAAGCTGATGAGTAAATGAGCATAACTGGCTTCAATAACCTTCCCTTATATTATTGTACTTCTTTTACAAAAAAGAATATAGATGAAAAGAATAAAGAATTTAGATGATAATCACAAATACCTTACTTTATAGTAACTAAAAATGTTAAAGATTTCCTTAAGGAAATGTAACTCTCCCAACTAGTCACTTTTCACTTTTGCCTGTATTTTATCCTGTAGTCTTTTATTTATAATAAAAAAAAGTGAAAAACAAATTTGGAATAAGACACATACAGTTTTTGAAAGCACATGAAACACTTTCATTAGTTGCTCCTCACTCGGTTTCCCATCTCTATTACCCTCACTTGATGATTGGATATTGGTTGATGGTATGGTTGGGCCACTGCAGTAAATAATTGCATCCCTCTCAAAGGCCGATAGACATGTTGGTTCAATGTTCTACAACAAATTTTGATACAACAATTTCATAAATATTAACTCTTTGTTGCTCATGTAAATGTTTACTGTTTAATCTGTTTTTTAAAGAGACCTGCTTGCAATCTGAGATATACACTATGATGAGAAATGTGTATGTACACTTTCATACGGTGGTAGGGCCACGCAGCAGCCTCGGCTGTTGCACGAATGGGCAGGCCCGTCCGGGTAAGTACCACGACCTCACAGAAGACCGGCGTAAAGTGGAAGTATGACAAATACTTTCGCGTTTCGTCTGGTGAGTGAGGTAGCCGGAGCCCAATTTTCAAAAGGTTGTCAACGCATCTGTAACCCTCGAGTGTAGCAGATGTCCATGGGCGGCGGTATTCACTTAACATCAGGTGAACCGTCTGCTCGTTTGACAACTTTTCGCATAAAAAAAAAAAAAAAAAAAATACACCAATTGTATTGACTTGCAAGGTAAATAGATATGCCATTGCCTTCATGCATTGTCGCATAGAAACCTAAGTCATCGACTGGACAATTGGCTGATTTTTTCAATCTGTGTGCATCTTAATATTCATTTTATATAAATTTTCCTTCAATTTAATATTAATTTAATAAATTGTTGAAAGTTGTAAGAATGTTGGGTGGTAGGGCCACCCAACATTCTTTGGTGTTGTACAAATAGGCAGGTCTGTCTGGGTAAGTACCATGACCTTACAGACAACTGGTGTGAAGTAGAAACGTTATACGACTGGTGAGTGAGGTAGCCAAGGCACACTATAAATGTAATAAAAAATATTAAAAGGTGGAAACGTGTCTGCAACCCTAAGGATGTTGCAAGTGTCTAGTTAGGCAGCCGTTATCACTGAAAATCAAATGAACCACCAGCTTGTTTGCCACCTTGTCACATTAATAAAAATGACAATTTTCCTGGGGTTATCAGGTCTGAACTTGTGTACTGCACTCTATACATGATAAAGTTAAGAAACAAATAAATCTGATACTCACCTCATCACATTTGCTAAAATCAATTTCATTTAAACTATATGCTCTTTCATTGAAACTAAATGGAATTGTTTTCTGTTCAATATAATCATCAGATGTCAAATCCAACGGACTTATTCCTAAACCATTGTTAAAAGTCTCTACGTCGAATCTGGTGTTCTCATCATCATTCGTAACGATACTGTGTTTAGGCAGACATTTAGAAGCCGAAAATATTCCATTTCCTACTGCAATGTCGCATGTGTCGATGTTACTGTTATGATCATTCACACACTTAATGGCATGTTGACAACTGGAGATACGACGGCGGTCTAGAAACTAAAAAACATCGGTTAATCAATTTCCTCTATTACTTATGAACTTCGAGGTCAAAAGATTACGACAGAGATTTATGACAGACACGTTTAAAAGGGTTATTTTTATATACATTGATGAATCACATAATTCATTAAATTAAATAAAAATTAATGCAAAAAATACTGAGCAGATACTAACATCTTCCAGAAATTGTGTGCGTACTGGAATATTCCGGGACAAGCGGTTGGAGTGGTTTCTTGTCGAAAAAATACCATTTATCGGTAGAACTTTGTGTGAAAATGTGCGCAAACATATAGCCATTTTTACATTGGTATAGTGCTAATCTAGTTCTGCGGTTAATTCGTGTAAAATTCGTAATATGTCGTAGCGTAGAAGCAAAATACATACAAATGAGCCGCACATGACATGACAGTAACTTTTTTTTAATTTATAAAATTTTGACAATTGTAACTGAGCTATAACGTCTAGGACTAAAATATATTTTTTGGGTAAATATAGTTTGCTAAAAATCAATTTCGTCGCCTAGCAAGGTAGCAAGTGGTAGTACAAGCTAATAATAATAATCACAAAACATGTATATCGATGAGGCTGGCATGAAACAGTCAAAATGATGTGTTTTATGCACGTCTGACAAAAGTGTTTAACAACCATTTGTCAGGCGTGAATTTGAAAGGCGGAAGCGCGCGCATTTAACGGCTGGGTTAAGCCAGTCCTAAAGCATACTTAGGTGAACTCAAATTAAGCTCAACGCTCTGGGCCGAAAAGTCTGCACAACTATGAAGTCCCACAGGATGCATTATCCGGGATGTTCATTGATGAGGTCCCTGCCTCCCAGCAGCGGAAGCATGGCAGGAGGGGCTTTTTAAGCACCCTCATCATGCACAATCGTGAGATGTGCAGCCTCCGCAACTGCTTTCTGGTGAGATCGGATAAGTCAATCTATACGGACGTCATAAGTTGTGAAAAAGGACTTACCATTCTATCCTTAGCCCACAAGCAATGGCAGGAGTATTGGACATTTCCGACCGGGAGACCGTATGGAAGGAGAAAAAAGCTTCACGGGAGGTTCTACAAAGCTCTTAACGAGGCTTTCGTAGTTACTATCGCATCCCTTAACCGATTACGTATCGGTGACCTGTTTGGGGAAACAGAAGGTTCTGTCTGTGCGATTCAAGATCAAGTTATTAAAACGAACAACTATCGGAAATACATGCTAAGAGGTGGCACCTTCGAAATCTATCGAGCTTGTAACCATCTTGGGGAGTCGCTCCGGTTGTTCCATGCTAGTAGCCAAAATCATAGACCAGGAGCTTGCTTAGAAATACGGTCTCGTGGATAGGAAACTGCCGTACTGCCCACTAACACGGGCAGTATTATTCTCGCAAACAAACCTGACGACTGTGTCCGGTCCATCAACACGATATGTTGATGGACCGGACACAGTCGTGAATATTTTTTGGTGAAAATACCATTCCAAATGACGAGAACCTCATGAAAGCCGAAACAGATAAGAAAACAATATATCTGGATCTGACTCACGAGGTAACTGACATGTAGAGTGGTGTGTGGACCGAAATTATCCCGATAGTTGTTTCTGCGAATGGGTAAATTCCAGTCAGCCGCACATTTAAGCCGACTGGAACTCCGAGAAAGACCGCTCCAAGCTCAAATGCAAAAGGCGGTGCTTCCTTTCGCCCTAACTCTTGACCGTTTGGTCGTCCCTGCTAGCGACCCACCCCGGCTTTTCACAGGTTTAATGTATTATACATATAAACCTTTCTCTTGAATCACTCTATCTAGTAAAAAAAACCGCATCAAGATCCCTTGCGTAGTTTTAAGATCTAAGCATACATAGGGACAGATAGGCAGCGGCTTTTTTTTTTTTTTTTGGCTGGATGAGTCACTGTTGGCCTTAGGGGCCTTTACAGATCCGACTGACATTAGGTGGCCGGGCGCTCGGGGCGCCTTGCCTGAACCTCGGCGTATTATTATTATGCGTTATGGAGACTAAGCTCGAGGGCTCCCGAGGGAACCTCGGCTCGGGACGTCACGCAATTAGTTTCACTGATTTGGGAGGCCGCCAAGCTCTTAGGGCGCTTTGGCGGACGCTCCATGAAGTGACTAGGCTCAAGGGTCCCCGAGAGGGGACCTCGGCTTGGGCTGTCACTCAAAACGCGTTTAGCATTCCGATTCGAGGGTGCCCTAGAGGGCCTCGGCTCGATCGGTAGTTATTATCTGGCTGGGGGAATTTCTAGAGCTATGTTTATACCATGTTATGCTTGTAGCAATTTCACATTAAGTTTGTATTTTTTGTTAGTTGATAGGGATGTGTTCATACTTAAATAAAATTAATCGATATTATAGTTATAACCGTGGTAAATTAAGCTTAATGTAATTTTACTAAATGATTAGTGCCTAATAATTCAATAAACAGAAATGTAGCATATTATTTATTAAATGTAGCATATTATTTGATTATTTATTAGATATTGGACGAGTTGGTTGCACTTCACGATATTACCGTTGCAAGCAATAACAACTTTATGATATTTTCCTACAACTCTGCTTCTGATCAATCAATCAATCATAAATCGTTATTCAAATAGACGCTTGCGCGTTCTTATGAATTGTCAAATTTTACATAAAACATTATACATAGAGGTTCGTAAGATACCACCGGTTCAGAAAGCAGTTTCTGTTGAGAAGAGACCGTCAAGAAACTCAACAGTTGCTCTTTTTCGAAGATATCAGTTTACAATATAAAATACCGGTATAATAGCCTTATTCTACCCTACGTGAGTATCAACAGTATTAACTCAACACTGGCGTCGTCGAGATATTCCACAATAGTGTAATATGCTTTAACCATAAGTTGACTTTTGATTTTACGTTTAAATTGATCAAGTGGCGGACTTAATATCGACTGTGGGATTTTATTATACATGCGCACAACTTGCCCCATGAACGACCTATTTACTTTTTATAGGCAATAATAAAATTAAACAATGGCGTAGTAAGTTTGTCCTTATTTCTAGTGTTAAATTTATGTCTGTCACTATTCTTTAGGTAAAAATTAAGGTTATGAGGAATATACAAAACATTACAATAAATGTATTGAGAAGCAACAGTGAGTGTATTAATCTCTTTAAAAATATCTCTGAGCGAACTACGGGGTCCGATATTATATATTGCTCGGACAGCTCTTTTTTGTAGAATAAATATAGAATTCATATCGGATGCACTACCCCACAACAAAATGCCGTATGACAAGATGCTGTGAAAATAGCTGAAGTAAACAAGTCTGGCAGTGTCAATGTCTGTTAGCTGCCTAACCCTTCTAATCGCAAAAACCGCGGTGCTTAGCCTATTCGCAAGAGATGAATGATCAACCCCGAACACCTCCGCAAGGTGAACAAAGAGGTAGAAAGGAAAGCTTTAGAGCCACTTCGCGATCCCGTTCCCCCGGTCACGTGCTCCGAACTAGTAGACACTATTAAAAAACTACGCCCACGTAAAGCTTCAGGCTCAGATGGCATCACCAATAAAGTATCCATAGGTTTCCTCAAACCCGCCAAACCCGCCACCCTCCGAACCTCATATCGTCCAATAAGTCTTCTCAAAACATTTGGGAGGTTCTTTGAAAGACTAATACTAGTCCGCCTAAGATCCCTTATGGACACCAAAGGCCTCCCCATCCCAGAGCAGTTTGGATTTAGAGCCAAACATTCATGTACCCACCAAGTGCACCGCATCACGGAGCACATCCTAAGTAAACGCCAACGCGGACTCAACACCGGAGCACTCTTCCTGGATGTGGCGAAAGCGTTCGATAAAGTCTGGCACAACGGGCTCTTATACAAGGTATACGGGTACGGAGTGCCCGACTGTCTCGTATGCATAATACGAGACTTCCTAAGTACTCGGACCTTTCGCTATCGCATCGAGGGCGCGTGTTCGACAACGCATCCAGTTCGAGCCGGGATGTCCCCAAGGGTCAGTGTTGGGCCCAGTCTTGTTCACTCTCGACACCAATGACATGCCGCGTGTCAAAGATGTAGTTCTTGCCCTTTTTGCCGACGACACCTGTCTCCTTAACACAGGCAGAACACCCGAATTAATCCATCGACGCCTTCAAGCTGCGGCCATCACCATCGGTGACTGGTTTCGGCAATGGAGGATCGAGATTAATCGCGCCAAAATTGCTTCCGTCCTTTTCGCACATAAAAATAATGTACCCAATCCTACCCCCGTGAAACTCGTGGACAGCCCAGTACCATGGGTTAATAAAGTCAAATATCTACGCGTAGTCCTCGACTCCCAGCTTAATTTTACCCAGCACGTGACCCAGCTCAGGAACCTGGCAGCCTTCGTACTAGGTCGCCTCTACCCGCTCCTAAATAAAACGTCGAAAATGCCCCTTCGGAACAAGGTGACCTTATACAAGGCAGTAGTTCGCCCTATCATGACGTACGCGAGCCCCGTCTTCGCATTCACATTGCTCCGAAGCAAATACACCGGCTTCAGGTAATTCAGAATCGATTCTTGCGCAGAGCCACGGGAGCACCCTGGTTCATGCGCAACATCGACCTACATGTCGATCTAGAGTTGCCCACAATCGCTCAATTCCTGAAGTCGGCGTCGCGCCGATACTTCGAATCCGCCGCCGCGCATCCCAACCCGTTAATCGTAGGTGCCGTCACCTACAGACCTTTACCATTAAATACATTCCGCCGCGATTACCGCAGACCGCAACACGTTCTCGACCTCCCTGACGATGAGACGACTATTGCCATCGAAAGGATCAAAAAACTTAGGACACACACCAACACACACCAACACACACCGCACTCGCCGGCGAGTGCGGCAAATATATACTAGGTTCCGCCACGTACCTGGCAGGTTTTCCCCCATTAATGATAGAAGCGTTGCGGAGTTTCTTCCGCCACTTCTTCTCCCCGTAAAGGCCCCTAAGGCCAACAATGACTCATCCAGCCCAAAAAAAATCCTACAACTCTATGACTCCCAACTAGTGGGTCAAAAAGACACCCACAGAGACTTTTCATAAAAGACAGGCCAAGATGACGAGAATTGAGTAATAGTTGTTTGATTGACATGAAAATGCTAAACGACAATTTAAAAAGGATACATATATTGTTGTGATTATAATTTTTATGTCGTCAAATTACTTTTCTATGAAAACTCGATATTATATGAGGTGACATTATATTAGGTGACATGATTTTAATTAAATTTTTGTTCACTTTATTTACATAATAAATTAAAATAACTTTAAATATGGATAGTATAAAGTACGAAGCATGAAATTGTAGTATAAATACCTTTATTGTACAAAATACAACACTGCATCCGCGACAATATTAGTCACAGATAACAGATTTTTTCCCCGTTAAGTTTTATCTTTTACGGCTTTGAAACAGTAAAATTCAGATGAATTAAATTTGAATAGAAATATCTTTTTTGATACGCTTTCGATATTCAATTTTTTATATCGATATATTGGATCAAAATATATAGCCAAAAATATCGATATACATTTTAAAAAAAATATCGATATCGATTATTTTTCTACATCCCTATACTGTCAGTTTGATGAGTTTGACAGCCATTTTTGCGAAAAAGTACGTGATTTTGCAAGTGATTCAAAAGTCTTAAAAAGTTAAATTGTATCAAATATATACCAAAAGATTATTGATAATGAATGTACAAAGATTGTTTCACAAAGTCTGCAGTCAAACCTTGGCCACCAATGTGAGAGCGGTATGTATGTAGTTTCGTTATAAATAATTTAGGGTCATGGGAAAGTCTTAGAATAAATGTAAAACTTTAGCTTGCGTTTGTTTCATTTCAAAAATTACGCTTCACTTATTAAATTAATAATACGTAACATTTATTCTTTTTCAGACTATTTCCATATTTACTGTAAGATTTAAACACAACAAAAATGAGCTTGATGAACACAGAGCAAAAATCATGAGTCGAAAATTACCCGAGAAGAAACCTTTACCTGGTGTTAAAAGCATAATACTTGTTGCATCAGGGAAAGGAGGTGTTGGTAAAACTACTACTGCAGGTTTGTCTCAAAAGTTTTATTCTTTCATATCAGTTTATATTTCTTGAATATTGTTATGGTACTTGCTTATAATAAGGACATGCGTGTTTTTCATGTACAAATATTTGTAATTGGTAGACCACAAGATTTAATTATTTTTTTCTCAAAATCTAAATGGCTCCACATCTTTTTACTACTTAATTATTGTTTCAGTTATGTTTCTATAGCAATTAAAAATATTTGCATACACAAAACACATGCGCCATCTATTGTAAACAATCACTATTGTTATTTCTTTATAAGAAATTATTGTAATAAGTTGAATTAATTGTCAATAAATTATCCATCAAACTTGAAGGGACTAATAATCACTGTGAGAATATTAGACTGTAAAAAAAAGATCAAGCCATTATTTAAATGTCTTGATGTTTTTTTTTATAAAGCATTGGCAGCAGCTGTCACTACCCAAACTGTGGATAGTAATCTGACAAGGTTAATTGTACAAAATTTAACTTTTTTGGATTTTATTTTAGTGTAGTTTTTTCATATATCTTATGCAGGCACTGTGCTATATGAATATTTTAAGGATGAGTATTTCGTTTTTCAGTTAATCTTGCATGTGCAATGAAGGTGATTGAACCAGACAAAGAGATTGGTCTATTGGATGCTGATGTTTTTGGCCCATCTGTTCCAATTATGATGAACATAAGTGGTGAACCTATGCTCAATGACAACAATCTAATTGAACCTCTTCTTAACTATGGTGTGAAGTGGTATGTATTTGCAGCTAATTTATATAAAGTTTGTATACTTATTTGCATAGATCTTTAAGACATTGTAAGTATATGTCTTAAAGATCTATATTACATGTTGCACTACTAGGAAATTCTTCATATGGACGGAGTGTATTAAGACAGTGACCCTACTGCAAATTGGCAGATTTTAACGATTAGAGAATTTAGAAATAAAAATGCAACCATATTTTTTTTGTCAAATTTACAACTGTTACTTTGTTTATTTTATTGTGTCCCATTTAAAATTATAATGCAAATTTGGATAATATTTAACTTACTATTATGGTTTTTACTGATTATACCAAAGGTTTATTGATTTCATGCATTTATACCTATATGTGATAGTTTACTGTTCTATTTTAAGCTCTTTGGATTATAACCGAGTTTTCAGACTTTTGCTTTGGAATCACATATAACAAATAAAATAACAACATTATAGATTATTGATGGTTATAATATTAAATAGATATTATAGTACGACACTAAAACTATGGTATATAGCAGTACCTAATTTCTCATCACTTTTACGTCTACTTTCAAGTAGTAACAAATTTTTGATTCCAGTATGTCAATGGGTTTGCTTGTCTCTGGTGAGAATGCAGTAGTGTGGCGTGGATTGATGGTGATGCAGGCTTTGGATAGACTGACTCGTCATGTTGCTTGGGGCCCCTTAGACTGCCTTGTGGTGGATACGCCGCCGGGAACTGGAGACACACATTTGTCACTGGCCCAAAATTTGCCCATAGATGGTAAACTTAGTTCTTTTTATTTCAAATTATAAAATTATTTTAAAATTTATATCCAAAATAAACAAAAAACTTCATATAACTTCAGAATTTAAACATTTTATGATTTCAGGCGCAATTGTTGTCACAACACCGCAGTCAGCAGCTCTTCAGGTCACAAAACGTGGGGTCAACATGTTTGAAAAACTTAAAGTTCCTATTATAGGTCTTGTGGAAAATATGTCCCATGCAATGTGTTCAAAATGTGGCACAAAGAATTTCATATTTGGCAATGAAACAAAGAAGACTGCTGGGGAGATGGGTCTCGAAATTATTGCAAGTTTCGAAGTCGATTCAAATATGTCAGAGTGTATAAATAGCGGTAAACCAGCCATATATGCACTGCCAGATAGCACCCATGCAGAGAAGTATAGGCAGCTAGCAAACAAAGTGTTTAAATATTTAGAGAATAAGGATAATGTACAGGCAAAAGCCAAGGAACAGTAGGTCTCACATAATACAAGTAGATAGTAGATTTTATTTATTTTTAAATATTTTACAAATATATCTGTCATATAAAAGATGTTTGTTTATCTTACAAAATTACATAAGATTATGGCAAACAGCACAGATTTCCCTGTTTTAGTTGTGCAGGTAATAAACATTTACACCAATAAAATATGTCATCCAGGTTCTATTTAAAACAAATTGATTTCTTTAGCAATTCAATTTTAATGAACTGTGAAAATAAACAAAAAAAATTACTATAAAAATATTGTCTTTTTAAAATATAATTTGTCAGAGAAACTAATATTGACATAATAGAGAAAACTTAGCAACAGTGATAATTTCAGCTGCTTATATATGGGAATATATTTATTGTAAATTAATAAAACATGTTCTATTGTGATAAGTTCATAAAAACATTTTTTTTACAAATCCAAATGTTACACTCGGTCAATAAGTACTAAAGACATAATATATTTACAAAGACACAACATTAACAAGATTTGGAATGAAATGTAGGACATCAGAGAATAAGGAAAACAATTTGCTTCAGTCCCAGTAGAGGCTCACTTACACATTAAATTATAACAATCCTGTAAGAAAGATTTTTAATATGTTTAACATAAATCTAATAGGACTTTGTGATCACATTCAAGTAAGAATTGATTGCACAACAGACATTTTTCTTGGGTTGATATTATGCGGCATATAATAATTTGTATATAGTTCAAATGCTCTCTAAAATCTACCACTTAAATAGCAGATCTATTGAAGCATGCATAATACTAACACAATATTTATTTAGTTCGAGTTAACTTGATAGCAAAACATGTTCAGAATGAAAACACCAACTGATAGAAGTTTATTTTAAAATGTCATAGTAAAAGTAAGCTTTTTACTTTGTCAGTTACACTCATGTCATTAAATTTACTGAAGTGCTTCCTACAAATGTCAGAAACACTTAGCTCCGTGAAAACAAAAAATACTTGCTTGTTCACTGCATAAAATCATGTTTTAATTTTTTTTTTAAATTGGTCTTAGTAAAATTAATATAAAAAAATATTTTTGTTGGTATGGGTACAATATTCATTCTAAGCAATAAATCGCAGTATTTATATAATATTGTACTAGCTTTTCAATTTTAATTACCATTTAATTTTATCTCAGAGTCTCTATTTTGTCTAAGTTCAAAATATAACTCAAATTGAGTTCCAAATCTGTTATTTCACAAACACAAAGAGCAAGTCATAAAAGCACCTGTCCAATATGTTAGTTACAAATCTTATGCTGTTATTTATCAATTGACTGTACTTTTCCTAACATTAATGTTGTTGTATACCTTATATAAACTTTATTACCAACTTGATACTGTAAATTGTGCACGTTTGAATTCATCGAGTGTGTAAATGTCAAATTTCAGCAATGTCGCAATATTGATAGTAAAAATGGAATGAATAGAGCACCCATACAATGACTGCACATTTGCACAGTTCCATATCCAATTATTTACACAACACCAGAGAATTATCGTCGCCAGAGCCACTGCACCATGTAACAACCTTACTATAATATCAAGAGTCCTTGCACTACGCGCTGTTTTGGGCGCCATCTTTTACCACTTCTTCTTGTGCTCGTCCATACTAACCCCTCCTGGGCCCAAGTAGACTATCATGAGGAGACCACCAATCACGGACAGGGTCTGAGGAAGAGAACACAAAATCTTTACTTCTATAGCTCCGTCCTAATTTAACTATTTTATCTAACAAGTTTATGTAGTATGCAAAAATATATAAAAATTACTATGCTTTATTTTTGCATTTAATACAAATCTGCCTTTATATAGATTAAATATAATAATATATTTTGAGATAGGAAAGGAAAAAAATGCATAAAATTTAGTGTAACACAAATTAAGAACTTACCTGGAAGAAGTCATATTTAAGGAAATCCCTTAGAGGCTTGTACGAGGGCACTGCCCACCATGCATTGTGATATAGGTTGAGGACTGTTAGGACCAGCACCAGCATCAGTGCAGAGAGTTTGGTCCTATAGCCCACTGTCACCAAAATCATTAGGATGCTTCCCAAAAGGTCCTGGACAATCTGAAATTCAAATTATGATATTAAAACCATTAAATAACTGCAATGGTGCAGGTCAAATCCTAGTGTAAAAAATGTGTAGTCTGCGAGTTGTTTTTTCACTGCACTATATTATTTTTATGCTTAAAGTATTTTTAAAGGGCTTACCATTTAACATATTTTCGGCTAATTACACTAGTATATGTAATTGCCTGTACCTTATATTGTATTAAAACTAAAAGCATTTTTCTTTTTATAATGCCAGTGCTTGACTAGTATAGTAAGTAAAATCAGTAAAAGGCCTCACTTTTGCCTTGGCATCTATCCTTTTTTGTTATTGACAAAATATGAAGCACTTTTATGAGGGTTAACATCACATAAAAAATAACTGCAAGTACATAGTTCCCATTATGTAATCCAATATGTTGGAATAGACTTATTAAAGTAGATTAAACGAGGAGGGGTAATTATGGACTATTAATGTGCATAATTGCATACACTCATATTAATAAGCCAGTGACCAACTAAAATTGTCTTTAAATTCGACATATTGCCTCATCTCATTTGGAATAGCAAAGAATAGACATTTTGACACTATCCATTTATACCCCTTTTTTTGTGAGAAGGTGGCCTGCAATTCACTTGATGTTAAGTGATAACCGCTGCCCATGGACATTTGCAACACCCATGTGGTTGCCAATGCTCTGCCACTGTTTAAAAAAGTGGGCCCCTGTTACCTCGCCCACCAGAAAAACGCAGAAGTATAACACTTCCACTTCACGCCAGTCATTTGTGCTATTGTGGTACTTCCCCATATGGACATGCTCACTCATGCCATAGAGAAGAATTGTGTGAAATTTAAATAAAGTCCCCACTTCATTTATATGGATGCTCATGAGAATTATTTCCAAAAATTAATTATTTAAATGTCAATGGATATCACTCCAGTTCAATGGGATTGATAAATGATAAGTGGAAATGTAACCTGTTTGCTATAAATTCAATTAGCAGTTCAATTTTAATAAAAAATATGTTTGTCATACAAATGAATACAGAACTAATTTTTGGATTTCATTGTGCTTTATAACAATTTATAATTTTTTAAACATAAAACAAAACAGCATGCTGAATTGAAAGAATCAAATGCATAGAGAACATTTCAAATTAAAATATGTAGAAAAAGTGCGAAAAGATTGTCGCCGCTGTGGGAATCGAACCCACGTCTTCGACATTCGCGGCCTGACGCTCTAGCCACTGAGCTAAACGGCTGATGACCACACCGACGAAAATCTTAACGCATTCCTCTACATTGTTTTCTTAGCATTTGAAGCAATGCTTGGCGCCATCTATTGTTATATCCTTTCCAGCATACAAACTATTTCGAATATCGTTTTACAACGATAATTCGAACGAGAGTTGTCGCCATTGCTTTTTTAGAAATTTTTAAATTGTTTATAGTGCTAATCTTTGCACATAAGATTGAACATTAAAATATGTAGAAAAAGTGCGAAAAGATTGTCGCCGCTGTGGGAATCGAACCCACGTCTTCGGCATTCGCGGCATTAAGTGCAAAGATTAGCACTATAAACAATTTAAAAACATTTCAAATGTTGAAACTAAATAACCAATTGCTATAGCTCAGAAAAGAAAATTGGATAAGTCTATAGAGTTCTGAAAAATTTGCAGCTGGTGAGACAGCAGAACGGTTAAGTCAGATTTATAGTAATTACCTGCAAAAAGGACACTTCGAATCTTAGCAGCGTGATGAACATGAACGCTAGTAGGATTCTTCCGGCAAGCTGCAGATAAGTCTTCGGTTTGTTCTCGCCGAGGGAGGGCACACCGGCGAAGAGGCTGCGCCCCTCGGCGCGGGCCTCCGCCAACACCAGCAGGAGAGCCCCTATAAGGGCGAGGTTGCGTAGCAGGAACTGTATGTCCCACAATATGCTGTATGCAAATGTCTGAAATTTAAAAATATTACTGTGGCTTAGTATTTGATTTCTATAAATATTTTTTATTAACAAAAAACAAAACCAATTTCAAATATTTCACTCGGTATACATTTTCTATTTTTATTCATGTATTGATTTGGGAAAGTATATTATACACCACATATAAAGTAATTATTATAAACAACTAGCTGACCCGGCAAACGTTTTTTTGCCATATAAATTATTTCTAGGGAATTTGTGAAAATTATTTCTTGGGAATTTGTCAATTTGAAATTTTTTTTTTTTTAAACATTGCCCTTACTTTTGGATAACATTATCCTGTGTTGTAAGGACGTTTTTACAAACATAAACTTCACGCGGACAAACACCCAGATGCGGAACAACTATCTGTGGGTTGCACAAATAGTTGTCCCGTGTGGGAATCGAACCCACGACCCCCGACGCCGAAGCCGATACCTTGGCCACTGCGCCACGGAGTCATCAAATATAGGAAGAGAATTTTCGGAACGCACGCATAAATTGTTGGACAAGTTACACAGACAGTTGACAGGTACAGTTAATATGGGAAAATAATTTCTCATCGTTTAAAACTGAACCCCCGAACCGCCACAAATATTTTTTAAATTAAAGGTTTTGCAAGATCTTAACAAGACCATTTGTATTTGCATAATTTGTTTTTGTACAAAGAACAAAACAAATGATGTATATGACAAACAAAACAACAAAAGAAAGTCGTTAATTTCGTTATTTGTTACGCAGTAGATACGTTAAAATTTACAGATAATATAGAAAAGTGCGACCATTGAATAAGTAATGAAAATATAGTACGATACTATATATTATAGTACGGGTGGCAACCCTACTTTTATGTGTCCCGAATCGTAAACATTCCTTCTCATCATTGTTCCCAAACCTGCCAAAAGAAGTGTAACTTATTCAACACGAATTATTATTATCTAATATATTCAATAAAAGTATATTTAAACGTGGCAACTGACAAATAATTATAAAAAAAAATAAAGAAAGCTTTTTAAATACGGAACACACTTGGCCTTAATACAGAAATGCGTCACGGGACAGATAGTATTTTTTTTTCGGTTGAACGGCCGAGCCGAAGGGCGTCTGTCTATAGATGTTATTGAAGAAGGTTTATTTGTTTGGTAGCTGAGCTGCGCACTTGGCCCGTGCGACTGCGATATTTGACTCGTTATAGTAAAAGGGCGCCAAGAACGTGCAGCATAAAAATACAGATTGGTACAAATAATTATTATGTCGTATGGTAGTTATATCTTTCGTTCTGTATTTGATAGTTAATATATTATAATTAAATATGTCTGTGAAGACCACCATTATGTCGTGTGCGAAACGCAAGTTTGTTTCCCAATCTAGACGTCTTTTATTTTATATTAATGAATATGTCGCAAATAAATAAATGAGCGGAACTCTTATTCGGCTCATTTCTTGCTGAGGACAGAAATAGGACACCCAGAAGAATACGCTTGCAGAATAGTTAAAGCATCAGTAAAGAAAAAAAGAAGAAATAATGAAAAGACGTAGTTGAATTGAAATAATAATATCTGTGAATAAAGCGAGAGGTGGATATCGGCCAATTTGAAATCGCCATCAATTCAACAGCTGTACTAAAGAAAGTTAGACAAAAACATAAAAACCACGGTCTTACACAATTATGTAAGGCCATGTATGTACCTACTATTAGCAAAATTTTTTACTTGCAATTAAGTTTAATCAGCATAATAATTATTCATTTAATTACATACTTTAAGAATGTGAATTAAGTGACTTTATATCACCGTGATAATGCCCCAAAAATAATTAAGAATTAAAAGCTAAAACAAATGCTTTACGCAGATAATAAAACCTTACGGGCTCTTCTTTCACTTTCACAAATTGAAGTTCGACGTTAATTATCATTTGGCCAACCAATCGCCAGTATAAGCGAAGGGTTGTGGACATTGGGGAAGCTGTGTAAGGAATTACATGTATTTACCTGCAAGACTACGATGAAGAACAGAATCCCACAAGCGATGTCCACCTTCAGCCTGCCAAGCACCATCACGCAACCACCTAGTTGCCCAAATAAGTTTATTATCTGTGAAAAATAACACAATTACATCGTACTTTGCACTGAAAATTCAAAGATTACACACAAGTAGCAATAAAATCAAATAAAGTTATTTACGCAGTCGCACCGACAAATTCATACACGATGTCTTCATATCGTAAGAATTTATGGACTATCGGAATATGTATAATATGGAAGAGATAAAATGTTGCCATATCAATAGAATAAATGTTTATTGTGAATATTATTTATACATTAGTCCGGAAAATTACCACGGCCTCACAGAAGACCGCCGTGAAGTGAAAGTATTATACTTTTGCGTTTCGTCTAGTGATTTTAGTTTACATTTTAGTTTTCTATTATAGTTACTACGAATCAGTTTTTAATAGTTGGCCACGCATCTGCAATCATGGTGTTGAAGATCTCCATGGGCAGCGCTAATCATTTAAAATCAAGTGAACCGCCTTTTAACCCTTTGGATACGGAACCCTAAAAAGACAATAAATAATGTACTAGGATATAACTCTGCAACACTCCAAGCGATGAGTAGTAAATAAGTAATAAAGTATATACAAAACAAGTGACAAAATATTTCTTACCATTAAGCTAGCAATTAAAATTCAATTCAAATAACGTTAAAGCCATGTTATTTATGATATTAAATACACGTTTTCGTTACCTCTAAAACTACAATTATCATAATTACTTATTGATATAGATTTCTATATTGTTATTCTCGGTACTTATTATGAAATTTTTAATTTGTAGGAAAATGGACGAAACTAGAATCCGGAATACGAGTCCGACGCTCTTAGCCACTGTTTCGTTGGTTATCTATACCTAAACGGTATAGATAACGAATATAACGAACGATAGTTAAGATTAACACCAATGAAAATACCAAAGTATTTTATACTGCATATAACAACTATAATGTACCTTTGATACGTCTTGAGAAATTTAATTATAGCAGTCACAATGCCAAAATAAACTAAGAACTGCCCGTTTTCCACAAATAGACAAAAGTCAAATAATCGGATCAACGAGGAAGACTCGTTGCACAATGGAATGTACGAACGCTTTTACTCCGAAATTATCATTGGACCAATTTGTTATCTGAAAGAGGTGCGCATCTTCAATTTGAAAGGATACCAAGATCAAAGCCGCAGACATAACATACGTTTATCGAGCCCATTTAAAATAACTCCCGTTGAAAAATATAGCCCCGTCAATTACATTGAGACTTACGCCCGGTTTTTGAAACACTGATCATCATAGAAGTTAACTAATCAGCTTTCAAATGGCTTGTCAAATGTCATTTCAGTGTCCAAAAGGATGGTTAAACTCTCTGAATTGATCAGAATGATCGGGCGTTAATATTAACTCAATCGAATAATCAGTTATAAATATCGAGAAATACATGTACCTAACGGTTCCCGTTTCAAAACGCATTCGACTCGGAACTCTCGCTCGACTCGCGAGTGAAATTGAAGAACGAACTGCGTTCACTTTCATTGACACAGTGGTCGCCTCGACCCACTTGACGAACCAAAAAAGTGTAATGTACCGACGACATGGACGACTCTTTTCCGGGTATTGCTTTTTATATATTTCCGAACGGTCGTCTATTATTAGCTTTCCGGCCATTTACCCAGCACACCCAAGGCTGCTCGGCGACTTTTAGACATAACTTGGGCAATCTTTTAATCTGAAGCACTTTATGTGATAGTATTAATGGGCGGGCCTTTCCGTCTTGATAAATTATTACTATAAAATAAAACCGTTTTTTGAAACTTAGATTTGGTTTCCAAATTTTCAAATTTAATTAACATAAAGCATTTTCAATGTAGTAGTGCCATTAGTTCTTTAAAAGGCCACAAAATTCGCTATCGCACAGATGTTTCGTAGGGAAGGCTAAATGTTAAATAAGTTGTACAAGTTTCTACCATAGTTAACGCCTTTCGAATACCGAACTCGTTTTGTTCGTGCAACGGGATGAGGAACTTGTCTTGGCGGACGCGGTTCCGTACGAACTTCCATTATTTTCAATTGCTATTATTAATCAAATTATTCGATATAATAATTAATTTATGAACATAACGAGTACGCGTGATTTGCAATCATGATTAGCTAATTAGTAAAAGTATCGCGAGTCGTATTTATATAATTTTAGGTTCTTGAAGTTTCTTAAGAATAACAGAACTTGTAAAGTCACAATGATAACGCAAATGGACTTCTGAAACATTGCAAGATTTTTTTTTATTAATAAAATTAGACAGTCAATGAGCCGTGATAGCTCAGTGTCCAGGCGCTCGCCTTTAATATACTCGAGCAACCTGAGTTCGGTCCCCGGTGCCAGCACCAATGAAATTGTTAATTTTAAGTGCTGATTTTATCACGTGCTTAACGGTGAACGAAAACATCGTGAGGAAACCTGAATATTTTCGAAATAACAAAAAAAACATTACGAAAATATGTGAAGTTCGCCAATCCGCAGTGGGGCCGCTTGGTGGACTTTGCCCTGATATCCTCTTGTCGTTGCTTACGACAACTAATGACGACCGCCCTACATTTTTTATACAAATTTTATGTTTGTTATTTTATACATCCGCTCCTCAAAAATACTTAAATAGTCGTTTTGCGATTTTACCTTCGATAATATTTTATTACAATAACAAGTGACGACATCTGACGACTGGTTTTAGCGTTAATCTGTGCAGCGACATTGTCTTGCCCTCTCGATTAGGTTAAGCACAAAAAGTGGTACACTAAAAACAAATTGACTATGGGCTTGTTTTCCACTTAAGGAAAAAAGGAACTCTAAAAAAATAATCGACTTCTGCTGTTCATTAAGAGATTTTTAAATTCAAATATCGTATCACGTTCGGACTTATCCGAAACTAGGTCCCGGTCAAGGTTAACCGGTTAGAAGAGGTTCTTGTGAGATATATTATGCAAAGTGTATTCGCGAATTGACATATCGATAGATAAGAAAATAGTAGAAGAAAACTATTATTTTATACGAGTTTTCCATAAAACCGGGCCCGCACAACGGATCGCACCTATGAATGAAGTTGTAACAGTGCAAAAGGTATAATAATCGCTAAAGTTAGTGTCAATAAATTATGAGAAGTACTCGGAAGGTGGAATTTAGTTTAGGGGAATACTTAAAACATAAATAAAGCAAAACCCATCAAGGTGTCACTGTTAATTCTTTTGTTTATTGAGTGTAGCAATGTCAATGTCAAATAAGAAGATAATGTTATATGGGGATAAGTTGAAAAATGCCCAGCGATTAGTAGTAAACAACATAAAAAACGTGCAGGCTGGCACTGGCTTAGCAAAGGTGTATGATTAAATTAACCTTGCCGAACCTTGCTTGCTGAATTTTAGTAGCCATTAAGAATAGTAACTATTTTTATTTCATAACTTTAGGCATCGGCGCCGGGGGTCGTGGGTTCGATTCTCACACAAGAACAGTTGTCTTTTGTGGGAATCGATAGTTGATTTGTGTGACACAAATAATTTTAATTACATTTATTTTACTCGGACAAACGTCCGAGTAAAATATTTGTAGCTGAAATGTTCTTTTTTTTTTATGTGAAAAGTTGCCAAACGAGCAGACGGTTCACCTGATGTTAAGTGAATACCGCCGCCCATAGACATCTGCTACACCCGAGGGTATGCAGATACGTTGATAACCTTTTTGGAAATCGGGCTCCGGCTACCTCACTCACCAGACGAAACGCGAAAGTATTTGTCAAACTTCCACTTTACGCCGGTCTTCTGTGAGGTCGTGGTACTTACCCGGAAGAGCCTGCCCATTCGTGCAACAGCCGAGGCTGCTGCGTGGCTCTACCACCGTTAAAGCAGCACAGTTTTCAAAGGGAAAACTGCAATGGACCTTTCTATGTCGCAGTGGTCTTTGGGCGTTACTACCCAAGCCTTACCACATGAAATGCAAAAAAAAAAGTTTTGAGTTACCGCTACTCGTTACGTTTACGTAAGTCGACACGTTATGTACACAGAAATTGTCTCCCTTACTTCTATCCTGCATCTTTTGATAAAAACTATATGAGTATTATTTGGAGTAAATTAAAAGTTGCGACTCCCAGTAGTGTAACATCATTTAGAATGAGTGAAATTAAAGATTAATTGCGTCACAAAGTTTCATTTCAGAGTTATAACACGCGAGGAGTTAAAGGTTTCGTAAGTTTGCTTACTACACATGCAGTAGATATGAAATTTCAACATTGGTACACATTTTACAAATGTCACAAAAGACGATAAATCACGTCATAAGTATACAATTTATATTAGCCTATTAACAAACTAATTAATCTCATTGTAGATTAAAAGCTATAAAAATTTGTATGAATACTTGCAACACAATGTTTATGCAAATTTACACACGGATTTCATTTCTGTCATCGGTTATGAATTTTTATATTTATATATATATATATATATATATATATATATATATATATATATATATGCATTTCCCCATTTTGCAATTACGTTTTCTTACACTCTTACGAATATAATAAAAAAAATTATTAAATAAAACTTTGATAATTTAACATCTAAGAAACATACTAAGTGGAATGCATACCGGTGTAACTAATATAATTGTGTTAAAAAGATGAAAATAAATAGAGTATAATCAAAAAAACTATGTGTGTTGTGCACAAGCAATATGCAGAATACGAAAAAAAATAAAGATTATGTGGAAAAAAATTGAACAAGGACCCATGCAATCAATCAATAGATGAATTGCACTTTCAAAAAGAACAAGCAGGTTTTTTTACCTTTTTTAATCTACTAAAGTTTGTTTTTCTATAACAAACTTTTTTTATTTTATAAGACAGATTCTTAAGGCCTTGTAAGAGTATGACTGGAATATTAATATTGGAATGTATTCCACAAGAAGAATACTAAGAAACACATTATGCCAATTCAAATTACTTATTTACATAAATAATGCCAATAGTTTTTCTAAAATGTGCATATTGGCCTGCTAATTATGTCTTTAGCTAATATGTTGCTTAATAATGAATGCATCTATTTATTTATTTATTTATTAATCATCATTTATTGAAATGACTTTACGTTGAGTAGTAGTAATATTATTGTTATTCAATAAATAGATATATTTTAAAAACATCAACAGTATTTCCTCGATAATTAATACACAGAGGATTGGGAGATAATACTTTCTGGCTGTTGTATGTAATACAAACACAAGACTTTTGAGGCATAAGGAATTAGAAATTTTTTTTGGAATTTAATACATACATCAATGATTTCTTTTCATTATGAACACAACAACATGAGGTCACAAGATTGTGCCTTAATGATATAGTGGTATTAAACAAACTCTTACTGAATTTTTTTAGCAACACATTTTGAATAGAAAAATATTTTGCCCAATACAACAAGTACAATAATAAAACTCACAACAAACATAGTGGCTAGGAATTTGCCACATCCCCATGATATGTCCATATAATCCCGCTGCTCAGACCACTGGAACCACATTCTTAGTCCATCTTCGAGGAATGTGGATATGAGACAGAGGCGAGCCACCGTTGGTAATACATTTTTGCCTTTGCGGATCACCTAAAAAAATAGATATGTATTTAGATTTTGAAATGGGATAAGTGTGGTTGATGCTAACATCAACATCTAATGTTTGGACATCTTTAGGACTAACAAATGAAGGCTATTCTCACGACTTACATTTATTATAACTACTTTTTTAAATCAAAAAGAAGCACATAATACAGAATGAAAAGGATAAAAAGTAGTACTGCACATATGAAGCTAGAGGAAATTTAAAGTATACTTAGGAAAAAGCTATTATAGAATCATACAAAATGAAAACATTTTTTTTTCTATCTCTTGGCTTGCATGGTAAATGAAAAAATATGCTCATAAAGAGATCCATAATTAAAAAGGCATGTGACAGTCACATGAAAATTTATTTCAAATAAAACAGTTTCTAATATCTCTTCCTCAAACTTCCTGACCATAGAACTAAATTCTTTTTAGAAGACTTTAGGTATTAAGTTTCTTATCTAGATGAATTTCAACAATATCAGAAGCAGTATTATTAAGTGATATAATGGTAGCTTACATAAGATATGCGCTTAGATAACAATCCTACTGTATATTCTCAAAACCAAACTAAAAAATCATTGATATTTTTGAGCAAACACCAAAGGAAATAATTTACTAAGAACAGATTTTATCTTATTCTGAATTGTATTGAAGTTCCCAATAATACCAAACAATACAAGAATCAACTTGGCTGTAAAATTTTACATTTGTTAAACTAAATTTTAAGTTGTTTTATAGGTTTTAATAACATTCATGAAGAAGAGATGAAAGTTAATTCCACTTAGGAGCAAAAAAGAATTTATACAATACCATACAATGATTTAATAAAAACCACACCAAACACTCCACTTTTTGTTTAGAGCCAGCACAAAATTTATGATTATATTTTCACATGTAGTTTGATTTTATTTTTTGGTTTGGTTGTTGATCTACAATAGTTTTACCAATTCTTGGAAATTTTGACTACTGTTATTATGGGGATGAACTTGAAAATTAGTACACTAAAATTTTACTATTAGTACTTAAGAATTATCCCATCTACCATTTTCAACAAAAAACAAACTATATTTATGTATTAATATTAAGACAAATAAGGTACAATATATGTTTATTTCAAAAGAACCACACAAAACAGGGTGACATCAAAGTGATAAAGTCCCTAAAAATCTTATTCTAATACTTTTCAACATTCATTCTTAACAAAATATAGTATTTTGTATTTCGATAGAATATCATTTGAAATCCAGAGTGAAAAAATGTTATGTTAACCATATGTTATGAAAATTCATGGTTCTAGTTAATATATCTTGATATTTTATAAATGCTTAACCTAAACATATTTATATAACGCGAAAAATAATTCCATTACTTCGACGCTGATATAGTCGAAGTAACATTAAAAGCGTAAAAATTTACACGATTGGCTTCTTACAAAACATAAAATTTAATTTGAACTGTTGCCGTAAAGTGCATCACGTAGTAGTAACAAATATTAGACGAAAAAAAAATAGTAAAAATAAATAAATTTCACACTAAAATTCGGTGTAGAATAATAATCTTTAAACTTCAGGCGTAAGTAATAGGTTGTAAAAAAAAACTTATTAATATAGTAACTTATAGTGGAAGTGGTTTTCATCAATAATTATCGGATAATTTAAAATTCTTAAACAATGCTTCATAGAAAATAAGTTCGGTGACGTGACATACCTATTTCGAAGTAGAAGTTAAAATTTTAATGTAAATAATTATCCACTTAGAATGTAAAAGTATACCTGGTCAGCAACATCTTCAGCAGTAGAAACATATTCATTTGGAATTTGCATTTTCACCGCAAAGGCACAAGCACTTACACGAAAACTAAATTTCACTGTCGTTAAACTCGTAGTCACTCAGAAGTCAGAACTCGAATGACGTGTGGATAGTTGGATATACTTCCTGTTCAAAACTCGGCCTACAGAAAGGAACGTTGTCTTTTATTTAACGTGAACGTAAGAAAATGGTCATTAAATATGAAAAAAATTTTTAATCAGTACTTATTCATTTTTTATACAAAAACTTATACATTATTTTAGTTTCTTTAATACAAGAACCGGATGTTTTGGTAATAAGTGATTAGGTATGTACTGTCAAATTCAATTTTCGTTTATTAATTAATAAAGATTAAATGTTTTTGTTGAGTTAGTTGACTTAACAAGTTAACATAACATTTTGGATAAAATAACTTTTTTCTCATTCCATTATTTTACAAAAATTGTAAATTAATGAAAATAAACAATAAATGTTTTTATCCTTAATTTAACATTAAAAATCTACCAGCCTTCAAAAGATGCAAAAAGGTTTCAAAAAAAGCCTAAATAAAAAACAAAAAAGCAAATTTTTATTGGAAAAACAGGGTTCCAATAAAAATAAAGCAAACGAGAGACAGCATTATTTTATCTATTATCAATATCAACCAATCAATTGACAATCTAACTAACCTCAACATCTGTTTTATGTTTTATCTATTTACATTTATGTTTCGTTTTCGTCTAAGTACAGAATAGTTTTAAATTACAAAAGAAATTCATATTTTCATTTGCAAAATAACGTAACATAATCACCGAAAATGCTAGAAGTCACGTGTAATGATCGTTTGGGTAAAAAAGTCAGGGTAAAGTGTAACCCAGATGATACGGTTGGTGATTTAAAGAAGTTGATAGCAGCTCAAACTGGAACAAGATACGACAAAATAGTTTTGAAGAAATGGTACACCGTATTCAAGGACCACATAAAGCTATCTGATTGTATCCTTTTTATTATTTCAACACTGCAGAAATAAGTCTCACCACTGTTTACAACTTCATTTTTTTTCGTTCTTCTCTACCTTGTGAAACGTTTTTTAAAGCAACACAAACTTTATAATAAGTATGTCATGCTTAATTTGTTTTCAAATCGTAGCTGGTACGATTAACTTTTTATACATGTCTGATGTATGTGCACATGAATATGTCATAATAATTATGCCAAATGTTGAAGAGGAGAAAGTAGTATAATTAATATAAGTAATATTCATAATCTGAGTTTCTTGAACCAAAGTGCACAAGTGTATTTATTACTATAAATGTGTTCTGTGGTAGAGCAACAGCTCCTGCTGCGCAAGTAGACATGCTTATGCAGGTATAGCAAAATTTTATTAAAACTTTCTATAAATAATTTCCTAAGAACTAGTTCAGATGAAATTCATGATGGGATGAACTTGGAGTTATATTATCAATAAGGACAAGAAATTGTGCAGTAGGTAATAATTTATATATACTTCAAATATAAAATAAATTTTAAGAAACAGAAATTGTATTTTGTTTTAATATACTATCTTGTGCAATTATTATTTAATGGTTTGTTGCAGTGCAGCTAATGGACAATTGCTTTCTTTGCGATATGCCTTAATATTGAAAAAGCAAATTCCTTTGTTGAAAATTGTGAGAAGGTACCAAATATAAAATGACTGAAGCTGTATGAACCATAGTTTAATAAGAAGATATGGAGTGGTAAACAGGGTATTATGAATAGGCAACATGGACATTTTGTCAAGACAAGTGAACAATCCAAATATGGGTTTTCAACCTAACCTGGCAAAAGTTTAGTTATATAAATTGACATTAAGAACATTATTAAAGAACATTCTTAAGCAATTAAAACATATAATCTACAAAAGTAAATATCATATTACAAATAAAATTATTAAGTACCAAACACATTTGTGAAACAAAATACTCATATTGGGGAGGAAGGTTCTTGGCGATGTCCGTTGATGGAAAATAATGAGCTTCAACTTTAAAATGTATAAAATTTAATGCAAGATAATTTTACACGGTGAGGCTCGACCCGAAGTTAGATTCGCCCGAAAGCGGCGCCGATGTGTGTGCGTGCGTTAGTGTGTAGTATGCGCGCTTACACATATCATCCATTATTTGTTAAATTCCCATCAACATCAAATGGGAGACAAGGAACAACTTATCGGTTCCAAAGTAATTGAATGGTTTGTGGAGTGTTCAAAAATGCAGGGATAGTTAACCAGAGTTTATATTATAAATAACTTTATTGAGCTTCAGGAACCAGGCATTAACCATCCATTCAACTTATTATACTCGTTAAGTTCTTTGGAGAAAATTTGGAGTTTTTTAAGAAAATTTGGTATAAAGAACTATGTATACAGTCTTGTCCTCTATAATACCGCGATTGCCACCGCTAGCGGTTTAAGATTTGATGACGCCGTAGGCCCAAGACGATATGCCGCCCTTTTATGTATATAAAAAAAAAATTCTTATATGTTTCCGGTTTTTGTACAGACCTGATTTTTATTAATTATTTTAACAATGAAATTGTACTCTTGAAATGTTATTTTTTTTAGATTGTTATTTTAGGCGTCTTAAAAATTTCGGCGCCCCTCAAAATTTTCTGCCCTATGCCCAGGCCTCACGTGCCTAAATGCGCTACTGAACGCAACCGTCGCCGCTACTTATTTTCTAATATCTAATATATGAAATTCTCTTGTCACTGTGTTTGTAATTGAACTCCTCCGAAACGGCTCGACCGATTTTCGTGAAATTTTATTTGCATATCGGCCAGGGTGGAGAATCGGACAACATCTATTTTTCATCCCCCTAAATGTTAAGGATGGTCCACCCCAAATATTTACATATATTTAATACAGCAAGACAACGTTTGCCGGGTCAGCTAGTAACTTATATAGTTACTGTTCAAGTAAGAAGTCATTAGATAACGCCTAGCATTACTAAAACAATGCTAAAAAATAGGACATCTAGATTCGTTTTCACGCGGTGAGGATGACGGCCGCTTAGTTTAGTGGCTAGTGCGTCAGGAAGCGTAATCCAAAACGCGCCGTTCGATTCCTTGCAGTGGCGTAAGGTTTGCGACAGTTTGATCTACACATTTAAATAAAGGCATTTTCAAAATAAAAAGTTTCGCATTTAATTACGCGACGTAAGCGATTCAAAAGTGGTGTAGTAAAATAGAGTATTATGTATTTTTCGACTGATATCGGACTGACTCTATGCCTGGACGCACTGTCGTTACCATCGCGACAATAAATGAACACACGTCTAACGCTACTTGCCAATAATCATAAAAAAATATTAACGTTATAAAAATCTTTGACAGCTGACAAGAAATTTTAAAGTAGAGAACGAGTCCTCTTTGCGTCCTTTGGCGCTGCACGATGGTAGCCAAGCGTTCCAAGGCGACGAGAAGGCCGAATGCCTTGCCGACAGCTTTGAGCTACTATGCTCACTTAGCTGGCATTCCACCTGTCCATCTGCGCAAATTGAGTTGAAATTTTACGCCGACGACACGGCGCGGCAATAAAACAATCCAGGTTTTATTGCTGGGCTATTTTGACAATTTTGACTAAGCACCCGAGGCGAATGGTTCAAAAGTAGAGATCAACCCGCAGAAGAGTTAGACGACTGACGATAATGTTTAATTGACATTCGAACATTTACTACTGTAAGTAAAAGTCCCTTCCGATAAATTATCCGGCTAATCCATTTAATGGGAAAGCAAGGCGTTACGCTTGACACAAAAAACTGCATAAATCAGGCGTTGTCCTTTAGAGTGTCCATGGACGGCGGTTAACATTTTCCTAAATACCTTAATGTACTTAGCGGCCCATGAACGATGCCTACGTTGTTCTTTTGAGTCCGCGGCTCGTTTATCTGCGACACTGCGCAGCAAATTGTATGATAAAAACGTCAATCATCTAAGGAGTACTTCGGCCTGGGTGAGGATGGCAACAAAGGCGGCTGAAGTAAATAAATGATGCAAATAGGACTTTTTATTTTTAGACTAGGTTTTAGCCTGCGGACCTTTTTTTTTTTTACATGGAGAAATCCATTATGGATACCTGGCTCTCCGGTAAGAACCAAGTTATGTCGGACTCACACCGACTAAAACCCCATGGTGGTCGCCATCTGCTGATGAGGGGTCACGGGATCTCCATTTGGAACACTACCGCAGCCCCTCCTTAGCTAGCCTATGAAAGCCCTTTCGGGGACGGTATTACGTCAGCCCTAGCATCGCGGTCAGCCCTAGCAACCCCAATCGTGACACCCCATTTCTGGCAAGCACCATTTACGTTTGGGGCGCCGTGACGAGGCGCATAGACGCGTCGGTGGCCCCGTCTCCGATGGGATCGCCCCGCTCAGCGTTAATACGCCACGCCAAGCACAGACCCCTGTGGAACGCCGCAATGGATTTCCCTCCGGATCTTTCTACCGTCTTTGTCCGTGTATAGAATATACCTGTCCCGCATGCACGATATAGTCTGTGTGGTATAACGCCTTGCAGATAGGGAGCAATCATTATGGTATGCAAGTCCTTCCCTAATGGCGACCCAGGGTAGGGAATTAAAGGCATTGACTATATCCAAACTTATACAGTAACGCCAACAGACCCCTGCCAACGCCACCTGGATTTCCCTCCGCTCCGACAAGGAACGGGCCTGCCCGCAGCATGACTGCATCTCTTGTCGAACGCCCCCGCCGAAAGCCAAAAGGCATTGGCTTTCGGTGAGATCAGGACCAACGCATGACAAATGCTCCTTGAGACGAGTGGCAAGAATCCTCTCGAATATCTTACCTATCTCGTCCAATAGGCATATGGGACGGTATGCAGAAGGAGAATCTGCAGCCTTGCCTTCTTTCTTCAAGAGGACTAATCTTGCAATTTTCCAGGCCGGTAGTAAATAACTGCCTCAACCTTTCTCCCAGTATTGTTACACTCAACACCCAGACTCGGCCCGGTATTCCGTCGGGTCCTGGCGCCGTGTTTCGAGCTCTCAAGCGACTTACAGCTCGGTTCAATTCCTGAGCCGTCACAGTCATCTGGTCTTGCCACTGCCACGGAACTAGGTTGCGGCCTGAGGGACTTGACCGGCCTACCGGGAATAGTGAGCTGATAACTCGTTCCAGCAGGTCCGGATCAAGCATTTCCGTCAATGGAGGCGTCCAGGGCCGGAGCTTACCTAGCACCATTATATATGGACGCCCCCATGGATTGCGATTGAGTTTCTCCAGGAGTTCATTCCAGGACCAAGTTTTAGCATGACTGATTGCCGCCTGCAATGCCTTAGTAGCCTCTCGGTAGGTCTTGTAGAGTCCAGCTGTATCGTCGGTTGGAGATCGCCTTCTTCTCCGGGCTCTAGTGTATTGGCGTCTGCTTCGCAAACACACTGCTCGCAGTCGAGATATTTCTGCTGACCACCAGTACACCGCTCTCTGTTTGAGGCTACCGATGCGGGGCATCGACATATCGCAGATTTTCGTCATAGTATCCTGAAACCAGTTTACTTCTCTCTCTCTCTGGGTTGGATAAAACCTCTTTAGTGTTTTTTGGCCATGTCGCAACAATGGCGGCGGTTTCGAGCCTGTCCCGATCTAGCTGCTAAAGGCACCAACGTCGCGGAGGGATGTTGTTACCGTGACTGCAGTCGAAACGGCACTGGCGGGGTGCAATATTGAAGATAATGTGGCGATGGTCGGATAGTGTGACTATCTCTTCAGCAACCCGCCAACCTGAAACCAAATGTGTTCCGGAGGGGGTCGCCCATGTTAAGTCTATAATCAACTCCCCCTGCCATCGTACGCAAGTACTTATAGACCCCCGATTCAGTAGCCGGAGGTCCAGTCCAGCCGCCCATTCCTTTATGGTCTCTCCCCTCGGGCTGTTTCTAGGGTTCCCCCACTCCCTAGCGTGGGCGTTAAAGTCCCCCAGGACAATAATTGGACGTGGTAACAACCTGCGAATGTTGTCAGCCACCTCGTCTTTAGCCTGCGGACCTACCCAACAATAATATACATTTTATATCGTGACTCGATTTTTTTTTAATTTTATATAAAGTTATCATCATTTTACAGACTATAATATAAAGGGAGTCTTTTTTAAAGGTGCCCAAATTTACACAGGCGGTTCAGACTGTAATATAATCGTTTATTGAAATAAAAACAAACTTTTTTTTTTTTCAAAAATAATTCCATTCTATTCACTAAAAAACAGCTTGTTGACGCGGTAGTCAAAAAAATACCTAATTTTACTATTCATGCACACAAACGAACTTGTGTGCGTGTTAGTTATGAACTCTGAGTAAAAGTGTTCTGTGGTTATGAATGTATAGTTGCCTCACTGAATAGTTAACTTTAGTTGGGTAAAGTCTAGGGGCCTTTATGTAATAGTTTTTGTGAAATATCTTCCATGAATAGACAACGATCTCTTACACATTGTTATTAAATGTATAGATTATGTATTTGTACCATTGGATGTTATAACCTTGGGTCCGTGGGGCACCCGCATATCAAATGATTGAATATAATTATTTTGTAGAGATGGTTTTCTCGCCCAAAAATTAAACTATTCAGCGAAGAAACGCAGCTAGCGTTCTTGGCAACATGCTACGAAGATCAGGCTGGTTAGATAACTGAACTAAATATTTTTTTGTAATAAGTTGTATCTACTTAACATTATTTTTTTATCACTTTTGATTTAAAATCATATAGTTTATTGATCTTATATTTACAAGATTAAATCTATCTAAAATTACAATCGTCTAATAAATAATAAGTGATAAAATGTACTTTAACATTGAATACATTTTTTATGTAAAAAGTTAGCAAGCTAGCCGTCAAGTAAAGTGAACAAAAAATAAACACTAGAAATATGGATAAACTTACTACGCCATTGTTTCGTCTACAAAAAGTAAATAAGTCTTTCATGGGGCAGGGTGTGCGCATGTATAATAAAATCCCACTGTCGATATTAAGTCTGCCGCTTGACCAATTTAAATGTAAAATTAAAAATCAACTAATAATTAAAGCATATTAAAACATTTCGGAATATCTCGACGACGCCAATGTGTGGAGTTGATACTGTTGATACTCACGTAGGCTATATTAAGACTATTGTACCTGTTTATTATATTGTAAATTGATACTTTTGAAAAAGAGCAACTGTTGAGTTTCTTGCCGGTCTCTTCTCAACAGAAACTGCTTTCCGAACCGGTGGTACCTTACGAACCTGTACACATAATCTTTGATGTAAAATTTGACGATTCATAAGAGGGCGCAAGCGTCTATTTGAATAAATATATTTTTGATTTGATTTGATTTGAGTGACTGCTGCCGCCCATGAACATTTGGGAGCCGGCAGGAGGGAATAATTAAGATGCAGTACAAAGAACAAGCCGTGTTGAGAAAAACATAATCTTTTATTGTCACACGTTGCTATAGAATTTTGTCAATAATAGGGTAATGCTAGACCGATGAGAGTAAGGGTGTAAAAGATAAGAGCGGTGCTACACAGTAGCAAATGAGTCGCCACAAACATCTTACATCTACAACACCTGGTAGATTACAGACCCGTTGCTAACTTATTTTAAAAATGGATCCGAAAATTATAAAAATTAAACGTTACTGAAAGAAAAGAAGATGTTTTTTGACATTTACAAATTACACGCATAGATTAATAAGTATCAGTTACCAGCAAGCTTTATTATAAAATTATAATAATTTTTATCTGTAAACAAGCTTCATTTGTCATCGTCACGTCAAGTTGATTTTGGTGGATTTTTTTATGCGAAACGAAGTATTACAATTACATCCTCTTTTGGAGGTAATATATCCTAACGGTGCTATTTGCATCGTGTTCCTCTATTTTTTGTTAAGTATTACTAATAGATTTTGTAATGGCTGAAACAGAAGGTTAGTTTTGTGTCAACTTATCCTTTCTGGCTTGCGTTTCATTTGTATTAATACTTGGTATTTTACAGAATACAACCCACAAAAACCTATGAAAACAAGCAAACAGCATAACATATTACCAATATGGGGTAATGAGCAAACTATGAATCTGAATCCTTTAATATTAGCAAACATCCAAGGTTCTAGCTACTTCAAAGGTAGGTAAGCAAACATACCAACGCTCAGGAGTTTGGATTCACATTCTGTGATAAACTATTTTATTTTCAGTTTAATTTCGAAAAATGTTGAACTTGCCATGCCAACTTTCGTGTACTCATATTTTGTATTATCCCCAGTGCATCTGTTCAAACTGAAGACATATCATGAAGTGGTAGACGAGATCTACTACCAGGTGAAGCATTTAGAGCCATGGGAGCGGGGCAGCCGCAAAACTGCGGGACAGACGGGCATGTGTGGCGGCGTGAGTATGTTACTAGCCTTACTCTGTTTGATCATGTATTTACTTTTTCTGTTTCATATTAAATTTTTATTAAGTGGAGATCACCAACTTTTACATTTATTTCAACTCTATCAAATTATAGGAACTTGTAAAATATGAAATAGACGAATTATTTACAGGTGAGGGGTGTTGGTGCTGGCGGCATTGTGTCTACAGCCTTCTGTTTGCTGTACAAGTTGTACACACTTCGTCTAACACGTAAGCAAGTCAACGGCCTGCTGCAGCACACTGACTCTCCATACATTCGGGCTCTTGGTAGGTTTGCCTTTTTCTAGTAATATACAAATGTTTTAACGCTTTTGGATGGAGACATATTAAAGAATATCATGCACTTACTCATATCATGTAATAATCATATAACTCAACATAAAAGAAATTGCTTTATAATTATATCAGGTGCACATATGCAGTTAGAATAACTACTAATCATTTGTTTTAATTTAAACATAAGGTGCTACAAAATTTTATGGGCATTCTTACGGTAGAAATGGCCTCTTTAATTTTGAATAATGATTATGGTCTAATTTTGAATATTTAGCAAATATTAGTTTTGATGAATGTTTTTGCATTAAGTAAAAAATTTACATGTCTCATTTGCATTCAAAGTTTTATTCAATGAAACTTTTGGTATAAACAGTGTTATTATTATTTTATAAATAAAACTTTACCTAGTATAGTATTATTTGTGTAAAATATGTGTTATCTACTTTAGTGTGCTTTATTTTCATGGGACATCAAGGATTCTAATAATGAGGCAAGTTTAATTTTTAATTCTTCCCAGAAAACATTTGGGACCAAAAATTTTGAATGTCACCTTTTTTAAAATGCTAAATGATAAATTTACATACATATTTTATATAAAAAATTTAAATATTTCATAAATTTTTCAAGTTTTAATCTGCCATTTGCCAATTTGATAGGGATCATAGAGATATCAAATGCCAGATGGGGCCACCATTAAACTTTCAAAATCTTACTACTTTTTAATGGAAAATGGTTGCATATATCAACGACATAGTGACATGAAATCTCAACTACCAAATGTTGTTTTACAAGAAGCTAAAAAAACGTTTCATAAATCATGTTATGATTTGTTTTATTTTTGCAGTAAATTTTTGATTAAAAGATGGTGAATTTAATGTCATTAGAGCACTTTCAGTGTAATGTCAAATTACCAAATGTTGAAATATGTTAAATCGGCTGAATACTTTATAGGCAAAGTTAACAAGGTTTAAATAATCCTTTATGGAGGAAGGGTTAACCTCTCTTAGCGGGGCGCACCGCGCGAGTTTCGTCGACGCGCCGTGTGACCTTTATTCATTACCTATTAGTGGTGGGCGGTAGGATATACATATAGGTATAATGGAAGGCTTTCGAAAAGGTACATAGATGATCCCTATATCTTTAATAGACCATGATTGTATTTTACTTTTATATTATTATAGGAATAATAATACACAAATAAATATAAAGTATGAGAAAGCAATCAATCTTCCCATTAATTATTTTAAATTAGAAGGTCAAATAAATTAATAAAGGCAAATGACATTTCTTACAACAAAACAATGAATAAACAAATAATTATTTATTTTGATTTAAAGTAATGGCTCATAAAAATTTTAAGCAATTTCATAGTCTCCACGGCACAATTTACAAATACGACTTTTCTATTACATATTCTCTTTATACAGCGTGTCTTTACAATCGTGACAATAAATGAACACACATAGAGGGGATAACTTTTTAAAATTGTATTAAACATTTACATTCTTTAAACATCAATATTTACAGAGTTATTAAATTTTCCAAAACAAAGAATTTTAGATCACCCTTACGTATAAAACTGTAACGTAAAGTTCATTTGTAAAGGTCACATAGCATATGAATGGGTTGAATGAATTTAAAAGAGACAAAACATACTGTTAGAAGGAGAGGCTTGTAATACGATGCTGTGGCGCGACTTATATAGGTGTTACAAATTTTATTTCTTTTTTCTTAATTAGTTTGTTTGAAAAATATTTTTTTTAATTATTGATTTTGTTTAACGTTAATATTTTTTATGATTATTGGCAAGTAGCGTTAGACGTGTGTTCATTTATTGTCGCGATGGTAACGACACCCTGTATATTTTTAATTTATCCTTTTAATGTTCAAGACTTACTACGTTATACTAATTCCTCAATGTAATTATTTCCAAAATTATCGATAAAATTCCTTATATCGATAAAAGAGAACAATTATAACTAGAATCGAAATTTTGTCACCTTCCACAGACATCGTGTAGCTTATTGATCCGAGTGTCATTGTAGATGAGTAATTACTTGGTCCCAAGTTCAAACCTTATTTTTTAAAACAATTTTTTTTCGCGTTCGTAAAAGATCAATATTCGTCTTAGGGTGAAAAATTAAATAATTTAATAAAAAAAAATTAAAAACAATATGCAATATAAGACTTGTTAAAAATTTAAAATAATGAAAAGTTGGTTTATTAGCCGCTGCCATGTAACCCTTATTGACAGCTGAATAGACGTCCACCGATCGGTGATTAATTGCGTCAAGCGCCTACGTCATGGCTGATTAAAAGTATATTTTCTAGCAAATAACGGCAGCTTAAGCGAAATAAAAAATACGTATATAAAGCTGAAACTATAAGGAATCAAAATATGTGTAAATTAAAGTACAACTATTAATCCAAAACAAAGAATTAAATATGAAAGTTGAGAATATTGGTTAAATTTCTGATAGATTGTCACCAACTGTTGCGTTCAACGTTCAACAAATACAATAATGTTTCGTTATAATTATTTATAAAAATAGAAAAATCAACAAAAATTAAATGGTAATTAAAAAAATACTTACAAAAAAGAAAATCACCAAAAAATATAACAAACGAATGTAGCGATTTGAAACCAATCCATAATTTATTATAGAATTATATTTTATACAGTGTATAGGACCGATAGACCAATTAATCATAAGTCAAAACGTTAAATTACGCTTTAGTTAATATGTCTTAAATATAAACAATTTATAAATACGAAATATGTGAGTATAATTTTCAGTTTCGTGTTTTCGAAAGCTCTAATTAAATTATACCTCTCAGTAATAAATAAATACGGAACATATTTCGTAACGGTGAGCGGAAAATGAGTGGCTCAGATCCATTTAGCAACGCGCCTCAGGGCTCTCTGTTCAACGTGTGGAAATGAAAGAGAACCAAAACAAAGCCGCGATGGCGCTGTGTTTTGGTCGTCGCGTTCGCGTTAATTTTATGAGTTAATAAATTATATTGATACTTACTAATATCTTACTTCAATCAACAAATTAAGACAACAGTCCTGCTTATTAGAATATTCTACACCACTGATATTAATTTCATTAAGATTTTTTGATTTATTATGCATATTTTTGGATTTGGTTTGGTTTGGTTTGGTAAGGTGATTTTATGATTTTTTTCTATCGAGAAAATTTATTGACAATATGTTTTGAAAACAATGGTCCATTAGAATGTAAGATCAAGATAAACATTTTTTTTGCTGCTATTAAATTTATAGATTTAGTTAAAAATCCTTTGGAAAACCTATTTTTACTGCATACAGCGCATTAATATTGTCAATAAGGATTACGATAAAACTACTTAGGAGCTAATCCTTTTTCTATGTAGTAGATGTTGACGGCAAGATTTACGCTGAATTACTTAGTATTTAATGTTACTTTTTAATATCGCACTAAATATACGACAGTCAAGTTCGATGTCTTTGCAAGTGCATATTATTTTACACCCAATTACGCAAAAAATCTCAATTTGGTCAAATTGTTATATAGAAGTTCCGATCACTACGTCGTCGATATGCTGAATGAAAGCATTAAAAAAATATTTGAAAATATCTTTTTCTTACAGTATCAAATAAATGTCTTTTATTCGAGTCACAGTAAATGTTTAGGAGAACCTAGTATGCAGTCAGGTTTAATTTATAAACTGCAATGTGTTGTAATAACTATGTGCCCTAGTAAAGCACACGAATTTTTTTACATAGGCTAAGATTAAACATGTGTAAAAAAATAGCTTAGCTGTTGTTGTTGTTTTGCAATGTCTCCATAAAAACACAACATCTTGTTTCTCATTGTTTTTTTTATGTGAAAAGTTGCCAAGAGAACAGACGGTTCACTGATGTTAAGTGATTACCGCCGCCCATGGACATTTGCTACACCCGAGGGTAACAGATGCGTTGACAACGTATTGAAAATTGCTCCGGCTACCTCACTCACCAGACGAAAGGCGAAAGTATTATACTTCCACTTTACGCCGGTCTCCTGTGAGGTCGTGGTACTTACCCAGACGAGCCTGCCCATTCGTACAACAGCCGAGGCCGATGAGTAGCCCTACCGCTGTGTTGTTGGAGACTCTTTATTGAGATAACATCTATATTTAGTTGATGTTTCAATATTAACACAGGCTTTATGTACATCCGCTACACGCAACCACCTGCAGACCTGTTCGACTGGTATGTGGACTACTTGGACGATGAGGAAGAAATAGACCCGCGGGCAGGAGGAGGTGGTCCCACCACCATCGGGGCGCTGGTTCGGCAGATGCTTATAAAACTCGATTGGTTCAGCACACTGTTCCCAAGAATTCCCGTCCCAATTCAGAAACAAATTGAACAGAAGTAGGTATAGTTTTACATTCCGCTACTTCTATCTGAAATATTGTTGGCTGTGTTAGAGATGGAAAATGATGCCACATTTTTGGTGAACAGTAAAATAATGAACAATCTCTAATGAAACAAAATATCTTAGACACTGATAACTGAATGTGACACCCAGATTGGCGGAACACAACAGAACTGTGTCGGCGGCCTCAAAACCAGCTGCGAACTTCAGAGGCGGTAGCAGTGCTGGTGCGGCAAGCTATAGCTCGGGTCGGATGGAGTCAGATCGGCGTGAGCACGACGACAGGGACAGACGCGATTACGGTGACATGGATAGGTTTGTTTTTTTCATAAATTAACTTGTACTTTTAACTCTGCAGTAATCATATTGAAAGTTATTTAAGTTCTTTGTTTACGGAACCCTAGAAACTACCCAGTTTCAGAGGGGTAATGATATTTCATAAAGAAAGGTAACCAACCGTATTGGTACCATAAATACTGTGTACATAATGTGAATACCATTTTGGCATTGTACAGATATGCGAAAGACAGACCCGCGAAGAGGGATGATAAGGAGCGTGAACGCAACAGGGACAGAGATAGAGACCGACAGAGGGAGAAAGACCGGAGGGAGAGAGACAGAGATCGCGACCGAGACCGAGACCGAGACCGACGCGATCGGTATAGAGACCGCTCTCGAGACCGTCACAGCCAACGGTCACGCTCCAGAGACCGACGCCACAGATAATGCCACACCACCATTAAAAACTTATTTTTAAATCGTTTAACATAATGTAATTGACTAATAAATTTAGTAATAATGTTTTGCATATATTATTTCTCACTTTATCTAACTTTCATGTTGCGCTTATTATCGAGCGTCTGTCAGAAATAAGAACACGGTGACTACGCAAGCGGTCTTTAATTGAAAAATGTTTTTTTTACACTAACTATATTGTATCAAAAAACACTTTATTTTGCTGTAACTTTCGTTGTGATTTAAACGAGGTGAAAACGTGAGAAGGGAATTAATCTGTGAATGCTTTTAATGCGTGAGCAACTACGCCATTTGGCCGGGTTTGTTAAATAACATAAAATTTAGTTTGTTTTTAATAGAATTTTTAGTTAGTATATTGTATAAGAAATTATTTCTTTTCCTAATTAGTTTCAAATAAAGAAGTCATTTATATTGGAAATATTATTCAATATTGGAATTTAAATATAGCGGGCAGCTATTTATATAAATCGCAATTGTAGGAGTTTAATTAATTTTATTATTTTCTTTCACTTGTATTTTTTTTTATTTGAAAAGTTGCCTAGCGAGCAGGCGGTTCACCTGATGGTAAGTGAATTTTGAAGATTGGGCTCCGGCCACCTTACTCACCATATGAAACGCGAAAGTATTTGTTATACTTCCACTTTACGCCGGTCTTTTATGAGGTCGTGGTACTTACCCGGACGAGCATGCCCATTCGTGCAACAGCCGAGGCTGCTGCATGGCTCTACCACACTTGTATGAGGAGTTTCTTTTTTTCAACTGACATTAAAAAACGTATTTTATGTTTAGTACCTCAGAACCACAGATTGTTAAAACTGAAAACTCGGTCATTTATGAACTAATTTTAAAAATTATTTTTGCATCGAGTTCTGTGTGAGTAGCTCCTATGTCGTAATTATACAAAATAAATGACCTATAAAAATTTACTGATACAATTATCACAATGTTTTTAGAAAATCTTGTCTTAAATAGTAGAAAATATAAATTAAAGATGTATTACAACATTCAACTGAAAACAAAAGGGATCAATGTATACAAAAGTTGCCCATTTTAATAGGTACCGAAGTGTCGGCTTAAAATGACACATGTTATGAGGGGACTTAGTGCCATTTTTAAATTATTAATAAGGTTTAATTTGGTTTTACAAGGGGTCGTTCTACAACCGATGCTGGTGTAGAGCTGATCAAATATATATTTGAGGCTTGGGAGAATTCACAGGATGCTCTGGGTGTCTTTTGTGATCTTTCCAAGGCTTTCGATTGCGTGAATCATGAAACACTGATCAAGAAATTGCCATTATGGCATTAGAAGTACCGCGCTTGACCTCATTAAGTCATATTTATCTAATAGAATTCAAAAAGTTGTAATTAATGGTGCTAGTTCTTCTGGTTCGACGGTATCTATGGGCGTTCCGCAGGGCTCGATTCTCGACCCATTTCTCTTTCTCATTTACATTAATGATCTTCCTTACTTTGTAGGGAATAAACACAATATAGTGTTATTTGCCGATGATACTTCATTAATTTAAAATCGATCGACAGCTTGTTACACTTGACGAGGTAAATAATGCTATGTCAGAAATAGTCTATTGGTTTAATACTAACATTATACTATTAAATGGTAATAAAACTAAATGTATGAAATTTTCAACACCTAATGTTAAACATTTGGGTGCTACCAATGTACTTATAAATGGAGGGAGTTAGGCCTTGTGGATACGACTGTCTTTCTTGGAATAACTCTCGATGCAAAGTTTCAACGGTCCCCACATATCCAAACTTGTGAATAGACTAAGTGTCTTGTATCTTGTATTAACTGATGTTTTTGCTTTCAGTCCCGAGACTATTAAAGCTTCATCTGACGGCTTCAGAACCGGTGGGCTAGCCAGAACCCACGGGTTTGAGCCCTCCGCTCTGGGTAGCGGATTCATATATCGATACTTGCGAATAGACTAAGTTCTGCAGCGTATGCTGTAAGAAAAATAAGATGTCTAACTGATGTAAAAACAACTAGAATTGTGTATTTTAGTTCTTCCATAACATAATGTCATATGGTATTTTGCTATGGCACGCGGCCGATATAGAAACAATTTTTATATTGCAAAAAAGGGCTATAAGAGCTATTTATAATCTAGATTTGAATGAATCTTTGAAAGAGAAGTTTAAAGAAATAAATATATTAACCTTAGCCTCTCAATATATATGAATGAAACGCTGTGAACGCCGTAAAGGGTTCGAAACGTCGGGAATTAAAATTAAAAATAAACGCGATAAATCCGTAAAATTAGTTTCATTTATAATGTGTAATCGCGTAAATACAAGAAATTATTATTAAAGAAAAACTTAATAAAAAGTGTTATTATAATACAAATGAATACATTAATGACAATAACCCCTGGGAATGAGTTGATCGCTGCGAAGCTATTTCTAAAAGGAAAAAAAAAATAATGTGTGCGTGTACTAGCGTACACTCGTAAGAAGTGAAACTTTTTTATGACGTTATTTTTTCAAAAAATAATTTACTATATGCAACTTTACAGAAATTGGTTAAATAAAGTTAAATTAGATAAAGTTTAATAAAAGGCTTTTATTATCATAGACATAAATACAAATTCTACAATTATTTCATTTTGGCTTTGTATAATATTTAGTTTCTTATTTGTAATACATAGGTGGCGTTAGTAATAAATTAAAACACACTATGGTTTGACCGTTGTAATTAGTATGAGGGTCCGCAAAAATTGTTGATTAGAACCTCCGTCCGATAGGAACGCCAGCAATGCTGGACGAAGAGAAGACCGAATGCCTGGCTGACAGCCTAGAGTCTCAATGCTCCCCCAGTCTGCTTCCGATCGACCCCGAACACCTCCGCAAAGTGAACGAAGAGGTAGAAAGGAAAGCTCTAGAGCCACTCCGCGATCCCGTTCCCCCGGTCACGTGCCTAGAACTAGTAGAGACCATTAAAAAACTACGCCCCCGTAAAGCACCAGGCTCAGATGGAATCACCAATAAGGTGACCAAGCTCCTCCCTACTACCATCCTTCAGATATTAGTATTAATTTACAACGCGGCCCCTTAACCGAAGGCTTCTTCCCATCAGAGTGGAAGGAAGCCGATGTCATAGGGTTCCTCAAACCCTCTAAACCCGCCACTCTCCCAACCTCATATCGTCCCGCCCGCTTAGGATCCCTTATGGACACCAAAGGGCTCCCCATCCCAGAGCAGTTTGTATTCAGAGCCAAACACTCATGTACCCACCAAGTGCACCGCATCACGGAGCACATATTAACCAAACGCCAACGTGGACTCAACACCGGTGCACTCTTCCTCGACGTGGCAAAAGCGTTCGACAAAGTCTGGCACAACGGGCTCGTATACAAGCTATACGGGTACGGAGTGCCCGACCGTCTCGTATGCATAATACGAGACTTCGTAATGAACCGAACCTTTCGCTATCGCGTCGAGGGCGTGTGTTCGACTACGCATCCCGTTCGAGCCGGGGTGCCCCAAGGGTCGGTGTTGGGCCCAGTCTTGTTCACCCTCTACACCAATGACATGCCGCGTGTCAAAAATGTAGAACTTGCTCTTTTTGCCCACGACACCTGTATCTATACCACAGGCAGAACACCCGAATTGATCCATCGACGCCTCCAAGCTGCGGCCATCACCATCGGTGACTGGTTTCGGCAATGGAGGATCGAAATCAATCCCGCCAAAAGCGCGGCAGTCCTGTTCGCGCACAAAAAGAACATACCCATTCCACCCCCCGTTAAACTCTTGGACAGCCCAGTACCATGGGTTAATAAAGTCAAATATCTAGGCGTCGTCCTCGACTCCCAGCTTAAATTCACGCAGCACGTGACCCAGGTGAGGAACCGGGCGGCCTTCGTACTCGTTCGCCTCTACCCGCTCCTCAATAAAACGTCAAAAATGTCCCTTCGGAACAAGGTGACCTTATATAAGGCAGTAGTTCGCCCTATCATGACGTACGCGAGCCCCGTCTTCGCTCACATTGCTCCGAAGCAAATACACCGGCTTCAGGTGATTCAAAATCGATTCTTGCGCAGAGCCACGGGAGCACCCTGGTTCATGCGCAATATCGACCTACATGTCGATCTAGAATTGCCCACCATCGCGCAATTCCTGAAGTCGGCGTCGCGCCGATATTTCGATTCCGCCGCCGCGCATCCCAACCCACTTATCGTAGGTGCCGTCACCTACAGGCCCTTGCCGCTAAATATTTTCCGCCGCGATTACCGAAGACCGCGTCACGTTCTCGACTTCCCTGACGATGAGACGACTATCGCCATCGAAAGGATCAAAAAACTCAAGAAACACACCACAACACACACCGCACTCGCCGGCGAGTGCGGCAAACATATACTAGGTTCCGCCACGTACCTGGCAGGTTTTCCCCTATTAATGATAGAAGCGTTGCTGGAGTTTCTTCCGCCACTTCTTCTCCCAGCGCCAACGCTCTCCGAAGTGGTAGTAATGTTAGCTCTAGTAATTCCCCCAGTCAGATAACAGCTACCGATCGAGCCGAGGTCCGGCCCTCTCGGGCACCCTCGAATCGGAATGCTAAACGCGTGTTGAGTGACAGCCCAAGCCGAGGTCCCCTCTCGGGGACCCTTGAGCCTGATCACTCCATGGAGCCCCCGCCAAAGCGCCCTAAGAGCTAGGCGGCCTCCCAAACCGGTGAATTAAATAGCGTGACGGCCCGAGCCGAGGTTCCTTCGGGAGCCCTCGACCTTAGTCACCATAACGCGTAATAATAAATACGCAAGGTTCAGGCTAGGTGCCTCGAGCGCCCGGGGCCACCTCAAGTCCGTCGGAACTGTAAAGGCCCCTAAAGCCAACAGTGGCTCATCAAGCCAAAAAAAAAAAAAAAATTGATTAAAAAACTTGCAACGTGAACCTTGTTTATTTCAATTAACCTCACGGACTCAAAATACAACCGAACCGCTTTGAATTTGTACATGGTCCTTCGTTGCCGAATAGTCAGCCAGTGAGTAGAAGGCAGACATTCGACTCGCGCGCGAGTGTTGTGAGTGAAGTTTTTTTTGGAAAACCGAACTTGCGGGACGTTGGATCGACGTCGCAACCGCAAGTTCTAGGAGCCGATCGAGGTTTCGAAGAGCATCATCGGTCAGCTTCAGATTGTGTCTTCGGTGGAAGGCGCAGTCAGGTCACGGTGGGCGGTGCCTGCCTTTGGAGAAGAGGAAGTCGACACAGTGTCGTACTCTGAAGTATTAGAGCTAGCACTGTCATTACTACAAAGATTATTATTGAATTTCATTAATTGTAATAGAATTATTACTATCATTGATGTCGTTATTATATATTTGTGTTATTAATGGCTTATGGTAACTGAAATACGAAATATATTGTTTACATTTTAGAATTAGAATTAAAATAAACCCTTTGATTTTGCTGATCACTTTAATATAACATATATATATATTGCTATGAACACACATAGGACTAACGCCATCTAGCGTCAACTATTAAAACCACTAAAGAATAAAGACGACATAAAACCCCCTATTCAACACTAGATGGCGTTAGAGGAACATTTTAAGATAAAAAAAAAGATGGCGCGTAACGGAAAAATGTTACACTAAATTTTTTTCCAACCCCGATAAAGAAGTTTCACATCAAAAATCAGTTGTATATTTTTTTTAAAAAGAAAAAAATGAATTGCAAAAAAGAGGATACCTACGGAGTTTCTTTCACCTGTTTCTTCTCCGCTAGAGGAACCTCATTACGAAACCGTGGTAGATTTAAAAATCGATAGTTGAAATGTTTCTTATGTCAATTAATAAATGAATTTGAACATGATGCAAATATTGCCCGTATATATAAACGTAGTGGTTATATTCTCTTTGATATTGCCCTCATCTTAGAGACAAGAAAAGGAGTCGAATTAGTAAGCCATAAAATTTGATCACTTACCAAAGCAAAAGATAAAACATTATGAGTATAATGTGAACTAATGTATTTAAATAATTACAGTATATATTACTTCATTAAACTTTATTGTTAGCTTAAATTGTAGCAGAAGTAATATAGCAATAATAGTGAAAGGAAATTATTATTCCCATTTGATTTATCTTCAGGCTTAATAGAAATAAAGTAAATAAATTATTGAAGATCGATAACACAGCTGGCCAAACAACTTTGACGTCACGGTTTACGCGGCAGCGCCTTTCACGTTTTCTTGTTGTTCAAATTTAGGATATTTGGCTTCTACATCAACCCAAGATATCTTTGCATTGGCTAGATCCCTCACAACTGCTGGAACATCAGATAAGGGTAGACGCACTTGTCCCATACTATCTCTTTCCCTCAATGTTACAGAATGGGGCTCCTTCATAGTATCAAAGTCTACAGTTATAGCATATGGGACACCCAATTCATCTGTTCTGGCATACCTGCGTCCAATAGATCCAGAAGAGTCATCTACTTTATGTGATACATCAACAGATATTAACTCTTTTGATAATTCTTTAACAAATGGTTGAAATTCAGCATTGCCACTCAGAGGGAGAACAGCACATTTCATTGGGGCTACTGCTGGTGGTAATGAGAAATATGTTCTTTGTTCATCACCTTCTCTCATTTTAAAGTTATGCTCCAAGATTGTGTATAGAATCCTGCCAATACCAAATGATGGCTCAATAACACTTGGTATTATTTCTTCAACATGCACTGTCTTTTGACTTTTCTTGACACAAACAAGATTTGGAGTAAGTTTGAAGTTTCCATTGGTAGTGTCAAGATTATATTCTCCATCACTCTCTAGTTTGTTATGTAATTCTTCTAAAGTTGTAGGTTCCAATGCTGCTAATGCATCATTGATAACTTTAGCATCCTTCTTGAATTCTTTTCCAATTGCAGCTTTGTTTGGCACAGCTTCTATTATTTCAATCTGTTTAGGAGCTGGTAGTTTTTTCTCAGCTGCAAGTCTTATCCCAGTGGCTTTGGTGTGTTGGGTGAGGTCATATGCCGACCTATCAGCACAGCCGACACATTCTACCCAGCCGTAACTAGTAAGACATTCAGCATCCCAACAATCACATGCATAGTGAGCCATTTCATTGCCCATATGTTGGCGGAACCTAAGCTTTTTAGGATCAATTCCTACGGCTAACATGTACAAATGGATTCTGGCCATGAAATAACCTAAAGTTTCATTGTTGACAATTTTTTTAGCTACAGCATCCCCAATTGTCATAATTTCTGCTGGTCTTCCCTGTTCCTGACTGTCAGCAGAATATAGCAGCATACTGGTATCTTTCACTGACTCAAACTTTGGATGGTCTTTACAATCGCAGAAGTGCTCAATCTCACACATAGTAAATTCCCTTACTCTAAGTAGCCCAGAGCGTGGTGAGATTTCATTTCTAAATGAGTTACCAATCTGGGCAGCTGCAAATGGTAAGCGTCCTTGATTAAATTCTAAAAGCCGTTTAAAATTGACAAAAATGCCTTGAGCTGTTTCTGGTCTCAGGAAGCCTTTCACTAAGCCTGAAGGCCCAATTTGTGTGTTAAACATCAGGTTAAACTCAATGGGTGGAGTGAGTTCATTTCCACTTATGGGAGACTTCATATCAAATCTCTTCATTAGAGCTGACATTTCATCTGCATTCATTCCATCTAACTTAATCAGGATATCTTCAATTTCAGCTTTAAGTTCAAGTTTTGTATTTTTTTCACTTTTTATTTTTTCCAAATGAGCTTTAATAAGATGGTCTAAACGGAAGCATTCACCAGATTTCACATCCTTAGTCATAAGATCAGCAAACCTTTCCACATGTCCAGAAGCTTTCAAAACAGGTTCAGGGGTAAGAATGGAGCAGTCAACTTCAAGCATTTGCTCTTGAAGGATGAAATACTTTCTCCAAAGTTGAATCATGTTGCTTTTAAGAGCACATCCCATAGGACCAAAGTCAAACTGACCCGTAATGCCCCCATAAATTGCAAAAGATTGGTCATAGAAGAAAATATACTACACTTATAAACTAATGTTACGATATTTCTCATTTATTATACGTGAGAATATTCTTTTTTTTACTGTCACATCTGGTACTATAACCGGTGACCAAATTTTGGTCGCGTGTTAGGTAGTTAGGTGATGAAATTTAGTTCTAGGAATATGTATATGACAATCGATGAAAATGTCAAATTGACGTGGCTATGTATTAGGAGCAAACCATAGATGATACACTTATCTAATAAGCGGATTTTGCGACGACGAACCGCAAACGTTCGTTTTGTTTACTGCGAAGATTAAGCCGTTTTACGTCCTGGTACTTGCTTTGGTATTATATATTTTTACTTCTATGTAATTGTAAATACAGTCGAGAACGCAATGTTGCATCGTTACGAAACAGTACTAATTAAAAAAAAAAACCTGAAAAAATACGCTTTTTTAATAACCGAATAAAAAGTCGAAAATAAATTTAAATTATGACTAGTGTAATAACAATTTTTTTTCATTATAGAAAAGCGCGGGATGCTTGGAGTCAATTGTTATAATATTTTAATGACAGTATATTGGTAAAAGTAGTCCTAGGGGAAATATCTTATATAGCACCCCACACTTTTTTGCAATAAAACCCCCACACTGTTTTTTTTAAACTGTTATTTTTTTTTATTTTTTAGTTTAGTGTATTTTTTTATTTTTTAAATGCGAATTGCGTACACAAGGGCTATAGCTATCCTGAAGGTCTGATTAGGATATGGGAAAAAATATTTAAATTATAGCATTGTCATGGGTCCTTGACAAATGTGCAAAGTTTGATTAAAATCTGATCGTTCAAAGTGGGGCGAAATCATATTTAAAAAATCTGTTACATTCATTCATACATACCAGTGAAAAGATAAAATGAAAAGCGTGTTAAAAAGTGAACTTTTTCTTAATGAAATACACTCTGTAATGATAGCCTTGATATCTGTGTCCGGGCGCTCGCCTTTAATTCAATTAAGCAACCTGAGTTCGATCCCCGTTGCCGGCACCAATAAATTTTTTCACTTTAAGTGAACTTTTGAAGGAAAACATCGTGAGGAAACCTACATATTTTCTTAATGAAATACACTCTGTAATGATTAGCCTGGGACTATAGATATCTCTGTAATGTATTACCAGTTGTTAATTTAATGCTGTCCGGGCAAGCACTTGAAATTTAAATTTTTATAGTGCTAATCTCTCTAAGTGTTTAACTTAAGATTAAACATTTTCTATATATTTTAAAATTAAATAAAATTACAGATATAAATAATCAAAAATCAACATATTCACAAAAACAGAAAACACTAAACATAAAGTAAGATTTATACGTTTTGAAGGGAAACCGGAATAATTTTTCATGCATTTACGTATTAATACCAAAGATCTTATACTTACAATTTAGTAAGTGTAAGGTCTTTGATTAATACATAATTTTATGACTGTATTGAAGTAAAGAGATTTTTCTTATCCTGGCCTGGCAATGACATATTCACCATCTCACTCGTACATTAAATCACTGCATATATTTTATCATAAGTTAAAGCGCGACAGGAATAGTTTTAATTATTTGTTTTCTTTTTCAAATATCTCAAATTTGACAGCACAAAGAAGGCGGCCATTTTATAGCTTGCTGAAGAGTTAAGGAAGCTGTGCCTATTATACAGCGGACTTTTAAATCCTAGTTTTTTAATTGTTATACAATTTATGTACAAAACTGTATACTTATTTAGTGTTTAAGTGTAAGGTGTATTTATTTACTGAGAAAAGAGCAATGGACGATCCAAATAGGATGATGGCGCATAGTGGCGGATTGATGGGGCCGCAAGGCTACAGCTTGGGCGGAGAAGGTGCCCCAACAGCGGGGGAAGGCGAAGCCCGAAAACAAGATATTGGAGAAATTCTACAACAGATTATGAATATAACAGATCAAAGTCTTGACGAAGCGCAAGCAAGGAAACATACGCTGAACTGCCATAGAATGAAACCTGCCCTTTTTTCTGTATTATGTGAAATTAAAGAAAAAACAGGTAGTTTTAATTTAATATTTACACATGTACAAACAGATATATATATACTGCATGAATAAAAAGAGATAATCCTAATGTAACTTTTTGCCTATGTCACTATATTTTTATACAAAATTATATCTTATTATTACATGTAGTATTTATATGTTTATATTACTTTTAGTGACAATGCCGAATAACTTAAGGTTATTCATTAAATTCTAAACAACAAATTTTACTTTCAGTTTTGTCACTTCGCAACACACAAGAGGAAGAACCACCAGACCCACAGCTTATGCGCTTAGACAACATGTTAATTGCTGAGGGTGTTGCTGGCCCGGAGAAAGGCGGTGGAGCGGGTGCTGCTGCCTCGGCATCCGCTGCTGCTGGCGAATGGGGTAATTTTATCATTTTTTTGTATGTTTGACAGTTGGGCATGGCTCAAATTGCATGTGGTCTGAATTTTTTTGTTAAATGTTTGATTTGTTTTCAATTATTTACGTAGCACCACAAACTGTTCATTTTTTCGTTTGTTTATGTATTTTTAACTTATTTCATGTGGAAGCAAGAGAAAGTCGAATTAATTCAATGTCAAACTATTGTTTTAAAAGAAAAGGGTTTATTTTTTTTTAGAAAATAATTTATTATATAATATATTTTCTCTACTTATTTGTCGGCTGACCGGTAGAGAACACCTAATGGTGTTAAGACTTCCATTGTGTGTTTAATGTGCATAAAGTTTTAAATAAATAAATGAATTAAATATTAATATTTTAATGTATACAGCGTGTCGTTACCATCGCGACAATAAATGAACACACGTCTAACGCTATTTGCCAATAATCATAAAAAAATATTAACGTTAAACAAAATTCATAATTAAAAAAAAATATATATTTCCAACAAACTAATTAAGTAAAAAAGAAACAAAATTTGTAACATCCTATACAACTCGCGCCACAGCGTCGCATTACAAGCCTCTCCTTCTAACAGTATGTTTTGTCTCTTTTAAATTCATTCAACCCATGCATATGCTTTGTGACCTTTACAAATGAACTTTACGTTACAGTTTTATATGTTCTAAAATTCTTTGTTTTGGAAAATTTAATAACTCTGTAAATATTGATGTTTAAAGTATAGTTTTAATGTAAAAATAAGTTTAATGTAAATGTATAATACAACTTTAAAAATTTTTATCCCCTATAGGTGTGTTCATTTATTGTCGCGATGGTAACATGTGGTATATAATATTTAAATCTTCCAAAAAAGTACATTTGATATATAAAACGCTCTAATTTTGTGTATGTATGCTATTTAGCTTAATTTATTTTATCTGGACATTTACAGAATGTTGTGTCCTGAATTGTAATACATAACTATTTGATGACTCCGTGGCGCAGTCGCCAAGGTATCTGTTTCGGCGTCGGGGGTCGTGGGTTCGATTCCCACACGGGACAACTATTTGTGCAACCCACAGATAGTTGTTCCGCATCTGGGTGTTTGTCCGCGTGAAATTTATGTTTGTAAAAACGTCCTTACAACACAGGATATAGTTATCTCAAAGAAAGGGAAATGTTTTTAAAAACAGAAAAAAGCTATATATTAGACAATACTAAATATGTGTTGCTTTCTTAAATGTATAAGCATCTAACGGATAAAAATTATTTTTTCTTGTCCTGTACGAGTTGGCAACTAGGATTTAAATAATATTTTATAGTGAAATACTAAAAAGTTTAAGTTTAACCATAAAATAATAATAATAAGGATTTCTTTTGTAATTGTTCACAATAGACACATGGATGAAGGAGCTTGTCACTTTTGTAAACAATAATGTCTTTCCCACAAAGTTAATTTATTATATTCATAGCGTCCAACCGAAAATTCACATTTGACCAAAATTGGCCCAAAATATTGGCAAAACACATGGTGTTTGTAGGTTGTCGCATGCTAAGTCGGTGGGAAGTAAATATAATGCATTAAATAAAAAGTAAATTTAACAAAATGGGCACTTTATGGAATGGCTACATGTATGAATATGCTGGTAATGTATGTTTTGTTATACCAGGCTGTCTGGTTTTCTAAAACATTGCTTTTTAACAGTGATATTAATTTTTAAAATTTGTGAAAAAATCGACAATAACTTTTTCGCTGCCTCGAGAATATGAACCTACGGGATACGCATCTTACACTCTAGCTGCTGCGCTAAACAGCTTAACCTTAAGCTAAATTACACTTTTAAAGTATCTAAGTTTCAGTTTCGACCGAAACCAAGTTTTTGGCAGAAAATACAGTTTCTGCTAAAAATCCTTTTCTGGTTGAACACTAGGTGTTAGTCCCTCTTAAAATTACTAAAGCAGTTCTTTAAATTCACTGAAAATAATAATTAAATTATCATGGGCTTGGTTTTTTTTAATAATGAATGTATACAGCGTGTCTTTACCATTGTGACAATAAATGAACACACATATAGAGAATAACTTTAAAATTGTATTAAAGATCTACATTCTTTAAACATCAATATTTACAGAGTTATTAAATTTTCCAAAACAAAGAATTGTAGAACACCCCTACATATAAAACTTTAATGTAAAGTTCATTTGTAAAGGTCACAAAGCATATGAATGGGTTGAATGATTTTAAAAGAGACAAATCATACTGTACGAAGGAGAGGCTTGTAATGCGGCGCTGTGGCAATGAATGAAAAAGTCTCTGAATGTATGAATCAGTCAGTTTAGTGTATATCAGTTATATAGGATGTTACAAATTATTTTATTCTTTTTTACTTAATTAGTTTGTTTGAAAAATATTTTTTTTTAACTTAATATTTTTTTATGATTATTGCCAAGTATCGTTAGACGTGTGTTCATTTATTGTCGTGGTGGTAAAGACACGCTGTATACATTCATTATTGTAAAAGATTTCTTTACAAATAATTTTTATATATTCTAAATTAAAATCCTTAATATAATTTAAGATAATAATGGGACCTTGTAATATTGGAAAAGTAGTATGGGCTTCAGCATTTCCATGATAATTTTGTGTATTATGTACTAACATTATGTAAAAAGAGTTGTATTCTTTGCCTCTCAAACCTGCCCGCGGTGCTACAAGATATATGACTAACCAACATTTATATTGGGATGGAGGTTGCATGTTAACTCTTTCTGTCCCCCCTTTTGCTGCAACTTAAGGCACTGTGGCCCAAGCAGATAACGCGATCGAGCACTCGGACTATCGCGCGAAGCTCACCCAGATCCGCCAGATTTACCACCAGGAGTTGGACAAGTACGAGAATGCGTGCAACGAGTTCACAACTCACGTCATGAATCTTCTCAGGGAGCAGAGTCGCACACGCCCCATCACACCCAAGGTACCACTGCTTGTATATTTTATTTGTAATCATGTTGAATATTGTTTACACATATATATGGTAGCAAATATATGTTGGTATGATCACATAATTATTTTCTTGTTTCCAAGAGTTAAAAAATATATATGAAAAGAAATTAAAACCATGTTGATTTTCATTTTCAAATTTTTGTTATGCTGTAAAGAAACTTATCGAAAGGTGGAAGTTTTGACATTCTTTTTTATCTGCTGCTCATTGGTAAAATGCTTAAATTTTTCTAATTTTAACTTAATGTCAATTCGGAAAATTTGGGCACAGTTCAATTCAATTGAGTTTTAAGTAAAAATTTTGTTGATTTGTGAAAAAAAGTACGTCAGTTACAACATAGATACAGATTACTTTCATCATTGTTTTGTGGAAGATTAATCCTCATCAAAGATCTTTTCGCAGCTCCCACTGAACTGTGATCAGATCTGGTAAACCTAATTGATTTGATCTGAATTAGAATTTTGTCAATTTTAATTAAACATTATTTCTGTTGGCTATAGGAAATCGAGCGTATGGTGCAGATTATTCACAAGAAGTTTAGCTCTATTCAGATGCAACTTAAGCAGTCCACTTGTGAAGCTGTTATGATCCTGCGCTCACGGTGGGTTTAATTGCCCTGGCAATTTATTATGTAAAAAGTAAATATAAAGGAAACAGAAATTTTTAAAATATACATATTTTTATGAAAAAAGTAAAGTCAGCCTATATTTATTTCCCACTGCTGGGCAAATTCCTCTATATAGAGGGTACAGACTTTTTTACTTTCAGTAAAGTAGTCAATTCAAATTAAAATATTTTTATTAAATATAGAAGCATTATTGATTACACTTATTGATTTTCAAAACACTACCGATGCCTGATGTAAATCTTTTTGAATTTTCCACATCTTCTACCAATTATCTGGTTGAGTCTATTCAATCGAGCCTACCATCCAAATTGTGTATTGAAATGGTTTTTTATGTCATGGGTTTATGTTATGTCAAAGTTGAGGGTTCTTTGAAGGTTGAAGGTGGACTACAACTTTTCTTTATAGAAAATGTCACACAAAGTCCAGTAATATAGACCAGCTTTTGTAAGTTGCAACAACAGCAACTCTACCACTGTAGAATTAATAATCATCTCTATAGAAAAAAAAGGTGTACTTTGCACAACTACAATATAGGTGTGCTATAGGCCATTACTTCACAATTTATTGGTGTATGACTATAATACTTCAGTTATGTTATGGCTCGCATTCCGCAGTTTCCTGGATGCCCGACGCAAACGGCGAAACTTCAGCAAGCAGGCGTCGGAAATACTCAATGAATATTTCTACTCGCACCTCTCCAACCCATATCCCAGCGAGGAGGCTAAGGAGGAACTCGCACGCAAGTGTGGCATCACGGTGTCACAGGTGAATTAGAAAACCTATATGCTCTCTTTTCATCATCTTCAGCTTACAAAAGCTCAGCCCAATAGTGCTTCCACAAGCAGTAAACCAGCATTAAAAGGAAGCTGATAAATGCATATCGCACGAATCCAACCTTAGTTGGCATGTGCCACTATACAAACACTATGATACCATAGCATGATATATGTGGATTAATAACATTTTCTTTTCTATAAAACTTGTTTAGTTAATAACTTAATTAATAAGACAAGTTTAATTTTTTCTATCAATTTATGAAGCGTGTCGTTACCATCGCGACAATAAATGAACACACGTCTAACGTTACTTGCCAATAATCATAAAAAAATATTAACGTTAAACAAAATCCATAATTAAAAAAAAATATTTTTCAAACAAACTAATTAAGTAAAAAAGAAACAAAATTTGTAACATCCTATACAAATCGCGCCACAGCGTCGTATTACAAGCCTCTCCTTCTAACAGTATGTTTTGTCTCTTTTAAACTCATTCAACCCATTCATATGCTTTGTGACCTTTACAAATGAACTTTACGTTACGCTTTTATAGGTAAGGGTGTTCTAAAATTCTTTGTTTTGGAAAATTTAATAGCTCTGTAAATATTGATGTTTAAAGAATTTAAATGTTTAATACAACTTTAAAAAGTTATCCCCTATATGTGTGTTCATTTATTGTCGCGATGGTAACGACACGCTGTATATACTAAGATCTGATTTGCATATAATGATATAATATTATTATAGATGTAAATAGTTTTAGTGATCTTGTGGTATCGTTTGAATGCAAAAGAAAATTGTTTTCAGGTTTCTAATTGGTTTGGCAATAAGCGCATCCGCTACAAGAAGAACATCGGCAAGGCTCAAGAGGAAGCCAATCTCTATGCAGCAAAGAAAGCAGCCGGTAATGTATTGTTCTGCTTTTTTTCAAAGATCAAGTGTCAACAACCAAATTAAAACAAGCAGAATAGTTTGTTTACCTAATAATATTCTATATATCTATTTCAAATTGGGTCTTATATTTGTCTATAACATGCTATCTCTAATAATACACTAGTACTAATAAATAGACTTAAATGTATGATAAAAAAGAAACTTAATTTTATGATTTTTAGAATGTTTTCATAAAAAAACTAAATTTCAAAGATAAGCTTACTACGTAATCGGGAGTACCTACCTATTTTAGATAAAATTTAACCATTGCTATTTCTCTTTGATTAATATTTTTACCCGTGAACCATTGGCCTTTTGCGTTAAACTGCTCTCTGGTACCGTTATTAACTATGATAGAAATTATATATTTAGTACACGGGTGCAGGTGATTCTCTATTCAATTGTATGAAACAAACGAATTAACTTTGTAAGTGAAAGAACCATAGACACAGTAGTTAAAAAGGCGCGCACTATACTCTCGTTTCCGCACACAGACCTGCCTTGGATTGGCGCGTGCAGGCGCGATGCTAGCTCCCCTCCGGCCCGACCCACTTCATATTACAGTAAACAAATAATTCATTTGACTTTATAGATGTTCCCCTCTTAAAACAAACAGGAAAAGACTATGTTTATTTTGCTAGTAAGGTTTGACAAAAATTTATTAGGTTGTAAATTTCTTTAGTTGTCAGGAACTATACTTATTTATATTGTGTGGCATATGTTTAGGCCCTTCACTATCTTGAGACTGTTGACTGTATGCCATGTAGCATGATACAGCATTGTGGTACTAAAGGTCTCGATCCACTACACTGATCATACTATGAGCTCTATAAAAGCGCTATGCTGTCGACCACAGAAGGAACTTTCAAGTGGGCTGTCTTTAATCTTAATATACGAGTACATTTTTAATACAACTGCAGCATGATCTGTTTCACTACATGAGTTGTGGTGATATGGGGGGTAAGAAAAAAAATGCGAATGCTGTTTTAAAGTGTAAATGAGATGATACAGACATCTGTTTACTCCTCTGTTTATTTAAAAATGTGTTTTTTTTATAGTACACCATCTCACAACTGTATCTCCTTGGAATGTGATGGGGCATGATTAGTTACACATTTTTTAAAATATATAATGCCACGGCGTTGCACCGGGTAGAGACCTTTAGTCGCAAATGCGGTGTTATTAGAAGTAATGGTTCCATTGATGACGAGGCATCTCCTGCAGCAGCGGGTGCGTCTCCGTACTCTATGGGCGCGGCGTCGGGCACCGCTACGCCGATGATGTCGCCGGCGCCTACGCAGGACTCGATGGGCTACTCGCTGCCGGCGCCCGGCTACGACCCGCCGCAGCCGGGCTACGACGCCGCCATGGGCTACGACCCCATGCACCAGGACCTCTCGCCTTAGGGGCGCAGGTGAGCAGCGCTCGTAACCGCTACGGCGACATGTGCTACGGCTGCGCGAAAGGGCCAACACCGACACAACAGATCGCCGTTCAAAACAGTTTAACAGAGGGTGCTTTTTGAAAGTCTCTTTCCAAATATGTCATGATAGGATATTGTAAAAATATTATAATAATGGTATCCCATTACGTTAGCGACGCCATAAAACACAAAAACCAGATGTGCGAGTCAGATTCGCGCACGAAAGGTCTATAAAAAAAAAAAAAACGCCAAATCTTGTCTGTTGTGTGTGAATATTTTTTTATACTGTTTTTGAGTATTTGTTGTTATAGCGGGTTCAAATAATCTGTGAAAATTTCAACTGTCTAGCTATTACTGTGCCTTGTAACAGACGGACAGACAGACAGCCAGTAGTCTCATTATTAATAGGTATAAATAGGGTGCCGTTTTACCCTTTGGGTACGAAGCCCTAAAAACTATAAGATAGGCACAATTTGTATAAGTTTATTTTTTCTTAGTAATTCTTACGTAGCTATTTAAATTTTCGTCATTTACCTTTTAACGTATGCATTTGTTGTTTCAGGTCAGGAGTATGAGCGTAATTGTGCAGCTTCCACATAATTGCCATTTATATAACATGCTATATTTAGACGGCTGGAGAGCGGCGACAGCGTCGCGACGCCTTAGCGTATAGGACATTGTATACTATGAACTTTATTCTAGACACATTCTAAGCCTAATATTTTTGGACGTCCTTAACTTTGCCCTGTATTATGTAACTATTTGACTGTTGTGCAGTATTTATTATTTTTTACACTTTTTATGTTTATAAATCGTCACTCTTAGGCCGTGTGGTGGGAAAATTGTCGAAAGCCAATGGATTATAGTGGAAATTTAACAACAGAAGCAATTTGAATATGCTAGCTTGTGTGAAACATACTAATATCTGTGATTGTGTATTGAAATCTTTGAATCGGCTGAAAAGAGCTTTTACCTCTTTTGCGTAGAACTTTAAATTTGACTTTGTGGTAACAATAACTCAATTATAGCTTAAAATATGTTATTTTATCAATATTATATGAGCACAAACTATCAAAAACTTTGTTTCATGCAACAGGAGTAAAACAGAAAACGTTTGAAGACTGAGGTGCATACTCTATATACATATATATATATATATGTGTGGTCTTTTTTTAATTACAAAAACGAATTATAATTAGTTGGCTTTCAGACGTTATAAACGCAGCCTCAAGTATTATTTTCAACAGACCAGTGAATTGAAAACTCAATGTATGCTTCGCTGTACCATTTGGCAGTATTAGTTGTTCAATGGCGAGATCTCTTGTGTTTCTACACGTTCACTAACTTTTAATATACGGTGGATATGAATATACGATAGATTTAGATTAAGATATTGTAGTGGTAATGTTTAACATTAAGTGTTCAGATGTATTGCTGAATAATTGTCTCGCTATCTCTGGGTGCTTACGTACAGCGACTCTTTCGCCACGCACGTCATCTTTTGTGTTTGAAACAAACTCAAATTACGAAATCGCAAATACTCGCTTCTCAATTCGATCGATTCGGATCAACTCTACGGTTCTATAAACTTGTCAGTTATTTTGTGGCATTGACATGATTCATTTCACATTTACCAGTGTTAAATGTTAAATTTGCTGAATCGCCCGAATGAATGTCGCATTGGAAGCACGGAACGGACAATAGAAGAGTTGGCATGCTGTGGGTTCTATTCCCGCTCGGTTCTAGATTGTGTGTTATTATTTACATATACTCGAACCGAGGAACCGCCTCCGATCTTCTTATTCTTTTCCATTGAAAATCTGGACTATCGGATGTTAGACAGCTGTTGAATAGTAATAAATAAACCAATGTGTATATGATCTACGTGAAATATAGCGATCGAGAGTTAAAGCTGTCGTGGATGGCGAAAGCGGCGTTGTTCGTCCACCGGCGACGACTTGTCGCACCTTTAGAATTATAGTGACCTATTTGAAAAATATAAATTTTAGGGAAACGTAAAATAAAGATATGTGCACTCAAGAACTAACGCGGTGATTGGAGGGGAGTGAAGGAGACCGAAGTATACGTTATGTATCTTTCTGCGCCAAAATCGGCCGTTGTTTCAATAATAGTCAAAACTGTAGTCGTTTTAGGTCGTTTCCTGATGTAAGTCAAAATCATGATTTTTCTTAATTAGTTGGTCCATTTAATTCTAAGGGTGCTTTGTGTGCAATTTAATATTTTATTATTGACGGTTGTGTTAGGCGCACAAGAAACTATTTCGCCTGCAACCGGGCGTCCCACTTGAGATAGCATAAATTTTATCACACTTCTACTAATCGTATTCGTTTCTTACGCTGATTAGCGAGCTGCGAATTTTCTGAACAAAATATTATATTTTTTACGCGGTGCTATGTTGTTGGTGGCACGGAATATTATTTTTTCATGTATGTGCATGTATTTAGGCGGTAAGTTAAATGTTAAATAATGTCCTGTATACTTTTACTATTATTATTGTTTACCGTCTTTTTCTATACACTAGCGGATTGGATATACGATTGTGAAATACGATAATGCAATGCAATACGAATAAACGTAGTGGTAGTTAAATTACGAGAAAAGTTTATATATAGTTAAGTTGATGTGTTCTAAATCGAGATATCTAAATCAGTATACGAGTTAATGAAACGAAAATTGAAATGTTTTAAAATCGCTACAGAAAATTGGAATTGCGCGCCGTTTGGATTTTGCGCCAGCACTTATTTACAACGTGGTCTAATCGGCAATAATTATTTAGCTAACCGAGAGCGGCGGTGCACACCATGTATACGAAGAAATCAATATTATTGCGACCATCAATTGACTAAAATACATTTTTGTGTAGTTTCTACGTGTTTTATTTGAAAACTTTCATAATATCGCATTTCCATTTTTTTGTAAACCAGTCCCGATAATTATAAAATACAGCCATCTGGGCAAATACCAGCAGTTATACATTTCTTTCGAGATTATGGCAGCAAGTAAATAATTGTAGCAGAAACCAAATCCAAAAACGATAATGTCGATAAGGGATACTTCCACTTTACGCCGATCTTCCGTGAGGTACTTACCCGGACGAGCCTGCCCATTCGTGCCACAGCCGAGGCTGCTGCGTGGCCTACCTCCGGTACTATCTGTCCTGTTTGCACCTTTGCCTCCATTTCCGCGGTGTAGTATGTCAAACCATTGGTTTTTGGAAAGTATAGCAAACTATCAACAAATTGCATCTACAATAACTAATTTAAGGTGAAAAAGAAATAATGTGAGTGTGAGTGATGGTTAAAATCTTTGAAAAGATCATCCTGATCGATTCAGAGAGTTTAACCATCCTTTTGGCAACTTAAATATCATTTGAAAAGCCATTTGACAGCTGATTAGTTTACATCTACGAAGATCAGTGTTACAGAAACCGGGCGTTACTACCTTGCCAATCCTATTGCGACTATAAAATGTTTATATGGTTCTTGTCGAATATGACTTGTCAGTTCTCATCGTAGCTAAGTAGTAAGAGAACCCTGGCTAAGTACAAAGAAAAAGAGGACGTAATAAGATTTGCGAGTATCCAGTCACAACCTACTGCACAGTTTTCTTTTAAATCTAAAACCAATAACTATTTTCGTTATGTACCATGGGTGATTAGTAACCTATGGATGATAACGAAGCGAAGCTATAGGATTTAAACAGAAAAGGTTTAGGTTTCTACTAATATTTGCAAGAAAATTACTACCTAAACCGATTTCATTTCGTTATAAAGTAAATCATTTAGAGTGGACATCTCCATTTTTACAAGTTGGTTATCATAGGATTATTTCACATTTGCTAATCCTTTACATCTCAAGTATTAAAGAAATTTTTGTACCGTGTCACTGTTTTCTTTTCTCTGTTCTTTATACAATCAATAGCCCGGGAGTAATTCAAGGTTTGATTATTTTCTTTTTGTTTGGGTTCGGGATAACTTTAATAACGGATGAGAAGTTTAATTTTTGTAGAGCATTAACACAAGACGTCTAAGTTAATTGAAGATTTATTAGAGTTGATTATAGCTTAGTTTATTTGTCAGAAAACTAGCACCGGACTGTGTTTCGGGTGTAGAAATAACAGGTTTTAGTAATAGTGTTACTGTTGGTTAATGAGTTGTGTGATTCGTAGGAAAAATGTGTTGAAAAAGCATTGTGTACCGCTGTCGTCTTGTATAGGTATGTAAAAAAATGGTATTTTTTTCTATTTGCAAGTGCCCATGTGTTTTAGCCAATTCTTTTGCAAAAGAGAATATTCATTTAAGGTGACAAGTTTTCGGATATAAAATATAACAATACAATAGTTATATAACAATAGTTATAACGATGGAAAAATTTTAATTGTAGAGGACTAACGCATAACTCTTTTGTGCGTGGTGTCGTTACCAAAGAGCTCTAGAGCATGTAATCACTAGGTTTTACGTGGTCAGTAGTCTGTACACTATCGGTGTATAATCTCGATAAATGTCTAATCGTACACAGATATTGTGGGCAACATATGAAAGAATTTGAACATTAATAACGTAAATGCGAGATTCCTAAAGTTGTTTCCAAAACCAAAACATTTTGGCTTCCGCTAAATAATAAGTATTAGTTTGTGTATATTTTTATCACTATCCTTCTGACCTTCAGAACGGTGAATAAGCAACCTCATGACAGTGCATTCGTTAAGAAATCGGTTCGCCGTTCGTACTGCGTGAGTCAGTCTGTGTCATGCAGCTACCGAACTAAGTCGGTACATTAATGTTAAAATCTATTATAACTAAGTCCTTTACAGCAAAAAACAACAGTAAGTCATTTGACACTTATTTTATTACATCGTTTAGTGTTCTTATATTTTTCAGTGTACAATCGGGAACTTCCGGTTTAGGTTATTCCAATATCTACTTCATTAAATTCATGTAATTCATGTATGTACGCCATAAAGTTAGAACGCGAAACTAAATTAAAACTTTCTAAAGAATATATTGGATAGTTGTCCGATAGCGGCACGCGCGTATTCGTATATACAATTATTTTAATTTGATAGAGAAAAAAAGCAAAAAAAATAAATTCCGAATTATTTACTAAATTCGTTTTCGTCAATAATTTTAAGATTCTCTCTTAAAATTATTGACTCCGTTTTACTTTGTTGAAGTGGAGAATACAGATTTAAGATTTTAACAGAAAAAATACATAAGCACAATTTGTTGTAGTTGCAAGAATGACTAGTATTCATAGTGCCTATAAAGAGGAAATCCATGATGTGCCGATGTCCGTGATTACAAGGCCTTTCATTCCGGAACTCGATGAAAGTAAGGTGCAATCACTTATGGATACGATCCAGGTATGGTTTCTGCTCTGCATTATATGATAACAATATAAAGTTATGTCATTTGGGAAATATATGTGACGACGTGTTTGAGTATTTTTATATAGGTACTTTTCAATTACACTACAAAAAGCAGTTAGTTTAATTGGTTACTTTTTGCAGTTGTTGGTAACACTGGGGGGCCTTTAATTTTTTCAATGTACCTTGTAGTCAACAAGGATGTTTAATAATATAGATGACGAATGTCCATACTGCGCGGTGTTTAATATATAAATTGTTGTTTACATTATATGACATATACGATTGAATGTGACAAGTGATATAGAATGTATGATACGTAAAGAGATTCAGTCTATGGAATTGCAATCTAATTACACCAATTGGTGGAATTTGTGTGCCTCAGTTTCGATGCTCTAGTGTCGTCATATTCTACCTCGTATTTGTGTATAAGTAATATCAAAAAATTTGTAATATCTCTATTGTAATTCTTAGGTTATCAAAAAACCTTCGGCTTTGGCCCCCTCTGTGTTACACTGTTGATCTTGAATTAGAAGAATACATGAACCTAGCAGTATGGCTTTGGTTCACGCGTACCCAACTATTGCAATGCTCTTAGGGTTAAATTGCTACAGAGTGACATCAGATTTGATTCCACAGGTTCTCGCGGTGCGATACACCATTAGCAGCGGCTTTACAATTTTCAACGTCCGTTGAAAACGTTTACTTTAAACGATAATTTACTAGACTTGCATTTATAGGCTTTTTTGTGTAAATGCAACTGGTTAGTCTAGCACGATGCTATGTTAGGGCCCCTCAGATGGAGGTTTGAATCCCGGCTTGGATCACAATTGATAGTGGAATCTATCTAGAGGAACTAATAAGGTCAATAAGCTGATTGAACCAAAAAACATACGAAAATTAAATCATGCAAACAAATAACGAGAATTAAACCGTTTACGCAAACACAAGATAATTTAAAATTTTAACTATATTTTATTTATTTATTATTATTTAGTTAAAATTTTGGAAAATAATTTATTCACAATAACAGAATGCTTACGAAAACTAATTATTTCGTTTCAATTAGGTACGTAACAAAGTTGCATTTATTATCATTCAAATGAGCCTGCTTTTTGTAGTCCACATGACCTTTGTTAATTAATCAACAATGTTCTTGTACCTGCCATTATTATTTACGGTAAACATCACAATATAATGTAACAAACTGAAAAAAGCGGAACAAAAGAAAAATAAAATTTAAATTTTTTCGCTGGTGTCAGTTCTCTTTACTTGTGTTTTTCCTATCGCACCAAAAGAAGTATAACTTCAAAAATATTCATTCGTTACAGCTGAATTATTAAAAAAATATCTGTTTGTAAAAAAATATCTTGAAAAAAAAAAAAAGAACAACTTTGTACACTATTTGTTTTTTGTAATTTTATTTTTCTCTTATACTCTGTCTACAATAAAGAATAAAGAAAAACAGAAATGCAAATAACTGGGCAAAGGCTCTTTAGAGGGTATAAGGGCACCACGCGAGTGGCAAAACTGTCAAGGCAAATAATTAACTGTAATTAGCCTTCTGTTCGTCGCACTAGGCAACAAGGAAATGAGCACAGCACTTATCGTTCGCGAAATTGCCGCACTATGGTCGTGAGTTTGCCGGACGGCCACCGCACCAACCACCCTCAAAAAAAAGCCGCCCAATAGCTATTCAGATTCGCGCACGAAGGGTTCCGTACCATTTTCTATTACTACAACGGAACTATTATTAAAACGGAAAAAAATCATCTGTTGCATGGGGCCTCTACTTAAATATTTTTTTATTCTGTTTTCAGTATAGTTATGTTCTTATAGCGGCAACAGAAATACATCATCTGTGAAAATTTCAACTGTGTAACTATCACGGTTCATGAGATACAGTCTGGTGACAGACGGACAGACAGATAGCGGAGTCTTAGTAATAGCGGAGTCTTAATAATAATAATATTAAAAAAAAGGGTCCCGTTTTACTCTTTGTGTACCGAAACTAAAACGGGCCACTACTATTAAAACAGTAAAAAATCATGTCGGTTGTATGGGGGTCCTATATACAGCGTTATATATCCTTTTTTTAGCCTGCTGACAGACACATAGTGGAGTCTTAGTAATAGGGTCCCGTTTTATACTTTGGGTACGGAACCCTAAAAAATCATTGTTCGAACGCAGGACGACTACCGCTCCTACACCGCAGCAAGTCGACAAAAAATTGAAAGTGTCTTTAGGAGTTGAACGAACACGCTGATGAAAATTGAATTCTAAAGATATACTGGCGGTGATTTTTGTATCTATTATAATTGAATAATTACGACTTAAAATGCAACCAGTGCGCAAAGATGTTACATTTACTGTTACAGTTGACAAATTTCCTCTTATTATATTGTGTATTACTTTTTTTAGAAAGAAGAAGAGGCTGGCAATGTTCCGCCGATAGATGTTTTGTGGGTCAAAGGCTACGAAGGCGGAAACTATTATTACAGTTTCGGCGGCTGCCATCGCTTTGCGGCGTACAAGAGGCTAAACAGGCCAACGATACCCGCGAAGCTTATCAAATCCACTGTATCCGATCTACGGACGTACCTTGGCAACAGTACACCGGACCTGAAGTAGTTTAAACCTAGCCTTAAAATGTAATTTATTTATAATTCTGCGGGTGTAAATAAATATGCGTACGTAAATAAATAGTAGGTGAATTTGTCACTTCTTTTGTTAAGTAAATGTAAATTGTATATTTTCATATTATAAGTATTGTTAAATCATATCTGCGTTTTAGTTTATAGAATTTATTTATATAGTTATTTTATATTCATACATTTGTATATATCAGACTGCCATGATGACACGATGGCGCAGTTGTTAAGCTACTGTCTAAGGCTTCACGGGTTGAGGGTTCGAAACATACAGAACTATTATGTAATAAGGAGCATCGTTGTTTTCAAAAAATCAAAGAGACGTCATAGAAGGAAGACCCAATTAGAGCAATGTTCGTTTTGCTCTACATTATTTGAATAACAGGTACAATGAAATTAACAGCCTTTAGGAATAATTTAATGAAAAAATAAAATAGCCATTTAATTAATGTTTTAGCTCTTTGACATAATTATTAATTTCAGTAGTATCTTTCACCACTCTACGACGTTCAGCCAGGTAGCTTGCGTTATAAACAGACAGAGTGAGTCGTACCAGTTATACCGCCTAACGGAGCACATCCTAAAAGGCCTAAACCACCCGAAACATATCAGTACAGGGGCTCTTTTCTTCGATGTCGCAAAGGCATTCGACAAGGTCTGGCACAACGGCTTGCTTTACAAGCTGTACACACTCAAAGTGCCAGATAGGCTCGTACACACCATCCAGGCCTTTTTGTTGAATCGCTCTTTTCGATATCGAGTCGAGGGCACCCTCTCCACAAGCCGCCGCCTCACGGCCGGCGTACCACAAGGCCTCTCACCTTTGCTCTTTACGCTCTACACTAGCGACATACCCAAAGACCCCCACGTCAATCTCGCGCTTTTCGCGGATGACACCGCGCTCTTTTATTCAGACCGCAACCTTAGAATATTAACCACTCGACTCCAAAGCGCTGCCGACCGCCTCGGCGATTGGTTCCGCAAATGGAGAATAGAAACAAATCCCGAAAAGAGTGTGGCGATTCACTTCACACGAAGTACTTACCCGTCACATCTTTATAATGGCCCTCGTCAATGCAAAAAGTTGGGGCAAATATCCCTTTATGGCCAACCGCTCCCCTGGGAGAAAAAGGTCAAATACTTAGGAGTCACTTTCGAATCGCGTATCTCATTTACTACGCACATTAATAACGTTCGTAATAGAGCCGCGTTCGTCTCCGGCCGGCTACACAATTTAACTAACGCTAAAAGTAAAATGCCCTTAAGGCACAAATTATTATTATATAAGACCTGCGTACGACCTATTATGTCATGATCTTCGCCCACACGCACCCTACTCGCTTGTACAAGCTGCAAATAGTACAAAATAAGTTCATCCGCCGTGCAACCGGTGCGCAGTGGTATCAACGCAACGTCGATCTGCACAGCGATTGCAGACTCCCGACGATTCGCGAATATTTTAAAGACCTGACCAAACGGTTCTTCGATAGAGCCGAACATCATCCCAACCCCTCTGGTGGTAAGCGCAGCAAATTACCAACCCGACACAAACGCGAACGTTAACAAGCGTCGCCCGCGAAACGTCCTCATCGACCCGGTCGAGGAAGGGGACTTAGATACGCCGGACCCACCGCCGGGGGTCCCTCCGGATAACACTACACCCACAGCTAGTGTAACAACAAACACAATAGTTCGCCCTCGCCTCCGAGCACGGCGAGACCAACACAACGCGTACACAAGGTACACCCGCGTTCCAGGGCGGTTCTCACCGCCCGCAGCCACCGATTAGCTAAAAACACAGTCGACGGCCATCGGGGTCTCGGTCCGCACCGCAACTTCGATGGCCCTTAGATGACATGTCGTAGTTAAACGCACGCATGAGCACATGCGCGGCCCTACCCACAGCGGAGGGCCCAAACCCGTGGGTTCTGGCTAGCTCACCGGTTCTGCGTCAGATGAAGCTTTAATAGTCTCGGGACTGAAAGCAAAAACATCAGTTAATACAAGATACAAGAAAGTGAGTCGTTAATGATATAATGGAGGCGTAACGTTCTCTTTCGTAAAGATGTGCATGAAATTTCATTGTAGAAGAATGTCATAATTATTCATCGAGATCGGCGAACACCTTAAAAAAAACAATCTATTGCGTAGTACTCGATTTTTAGAGGTCTCTATTTTTTTTTAAATAAAAATTCATTTATATATATATTTATATATATATATATAATTTATATTATATAATTTTTGATACAAGTCTATTGAGCACCGAAGCCGGTTGTAGAGAATATTGGAAAGTGTACACGTGCAAACGGCTTTCTAATATGAAACTTTTTGCCCAAGATGTTTGACAATTATGTGATCATTATCGAATTGATAGTGATAGTAAATTATTTTTTTATTTTTTTTTCAAAATGAAACAACAGTTATTCTCCGAAATTGTATTTATTTAATTTTGAATCCATTCGCCTACCTAGAGAACAATGAGATATGATGTTTTTATATAATATATTTACAAACGTGAACATAAATAATACAAAAATACATTTATACATCATCTGATCGCCGGTCGTCCGCTAACCTTGCATTAGAAATTAATGAACACAAATCAAATTGTCAGCTGTGTAATAATAAATAATAATAAAATGTAAAATACATAAATCACAAAGAAACTGTGCGTTCTAAACATTTATTTTACAAAGAACACTGTAAACTTATGTCATGATTCCTTTTAAATTATTTATAAAATATATATAAACAAGTCCATCAAATTAACTTGACAATCAAGGTTCAAAACTTATCAAAATGTTCTGCATAATCACTACACAAGTGTTTAGAAAACCGATTAAATTTAAAAACAGAATCTGCAGAAGTTCTGTGTATGATAAAGACAATACATTCGTATTAAATGCACAAGTCTCAAATTTTATTACATGGTAATACAATTATATGATATAAACATTACTAGACCATCTCATTTTCGCCTAGTGTGCGTTTTGTTCTTAAGAACAAAATTATCAGCATTTTATCATAACGCCACTGGCAAGGTGGCAATTCCTAATTCAGAAATATATTAATGCGATTAATTTAATAACCAATAGTATCTCAAATGTATTTTCAAATAATGTATCCAAGACAAACTGAATTTTTACTACTGAAATGAAAACCGTACATCAACTGAACAGAATAATTTCCATAGATCAAAGAGCCAAAAATTCACTTCGCCACGACCGGTTCGCTCCTTCCCAACTAATTAGAAAAAATATATATCTCTATGTAATAACAACCATATTTTGTCTACATTTCATATATAGGTATACAGACAGGCAAACATCTTGAAAAATACTTTCATTGGTGCCATAGTACATTTATAGATCTCTACTGTGCACTGAAGGCGAGCGGCAGATATTGACGGCTTACGTCGACTCCACTGGTTGCCAAAAAGTGGACATCAGAAAAATTTTCGCTCTGTATATCTTCTGCTAAGTTGTTTGCCCGTCCCTACTATATCGTTTTTTACACTCGAGTAACAATAAACCCAGAACCCTATTACCGTTAGGCTCACAATTACTTCATCGAAATATATAATCTGTCCATAATGGAATTTTTAAAGCAGTTTTAAGTTATTAGCACATTTACTAAGTAATATAACATTAGGACACCGAAGCATTTAACATCTATCAATTAATATCATTTAAATGCTACTGATTGATAATTATCTATACACATATATTATGCCCTTTCGGAAGTGACTACGAGAATTTCAGCTTCTAATCATAAATATTATTATATTACTGACTTGTGTTGAATAGTTTCATAACATTGAATTGAAGTTAAATTACCGCTATAAAACAATTCTTATAGACACTTCCAAATATGCTTATAATTAATATGAATAATTTTTCTTTAATGTTCTAATATAACTCTTGGATATTTATTCTATATGGAAGGACATTTGTCATTGTGCTTGTCATTCTTATACTTAAATTCTTCGAGCCTGTTCTTGTTATTTGTAGCTCAAATAAAAAAAAAAAATCAAATAATGCAATGAACTATTCGCATATTGTTTGCACAATTTTAAAAGCGGTCATTTATTTATTATTTTAAAAACCACTTTGCTATTTGTAATACAGTCTATTGGTAAATAGGTATAGTTAATTAAAATATTATTATGTTCCATTTGAACTAATATTTGTTGGAATGTGCATTGAATTGAACGTAACTGTAATTTATCTATTTAATTGCAAAGGTGTGGTGGAATTAGTAAATGGAGAGATGATTTTGTAAAATCAAGTATAAGCCTGTACATGTCTCACTGTAGAGCTAAGGCCTCTGTTGTACTGAGGCTATTAGGGATTAATCCGTCATATATTTCCAAAAAATTTTTTTCCGTATTATTCCGAAAATATGCAGATTTCCGCACGATCTTTTCCTTCACAGCTGAGTGCGTGATAAGTCAGAAGTTAAAATTAGTAAAATTGTTTGGTGCAGTCTGGACTCGAACCCGGAACCTTAACACCAGAGTCACCGTCCACAGGAACTAGACTCCCACCCTCCTAATATGTTACTTAATCATACACAGTGAGAATAATTGCGGAAACTTTAGTGAAGATAAAGCCTGACTATTGTTGAGTTTGGCACGTAATTCTCACTACTGTGTTATAAATTTGACTGTCATAAAGATTTAAATGTTAAAGTAAAAAGAGATGGCATTTGGAGTTCAACCAAAATAGAAGCTAAATCAAATCCTTTTGGTTATTCTTAGTGAGTATACAGATTTGTTCTTTGTCTATTACAACTCATAAAATGCAATTTCTCTATTTTATACAATATCCTCTGCTAATGCTATGACTATGTCATCATATAATGTTGTTATGAAATATTAAAGTCATCATTTGTGCCGAAATTGTAAAGTCCAAAACTATATGAATGATTTTATAAGCTAATTGGCGTATTAGGACAACGAACTGATGTAAGGCT